TCTGCAAGTTTTTTGCAGCAATCATTTGCATATCTCTTGCCTTAGGATCCTCATTAATATATACTGAAGAAAAATAGTTATTTAAAATTTTTGCTTTTTCCTGGTCTTCATTAGCTAATAAACCCAACTCTGTTTCAAGTGTACCTACACTTTCATTTTTTGTTTTTTTAGAATTGAGGTACTTGAAAAAAAATTTGGAGTTGGTTTTGCATTCTTTAGCTATCAATTTCTAATTTTATAGTTTAGCCACTTTAATTGCCTTTTTGCAAGGGTTATTTGCTTCCTTATATCTTAAATAGGATGCATTTGATTTGTCTGATTTAAATGCTTTAAATGCCCTTTTCTTATTTTTAATCTCTTGCTTTACTTCTCTACTAAGCCACATTGGTTTTAATTTGTTCCTTTTATATTTATTACCCAGTGGTACATACTAAGAAATGTACCTTTCTAATATTTGTTTGAATAGTTTCCATTTATCCTCAGTGTTTTTATCACTAAGGAGTTTATGCCAGTCGATATGTTGTAGAGCTGCCCTAGTCTTATTGAAACTGGCTTTTTTAAAATTATATGTTTTAGTATACCCCACTTGCTTTTGCTTTTTTGAGTTTATTTCAAAATTTACCATATTGTGATCACTATTTCCCAAATGCTCCCCTACTTGAATGTTGGTTAAAAGATCAACATTGTTTGTTATGACAAGATCCAGACAAGCATCCTTTCTAGTTGGTGCTTGTACCAGTTGTGACATAAAGGTGTCATTTAACACATTCAAAAACCTGATGCCCCTTGCTGAAGTACTAGTCCCTCTTTCCCAATTTATGTCTAGATAATTAAAATCTCCAATAATTAACGTGTTACCTCGATTTGCAGCTTTCTCAATTTGCTCTAACAGCTGTTCTTCCTCATTAATATTTACATTAGGTGGTTTATAACATATCCCAACCAATAATTGATTTCCCTTTGTTTGCCCCAAGCAGATATCTACTCATAAAGCCTCCACCTGTTCCTCGTCACACTCCACATGCCTAAGATTTGACTTTAACTCATGGTTGACATATAAACATACCCCACCACCCTTCTTGTTTTTCCTATCCTTCCTAAATAACATGTACCCATTTAAATTAACTGCCCAGTCATGTGTCTCATCCCACCATGTTTCTGTTATGCCTATTATATCATATTGTTTAGTGTATGCTATTGCCTCTAGTTCCCCATTTTGTTATATAGGCTCCTTGCATTAGTAAGCATACATTTAATATTATCATGAGTCTTTTGTACTTTTTGTGAATTATCAATATTACATACCTCCTCTGTTCTGAGTTTCCCCTCCCCCCATCTCCACCTCTTTGTTCTGAGCTAAAGCCCATCTCCTTTCCATCCTATCTCCATTTTCTAGATTGCTTTGACCCCCCCCCCTACCACTAGTTTAAAATCTCCTCCAACCTTCTAGCCATCCTATCCCCCAGCACAGCAGACTCTCTTCCGTTTAGGTGCAATCCATCATGACTATACAGGTTGTACCCAAGCGCAAAATCGGCCCAGTACTCTAAAAACCCCAAATCCTCTTTCCTGCACCAAGATTTTAGCCACGCATTGACCTCTCTAATCTCCCGCTGCCTTTCTGCTGTAGCGCGCGGCACAGGTAATATTTCTGAAAAAACTACCTTGGAGGTCCTTTTTCTTAAGCTTACTTCCTAGTTCCCTGAACTCATTCTTTAGGACCTTCCATTTTCCTCTGACTGTCATTGGTACCAGTATGGACCATGACAGCTGGGTCATCTCCAGCCCTTCCCAATAATCCCTCCACTCTGTCAGCAACATGCCGGACCCGAGCACCCGGGAGACCGCAAACTGTCCAGTTGAGTCGATCAGAGTGGCAGATTACCCTATCTACTCTCTTAATAATAGAGTCCCCTACCACCACAACCTGTCTAGACTTCCTTACCATCTCAACCCCACCCGTACTAGAGGGGCTGTTTCCAGGAACAGCTTCCTGCAGTACAGCTACTCACGAGCTGATGCTCCCAACATCTTCACTCAAACGGGCAAATCTGTTAGGCTGCATGAGATCAGGACTAGCTAAGCCTTTTCTCTTCCCTCCCCCCCGCTTCCTCGCCCCACTGTCACCCAGCTACGTGCCTGTTCCCCATCTGTCTTATCTCCTCCCTCTCCACTACCTGTCCCCACTAAACTCTGCTCAGTGAGCAGCAGACTCCTCTCAAGATTGTCAGTCTCCCTCAGTGTTACAATTTGCCTCTCCAGATCTCTAATCTGAGCTTCCAGAAATGCCACTCGCTCACACCCACCACAGAGGTATGGACCCTGGACAGAATCATCCAGGCATGCATACATGCGGCATGATGTGCACCGAGTTAAATTTGCAATCCTGCTAGCACTCATCCCCAGAAAGAAAAAAAAAAACACAAGTGAGAAAAATATTAACCCATTGGTTTAAACTCCCTTGTAGGGCATATGTTAATCCGAGATACTTGCATACTCATTTTGTAATATTCTGTTTTGCTCTCTGTGTGATTTCACTTTCTTTATGTCATGCTAACACACTGTTGTTAATTACATTTCAACTGAAAAATCCAAAGAATTACAATTGAAAAAAAAAAAAAAAGGCAAGAATTTACTTTTATGATTATTGCTTTTTCCTTTTGCAATCTTGTATTAATGACCAGAGGGGAGCAGCTGCAGCAAGACCCATTTTATTAAGAAAAGATATTTTTGAAAATATTTAAGAAAAAAAAAAGTCAGTAGGCTTTGGGCAACTGACAACTCACCCATTCCACCCTGAGAAATGCTGGCAAATGTATAGATTTTATTTCAAAAGTGCTTTTATGGTCCCTCCCCTACATCTCAATGAAATAATCAATATTTGACTTGTGTGCCAGTGGTGCATGCTGGGGGAGTATGGGATGCACTGAAGCCAGTGTGCAGGCAGTGAAATCAGCATAGGGGATTGCCATGCTTAACGAAGTGACCCCAATCCTGTGAAAATAGAAGGCAGAGTTACACTATAGAACACTGCAAAGCTAAACAATATGAATTTAGAGAAAACAGCATCAATAGGAGACCAAAACGCTTTTAAAAGGGCCACTAACCACTTAACCTTACTATAGTTTATTTGGTGCAAAGACCCTGTTCCTGCAGTGTGACCGTCCATTCTTCTCCTCCCCATTTTTGTACTGTCAGTAAGCCAACTGGAATAACTTTCCTGAATGACAGTTTTGTCCAAGCTGCATCAGGTGTCACACAGCAGGCTAACCTTAGACTCCTTGGATCCAAATCCATTGACTGGGCAAAGCTCCTGCTGTCTAATTCACAAGCAAATAAAAATCACGCATTAGAAGCTTTGGACTAGGATTTTGTTCTAAATGGTTTCTTTACTCTAATTCTGAATTACCTCTGACAACTCCCTGTTCTTTCCCAAACTCAGATGAGCGAAAAGGATAGGTTATTGGAGAGTGTCTGGTTATTGTTGGTTGATTTTTATGATCTTGCATCCTGGCTTTATAAGTAGCCCACCCCACAATGTATCTCTCAAGACTAGGTTTTCCTAAAAGAATCCCACTGCTATAGTGTTCCTTTCTCTGAAACTATACCTTATATTAAACCTTTAAAACAACAAGTGGAAGTGTGGCCAGTAGAAGACTGTTCTGAGACAAGTGCTTCAAACTGTTTTTGGCCACCTTCTGAATCAACAGCAAAAGAAATAGGATAAAGGCTGAACTCGGACATGTCTTTTAGTGGTTTTTGGTTACTTTCTGGCCGCAGTTTACACAGCTAAAATGTAGTCTAGAACACCTTCTTTACACAGATTCATTTGTAAACATTTACTGTACTTTAGAGACATTACTGTAATTATTGCTGTGGATTTCTGTTATACACTCAGATAAACCACCAATATGGAGCTCCTAGAAGAAATGGACATTAGGACAGAAAAGAACAGTGATTTGGCCCAAAATCGGGACTATGCCTCCTAAATATTTACTATATGGTGCAGGTGTCCTGGTTGATCATCAGATTGACTACATGCAACATACTACAGGGCAGCACTTTCCTTATGTTGCTCAATTTGTATCGGTCTTTAAAAACCTTGTGGGGTATGCCATGGTCCTTTATTGATGCTGCATACCACTTCGAGCAGGGATCCTCAAAATCCGGCCCCCCAGATGCCGCTGAACTACAACTCCCATGATTCTATGGCTATGTAATTCAAAGAATCATGGGCGTTGTAGTTCAGCAACATCTGGAGGGCCACAGTTTGAAGACCCCTGACTTAGAGTGATGTACTGAAAATGATTCTTTAATACCATGGACAAATGTCACTAAGCTGGTTTACTCTAAGTAATCCCACCAAGCAGGGGTAGCACAGCACTCCCCCATCAAAGCAATCACCTTAAAAAACAGTGCATTGCTGGCAGGTGCCTGCTCTACGTCGGTCTTCTCGCTGCCTGTGAAGTGGATGGCGAAAGAACTGCTGGAATCTCTTGGGATTCTCTAGTTCACTTGCCCACCATATGATGCTGGAAGCCTGAACATGATGCACAGAGCTACAGGAAGCTGGAAAAGAGTGACCATTGCAACAGTAATTCAAATAATTTTAATTTTTAATAATTTATACCCTAGGCATAAGATTTCACTCCAGCACTCAAGATAAGAAAAGGGATTCTGCTGCATCTCACTGTAAAAAGGAGGAGGGAGTCAGACAAAAAAATAAAAAATAAAAATTGAGGTTGCGCCTCATACAAGGCATCTATAGTAAGAGTCCAGCACTTTACATGCAATAAAGCTAGAATACCTGGCACTTGTATTAACCTGTATAATCCCATGCAAGTAACATGCTTAGTGGTGACTGCATTTAGGACCAGTGGACACAAGGAGCCATTAAGGAATCATTTTCATTAATGGTACAGCAAACTTGCCATCTGTGTTGCAGCCTACCCACTGCATTCAGCAGGAAATCCAGTTCATTGGTTTAAGCTTTAACAGTGCATCTATGGAAACTACTATAGGAAAATTGGTCAATATACTACTTTGAAAACAGTGGGTGGCTGTCTATACATGATCAAAAGCTATTTTAAACTTAATTTAAGCTCTCCAGATAAGAAATACAAAGTCAAACAAAGTCCATTTTTGTTTATTTTGAAAAGAATCTCCAGTGGTTCTTTTGACAGGGATTTCACCCTCTGCATACCTCTATAGAAAAAAGGTCACAGTCGAGACAGATTTACAGTCGCATTCACACATACAAAAATGTCTTTACATTTTAGAAATTATTTGGCAATTTGATATGAATGACCCGTTTTCTTCGTCTATTGCCGTCGCCCCAAACATTGGAAAAAAAAATATAACAGAAAACCCCCCCCAAAAAAAAAAAAAGTGTGTACAGAAACTTATTTACAGTCAAAATACTTCAAAGTGCTTTAGAATAGTGATTGTGTTTCTTTAGATATATGTACAAACTGCCTATACAAAATATGTACAGGTGGATTCACTATACATATAGAGCACAAAGGTTATTTGCTGGGATATGGCTTCATATGGAAAGTGCTTTATACAATACTTGGCCTGTGAGGAAAGGATTTTGTTAATACTGACCAGAAAAATAAAAAATAAAGTTGGGGGGGGGAGGGTGGGGCATTAGATTGGATGGTAACCATATCAAGAGTTGAACAATGTTAAATATATACACAAGAGGTTCCTGTTGTAGGCAATATCAATTTTCAAGATCTGCTTCACATGTACAAAGTGTTCTCTTAATGTCCATCCATGAATTTAGGAGGGCAGGTGGTGTTCAGTCACTGGCGTGGTTACCATACAGGAACTATCCTGATGAAGCAGTGTAGACTGAAGGAAGATGGTGAATGCCAACCAAACGTCCGTGCTCAGGAAAGATCATCGTCTGTGTTTACAACGGATATCTAATGATCAGAAAAGGAAAAGTTAAAGGAAGCTTTGAAAGTGTCTTATAATTAATACACGTTATCGTACCAAAGCTGCGCTCTTTTACCGGACACTGTTCCAGAAATAAACTACCCGAATATAAGTCGATACCCCTAATTTTACCACAAAAAAAACTGGGAAAACCTATTGACTCGAGTATAAGACTAGGGTGGGAAATGCAGCAGCTACTGGTAAGTTTCTAAATAAAATTAGATCCCCAAAAATTATATTAATTGAATATTTATTTGCAGTGTGTGTATATAATGAATGCAGTGTGGTGTGTGTGTGTATCTATGTGATGCAGTGCCTTGGTGGGGGGTGGGCATTTTTATTATTTTAAATTATTTTTTTATATATTGTTAATTTTTTTATTATATTTAATTTTTTATTTATATTTATTTTCGCCCCCCCTCCCTGCTTGTTAGCTGACCAGGGAAGGGGGCTCTCATTCCCTGGTGGTCCAGTGGCATTGGCTGTGTAGGAGGGGGGCTGGCAGAGAGCTGTTACTTACCTTTCCTGCAGCTCCTGTCAGCTCCCTTCTCTCTCCTCCGTTCCGGTCAAGTCCCTTCTCCACTGTAAGTCTTGCGGCCGCGCAGAGTGTTCCCCGCGGCTCTCGCAAGATTTACAGTGGAGCTGACCGGAACGGAGGAGAGAGGAGGGAGCTGACAGGAGCTGCAGGAAAAGTAAGTTACAGCTCTCTGCCAGCCCCCAACAGGACTGACGGGCTTGTAATGAGCCCGGCAGTCCTGGTCTGTATTATGGCAATGTGAATTGCCATAATACAGACATTAATGAGCGTATAAGTCGAGTGGGGGGTTTTCAGCACAAAAAATATGCTGAAAAAACTGGACTTCTACTCGAGTATATACGGTAGTTATTTCTACATCTACAATAGTCATGACACTCACATTATTCTGATCATACTGAATCCACTGGAGATCTTTATTAATAAGCCATATACAATTCTGACTATCATGCGCAAAGCCTCTTTACATATGAAGCTGTACATATAAAATGGCTCTTATTTGATACTTACTGCTGGATACGTGTGCCCAATGTTTGCTCCATGCCGTCCAATATCTATTGTAAGATCCTCTTCCGTTGTCTTTAGGTATACTGGATTGTCAAAGTTCATACTTTTCATATTCTTTCTCTGCCAGTTTCGCCACATGAGGTATCCTCCCATGGCTGCCATAACTATTAACACTTCAAAAAAAAAAAAATTTAGAGTCATTACAGGGACCCTTCAACACAGATGCATTGTTCCCACATGGTTACATTTAATAAGTTCTAGGAGTGCACCAGTCATTAAACACTAAAGGGTCAGGAACACAAACCTATTTCTGACCCTATAATGTTAAAACCATTATGTGCATAGAATATAGAATGCACACTATAACAATCTCAAAAAAACTTAGCTTTATTATGTACAAAAAAGTACCAGAGTGAAAACATATAAGAAAAGATAAACAAAGTGACAGAAGCAAGGGCAAACACAATAAAACAATAAATTACCACAAAAATTCTTACAAGCCTCAAGACAGAAACACGAGTCACCAAACCCCCCCAACGTTTCGGCACCATTATGTGCCCCCTCCCCCCCTCGCCTCCCTAAATATAGTAATATCTTGCAGTCAAGTCTGCAGCTGCTGGCTCTGCCCCTGACCTGCCAGCTTGGCTGACATAAAAAGTGATTCTCAGTCAGTCAATCACAATGCTTTCCCATGGGATTGGCCAAGATGCCTATCAGGGGCACACAAGCCAAACAGCCCTAGTCAATCATCTGAATTGAATGATTGCATCTCTGAGGAAAGTTCAGTGTCTCCATGCAGAGTGTGGAGACCATGAATGGCAGTGTTGCACACTGCTGCTAGAGGTGCTTTCTGGGTCAGTGCTGCAGTTTGAGGAGTGGTCATTAGCGGTATCTCTAGGCTGTAATGCAAACATTGCATTTTCTCTGAATAGAGAGTGTTTTCTGCAAAAAGCCTGAAGGAAATGATTATATTCACCAGAACAAATACAATAAGCTGTAGTTGTTCTGGTGACTATAGTGTCCCGTTAAGGTCTATGGTTCATAAGAATTCATGCACATATGAAACTACATATAATGGAGGGATAGTTTTCAGAGCAGAACTTAATTGTGCATATTCTCCATTAGTTTAGCAAATTTAACAAGCAGAATATAGCATAGTCACCAGCTAACAAAAAAATTTATTAACTTCCTGCTCTACGGGACACTGTATTGCTCTATACTCCATGTCATAATGGTCTATAGCAGTGGTTCTTAAACTGTGTTTTGCAGCACCCCGTGCTTGCCACCTTTTTTATGCTACCATTTATAGCTCTACAATGTCAATACGGCTGTCTAGGGTGGCGTATTATGTTAGCATATGATAACCGTTTTGACCACTTGTGAAAGGTCTACTACTCACTATCGCTATGCCTCAAGTTTATTACAGCACACCGTCCTGCAAGAATCAGTGCTCCGCTATTAGTTATTCTCTACAGCTTTTTAGGCTTATTCTATAGAATTACTTGTGCGTATTTCTTGCCTACCTAATATACTACCATTTAACAACATACACCATGTCCTATCTTACTTTAAAGATGTGCTGATTTCTAGGTTATCGCTTCACCAGAAATGACATGTCAAGTCCCTGTAAACTTTGCAATGTCTATTATGTCATCCTTGTTATTCACATTCACAGCAAAAATAAAGTGTAAAAAAACCAATAGAAAAAGTTAGTCTCTAGAAGCAGCTGTGTACTTACAAAGAGGTAGGATAGCCCATGCAGCAGAGGAGCTCTGATTTGCTGGATCAGCCTCATACACAGAGGAGCTGGCATTACTTTCTACAACAAAGAACACAAACACTAGTGTTATAACAAAATGCAGAACAGTTTCCATTATTAGATGTTCTGAATACACAGGGCACAAATGTAAACTTTTTTGTAATTTTATTTTATTTATTATTTTCTAACCCTAATCCTACTAGAGGTAGGGTTAGATTCCGGTCCTCTCTCCCTTAATTTTCATTCCCTCCCTCTGTTTTGTCACTTTTCAGAAATCCGAAGTACTTCCGATTCTTCTGAATGTTCGAATTGCCAAAATTCGGACGAATTTAAATTTGGACCAAGACGATTTGCACATGTCTAGCAAACAATGGTAAACCGATTTAGAAAGGAAAGCAACATTGGTAAAAGATACTATTATTTTGACGGAGCTCCAGTACTCCAGAGAAGTACCTCCATCAAGTATGCTTCCATCGGGGCCCCTGGAGCACGTCAGACCCAGTCGCCGAGGCTTGACTGGGATCTGAGGCCTTTTTCCAATCTGGACCAGGCTACTGGAAACCATTTTTCCATCAACAGATTACATCCCTTTCCCCAAACTCTAGACAACACTTGGTGAAGGTTAAAACCGCAACTTGAATACACGTAGCACACATTTATGCCCCCAACAGCCTCAGTTACATACAATAGGGAATGGAGCACTACAGTATAAGGAAGGGTGGGGCTAGACAAAAGGAAGGGCTGATGGGAGATTGAGGAGGGAAATGACAGCTAGTTTAAACTGGTCTGGCAGTGACCATGGGACAATAGGACAGAAAAAAGGGGGAGGGGAAAGTCGCAGACAAGAAATACATTCAACATACCCTGCACCAACACTGGGCAAAGGGTCACCAAAACACAATAGGAATCTGGGAACCCCCACATAGTGTCTAACTTCCATACCCAGTGATGGAGACTACCGTCATACATACATACATATATAAAATATCAATATAAAAATATCAGACCTCAGAACAGGAGAGCTTATGTTTTGTATTAGAGAGACTTCTACCAGAGACTTTAAAAGGTCAGTTTTAGTTGTCCTCATAAATTCCCAATTTATACAAAGTGCTCTTAAATTGCATGCAGCCAGCACAAAAAGTCTAGCATGTTGGAGAATATATTGATCTGTTATGACTTGCACTTTGAGAAAACATCTTGCCGGATACCATGTGAAAGAAGGGTCTTTCACTGTAAGGGAATTCACCAACTAAATGCCAGGTACAAAGTAGCACTCATGGCATCACATGTAGGGCTAGTGCCAGAAAAAATTAAACCTGCACAGTGCTTAGAGGTCTTTTTTGGACTTTCTTCCATGCAAGCAGTTCTAAAAGCTAGAAAAGCAATGTCTTCATCTCCTGAATGTTGCCTAATTTGAATTGAACTCCCACCTTTAAATTCACAGAACCCCACCAGTAAGTACTTGTTCAGTGTGTTTACTTTGGCCCCTGAAGCTCCTGCTGCTTACCACTTCCAAGTGGTACTCATCTTTTTGGAAAGTCTGCGAATGTTTAAACAATTGGTTCCATTAGATATAGTAGATACCTAGAGAGTGGGAACTTCTCTGGCAAACGTACAAACTACGCAAACAAATATACTCCCAGTGATGGAAAGAAAAGTAATACAGAATATTTTGTAAAGAGTGAAATTCGCTTAATACATGGTGTTTCAGTAACTAGTGTGAGAGGTATTAAAGATGCTGCTCCTTTAAGAGAAAGTATCCCTGCACTTTCCTTTAAAGTAAAAATCTATAGAAATGTCTAAGAACCGGGAACACAGTCATGCCTAATGGGTTGGGGGTGGACAGACGTCACACACCGGGTACCCTGACCAACCCAACAAGTACGCAACCATACAAAATCCGACATGGTGGGCTGGGAGCTGGCACGCCCCACCCAGCACTAATATGCCTGCGGCTCCCCATGACTGCACCACGCCTGACCACTAGATTGTCCCCTAACTAATGGACCACCTTCCCAACTTGACAAAATGGAGAGAATTTCCGCCACGACACCGACCTGACCCCCGACCTACGCTGACCAAACACCCCTCAACTATATAAGTAGCTTACACTTTTGCATAAATGCGAGATAACATGAAGCAAGGAGAGCGTTCCACCAGGAAGGCAGCCCACAACTAAAAGCCTTCTCCCACAAGGGCTTTAATGTAGGGCATGTTACAGTTCGCTAAAAGTTACTAGTTACCCTTACTCTCTAAGGTGACTGATAAGACCCTTGAGACGGGATGTAATGTATACGGCCATATCTGACCTGTATAACCCCGAATGTTATCCTTTTTTCCTTCTGTACCCCATACACTTTATTATCTCAATAAAAACTGATTGGTTAAAAAAAAGAAATGTCTAAGAAGCACAAAAAATATACAATCTTGTCACATAGATAAGCATTTTAAACATTTTATTAATCTTATTGAAGTCTAAAAACATACAGTGGGACCTCAGTTTACAAATGCCTTTGTTAACAATTTTCGGTTTACAAATGAAAATCCATTGAAAATGTCTTTGTTTACAAATTTGTTTCGCAATACACAATTGCACCTGGGAGGTTTATAGCACAGCCCCCTGCATGCTGGAGCCTGTGGGTAGCATGTGGGGTCGAGTGTGGAGGTGTTGGAGCGGCTTTTGCATCGAGTTTTGGAGCCATTCTGGAAATTGTTTGCAGTTGTTTTGGGACTTTTTGGTGCATTTCTCAAGCGGTGGAAAAGTAGGGAGCTGAGCCGAGCTTCATTGTTTGCATGCCTTTTATTCAGGGCCAGATTAAGAGCCACGTGGGCCTGGTGCTGACAATTATGACGGGCCTAATTACAGAATCATATCGACCAAAAACAGTAAAACACTCCCAAGCATCATGTATCTGATGGAGATGGTGCTGGAGAGAAATGAAACAGCAGCTATAAGAAAAGGCTAATCTCTCTCTAATTTATGTTTTCATCTTTCAAGTAAATCCATAACCCCTAACAGCAGTGTCCAGTCAGGCAGGAAGTCAATGGGCATGGTAAAAGGGTGTGCCACTGACACAAATCACGTAACCTGCCAAAAGGGGCGTACATGCCCAAAAAAAGGACATGTCTGCTCAAAGAATTAGAAGGCCAGCCTGGCATGAATGCATGTCAGGCTGCCTACCAATCATGCAGCTGGCCAACTAAGGGCATACTATGCAGACAGCACCCTGAGCTTGGCATAAATGCATCTAATGATGTGCTCACTCAACGCTTTCTAAGGACTGTCCCCTAGCACTCGCTAGTCCACTTGTCGCCTCACCTTCTTACTAGCAGGCAGAAGCTCCTGGTATATGGTCTGGGACAGAGAAAAGCTGTATGTAGTGAGTGTAGAAGAAAGGGAACATGCCACAGTGTTAGAGAGACCAAAGTCAGCATTACCTTAAAAGATCACTGTAGGGTCAGGAACACAAACATGAATTCATGACCCTATAGTGTTAACACCACCATCTAGCCCCCCTGGGCCCCTCATGTCTCCATAAATATAGCAAAGTCTTACTATATTCAAGCCTGAAGCTGTAATTCTGCATGCTGTTAGACTCATAAAAACAAGCAGTCTGCTGACATCATTAGAAGTGGTGGCCTAATCCGATCATAGTGCTTCCCCATAGGATTGGCTGAGACTGACAAAGAGGCAGATCAGGGTCAGAGCCAGCATGATTCAAACACAGCCCTGGCCAATCAGCATCTCCTCATAGAGATGAATTGAATCAATTAATCTCTATGAGGAAAGTTCAGTGTCTGCATAGGGTGGAGACTCTGAATGTTTGGATGCATTTTAGGCAGCCATGACCCAGGAAGGATCTCTAACTGAGGAGTGGCCAGTGAAGTTATCACTAGGATGTAATGTAAAGACTGAATTTTCTCTGAAAAGACAGTGTTTACAGCAAAATGCCTGACGGTAATGATTCTACTCACCAGAACAAATTCAATAAGCTGTAGTTGTTCTGGTGACTATAGTGTCCCTTTAACTATATTCATTGTCAGCCAGTCCACACAAGTTTTGTTTCCATACATCCCACTTAAGTTTCCATACTTAAGTAAGCGTATGTGAAAAGTAGTTAGGGTTGCCACCTTTCTTGGAAAAAAAAGGAGTGACATAAGAGAAAATGCTGTAAAATCACCAAAAAAAACTATTAATTTGATTCTGCTGTATAGATGGATTCCTCCCAGTGCCCCCATGACTCAGTGCCTCATGTGTCCCTATGTATCAGTGTCTCAGTGCCCCATGTCTCCCAGTGTCCCCTAGTGTCGTGTCCCCAGGTCTCCCAGTGATCCTATGTATCACAGTGTCTCAATGCCCCATGTCTCCCTGTGTCCCCATGTATCCCAGGGTCCCCATGTCACTAGGACTCTAGGAAGACCTGGGGAGACCTAGGGACACGGAGACACAAGTGACACTGTGAGACTAGGGGACTCTGGCTGGGACACATGGGGATAATGGGAAAATAAGGGACACTTGAAGACATGGGGACACAGACACCAGGGACACAGACACTAGAGACACTGGCTGGGGGACATTGAGACATGGTGACACTGAGACACCAGGGCCACAGACACCAGGGACACTAGCTTGGAGACATGGAGACATTGTGACACTTTAGGCAATGAGAGACATGGAGGCACTAGGAGACATGGGGACAGTGAGACACTGGCAGACTAGGGGTCACTGGGAGACAAGGGGGCACTGTGTCCCCATGTGTCTGTGTCATAATATCTCCAATGCCCCTTAGTGTCTGCCATAATGTCTCCCAGTGCCCCTTAGTGTCTCAGTGTCTGCCATAATGTCTCCCAGTGCCCCTTAGTGTCTCAGTGTCTGCCATAATGTCTCCCAGTGCGCCTTAGTGTCTCAGTGTCTGCCATAATGTCTTCCAGTGTCCCTTAGTGTCTCAGTGTCTGCCATTATGTCTCCCAGTGTCCCTTAGTGTCTCAGTGTCTGCCATAATGTCTCCCAATGTCCCTTAGTGTCCCCATGTCTCCTCGCAGCCTTTTGCCCCCCCCATCCCTCACTTCCCTGAGCTGTAGGCTGTCTCTGCAGGGTGGAAGTTGCTGTCTGGACTCTCTGTAGCTGCACCCCTGCAGATCAGTGAGTATAGATAGGCAGGGAGGGATATGCTGGAACTTCCTATCCCTGCCTGTCTCCACACACAGCGACCCCTACTGGCCAGTGCTGGTATTGCATAGTAATCTCTTGTTTATACTGAGAAAAATACCAGCATTTATATTGCCAGTATCACTGCAATTGGCACCAGCCAGGCAGCCTCAAATACTGGCTGTGCCAATAAAATAAAAGCCAGGTGGAATCACAAAGAGTAGTGTGTAAAAAAAAAAAAAATTTTTGAAATCAATGGGCCTATTCCATGGGCCTGGGGCTGCAGCTCCATCAGCCCCTATGTTAATCCGGCCCTGCTTTTATTGTGTGTTCTGCATTGTGGGTTGGTTTCCATGCCAGCTCATTTTGACTTATTTATTTTTGTCCTCCAGAACGGAATAATTGGTTTTCAATGCATTCCTATGGGAAACTGCGTTTCGGTTTACAAATGTTTCGCAATGAGAAGTGTCCCGCAGAACGCATTAAATTCGTAAACTGAGGTCCCACTGTATTGGATTACAATTGCATAAAGCAGTACTTGGTAATATTAATGCTATATTTGATGTGCACAGAGGAATAAAAAAAAAAAAAAAAAAGGCCAACCTTATATTGAAGCCGTCCAGACAGCAAGGAGCTGAAACTGCTTCTAAAAACCATCATCTCAGCATACCATTTCATCTAGTCACAGGAAGATGCAAGCTACATAGCATCATCAATAGAGTGCTGTCTGCTACAATATAAGGTTGGACTCTTTCATTCCTCGGGTTCCATTAGATATGGCTTTGATTTCAATGCACTTTGAAGAATTACAGAAGTCAGATGTTTCGTCCCATGATGACTACAAAATAATTTTTGACAGTCACTAAAAGTGGAATGTGCCTCAGCTGCCATCTTGTTGCAAATAAAGAAGTTATTTCTACAGCTCAACCTCTAGTGAAACCGTTAACACAGTCACAAAGAACAGAGCAAGTATGATAAAACATTAGATGATGGATGGTAGATTAGTTGTGTCAATGCACCATGAACACCGTTGGTTTGGAAGCCAGATTGTTTGATAACTGAAAATGCAAATTTTTATGTATGTTTAAACATTAGTTCCCTTCTTTCCTTTAATTGTACAGCTATGCAGGGGCCATATGGCAGCATTATAGAATAGTGATGGGCAACATTTAGCATAAAAGCTGTTCAGTTTTATTTTCCCATGAATATAGAACACTGGTATGCTATGAGGATTCTATGAGAAGGCTAAGCTGTGTCACCCCTATACATACTGGCTTTACAGAAAAAAAAAAAAAAAAAAAAGATTTATCATTTGTCTGACAAGCTTGTATATATAAGCGGTGTCATCCTGTCATCCTCAAACTGGAAATATGAGTTGTATTATGAACTTACCACCAACGTGTGGTTTAATGGGGAGAATTCCGGTGGGTATATCAGTATTGTCCATACTACCTTTAAAGACAGACATAAAATATATAAGTGTTGTCACTTAAGACAAGGCATACAGTCATGAATATGTTATACAAGATGTACAGCACAAACAAAAGTCTTCAAAGTCAAGGACGGAAAGACGTTATACACTAGGCAAGATTAAAATTGTGAATGGATACGCAAGACAAGGTACACAAAACAAAAAGCCACAGCAAAGTTGAGCTGTACAAATATGTATTTTTGTTGGAGAATAACCGAAAATTTAATTAACACAATGATAACTGGCAACCTGATAACGCTGCAGATTTTACAGAGAATCATGGAGATGATTTCCAAGCAGAAGAACTATTACTAATTATATTTTCCTTCACTTTCTTCAGAAAAAGTATAAAAAGACACAAAAATTGATATGTAGCCCCCCTAAAGATTCAGTTGCAGAAGCACTCCATACCTCATGTGGTTACTAAATAACCCCAAAACTTTGCTGCTACAGACTCCTATTGGATTATAAAGTGCCTTGAAGACCTTTCAGATGCTGCATTACTCTGCTGAGCAGAAAGTGTACTTGTAGCAAACTGACAAATCTGGAATAATTAGCATTAAACTACCACAGGCATTTTGTTCATTGTGCAAGACATTTATATTAAATCAAGTATATGACAGAGGCAAGCAATTAAAAGACCAAGTCTTCATTCATAATTTTTATAGCCACAACTGGACAAAGTAATAGTGTACCACGAGTCTCCTGATTTTGTCCCACTATTGTGTCAAATAATTCAAAAACTGTCTCTCATATGGGCACCTGCACCACAGCCATTGTTCATATATCACTAAAGTAGAATTTCTTGTTCTGCATTTGCAATAGCCAATTTTGTTAAAGTTTGTATGGACATTATTGGCTGTGTGTTAACTGGCATTCTTAGTCAACGAATTCCATCCATAGTCTAACAGAACGGATATCACTAATGCGAGGGGGGGGAGGGGAAGGGTTGGAGAACTTCCACTGTACAAATGTTTGGTCATTAGGGTAATCCTCCAGAGAAATAGATATTACGCAACAGTTTAATTGGCAACAGTGAACACCACCAGGAGACTTGTGGCACCATAACCACTACAGTGCACAGTAGTGGTGATATTGCTTGGAGTAGCCCATTAACCATTGGACTACTTAACAAGTGTATACACTATTCCCCAGAATATATACCCATAGTCTGGAACAAATACTTGAAAAGGCAATTTCTTAATCTGCTGCTAAACAAACGGATGTGTCTGGGATTTATCAGTGGAGTCTTAGTTAAATACGACCCCACAGGTAAATCCCACCCCGTTTTGTTCAGCCACAGATTTAAAAGGCATTTGATTCATTCATACCAGCAGTTATGAGTTTGTACACAAGTCTGTTAGAGTACCAGCTTTGCCGAGACCCCCTGCAGCAGCCCTCCAGCGAGGTTTCTACAGGTCTGCACCTTTACGGTGTACAGATCATAATATAAATCTGGAAAATTACCTCTGATGGGTGGTAATATGTTGTACAATAAAGTGATTTTGTGATCAGCAGCTCAACACTTTGTGGCATACCCTTTTATCCACACTACATAAGATAGCAACAAAAGTGGTATAAAAACTCTTATTGGAGCTCTAAATTTTATCTGGCCTGTGTAGGAGTGCATTAAACTTACCCCGCAAATACAGTGTCATAATTTATTCGAAGGTACATAAAATGACAAAACTAGACAAAAAAAAAAATAATAGTGCAAATGGTACAAAACAGTTCTGGTCTGATATTAAACCAAGCTAAAACCACTCACATGTTCTGGAGCCAATATAATATTGGCTCCGTTGGATGAACCTTTTTGCTTTTAGGGCAGCACACTCTCACGGTATAGTTTCTCCAGAGGGGATATGATTTATTTAAAAAATAAATAAATAAAAAAACGACATGAAGGTTCTGTTCACTAGAGTATGTAGTCATGAATGTAACCACTAAAACTGTTTTTACAGCCACTGGTTGGCCAATACATATTTTAAAACCTGTTTAATTTTGTTATAGCATGACTTGTCTTCTTTTTAACTGGTCTATAATACATTGATTACTGAATTTTAATGGACTTAGATAATTAAACATGTCAACAGGCAAACTTAACCCAAATGATTTGTCTCAGTCTTGCCTTCTATACTACCTGCACCATAGGCAACATTTATTTGTCTTTAGACTTTCTTTTGAAGCGGTAACTAGCCAGTGTTGCACACATACACCAGATATGAAGTGCACACCCCAAATGTACTATTTAGCACCCAGAAAATTAGAATGTTTACAACTGCGCTGTAAGCGCACTATTAGAGGCTTCGATTTGACTCTCAGATATGAAGAGCACGCCCCAAAATTTACTATTTAGCAGTTTAGCACCAAAACAATTAGGTTCACAACTGCGCTGTAAGCGCACTATTTGACGCTTCTATTTGACTCTCAGATATGAAGTGCACCCCACTAAAATACTATTTAGCAGTTTAGCACCCAAAAAACCTAAGTTTTAAAACTGCAATGTGACAGCAGTATTTGACTCAGATATGACATGCACCCCACTAATGTACTAGTTTGCAGAATTCTTTCCTAAGGCTGTGACTGCTTCTAAGGGCACACGAATCAAACGCTTGATTGGCTGCCCTGCAGCCTTTGAAAACATGCCATTAAATCACAGAACATCGAACTCCAACCCGAACATACAGTGATGTGTCAGTGTTCGGGTCCGGGGTCCAAAAACCATAATGTTCTGTACGAACCCGAACTTTACAGTCCGGGTTCACTCAACACTCGATATAAGAAAAACAACCAATGTGCAGTATCTTTCATTTGTGAACTTCAATCTGTATTCTGGTCACTTTAGTATCCCTGTCCCTGGTTATACTAGTCTGTCTCACTTTGTGTGTGCCCTCCCAAGTCATACATTGGGGCTTCTGTCCTTAGTCTTCCTTTTTTGTCTTTGTCATTTTATGTACCTTCGAGTAAATTATCACTGTATTTGCAGAAGGGAGCATAGGCAATGAACTGCACATAAGGAGCAGACCAGCAGCTCAGTTCACTGGGCCACCTGGGAACCAAGTTGGTGCCCCTCACATGCAAAGAAGATTTGATGTGTGCTGTGAGGTTGTGTGCAGAGTGATGGTGGTCTATTTAAAAAACAAAAAATATTTTTACACCCAACTGACTTTGCAGAATCACTGAATCAAATAAGTATTAGTGTTCGGCAATATCTAACATTAAGACTTGCATCAACTGAAAACCCAGAAGCACATGCCTCTAGTCTAGTGGCGGTCTGACAGCAACTAGGGGCTTTCAGTCTGCCATTTGTCAGATACAGCAATATTTACATTTGTCTGTTTATATTGATCAGCAGGCCTGCTCAAAGAACACTGCATTAAAAAGGGACACTCCAGACCGCTAAAGTACTACAGCAAAAAAAATAATAGAATAGAGACTGACACTTCGAAAAACTTTATTATACCCCCTGGCTTTCAAGCAGACAACAGGTCCTTTTACTTCGTTGTTTAACGTAGAGACAATTGCTCAGAGCACAAGTTTTGCAAAGACTTCTCATTGAGCTGCTTCAAGAAGTCGGATTTGACAATGTGATAAAGTGAAGGCAGAGAGGCCTTTAACATTTAACCCCAGGGGAAGTACGTGTTGTATGTGTGGTGTGCAACACAAAGCTATGTTTAGTTATGGGCCCTTGGGGTGGAGCATTTGGAAAGCAGGGTGGGCCAATGCTCCACTCAGTTTATACACAACTGGGAGAAATAAGTTCCAGGCCAGAGTTCTTTGGAACTGTCTCCAACCCACTGCTCAGATGCAGAAAATCAGCTGTAGCAGTGGGAATAAACCCCTCCCTGCTAGGCAGGTAAAGGGTAATTGCTGGCTTCCTCCCTGGAAGCAGGTAGGAGAGAGGCTGTTCTCTCCAGTGAGAGAGTCAAGGAGATTGTGCACTGGGAGTGTAGAAAGGAAAGCAACAGGCTGACTTCGCACTGGAGTGCAGAGAGCTGACAAAGACACTAGGTTGGTGAAACCAATATAGTCTTGTTCTAGTTTAACCCCTGAGAGATAGGGAACCTGAAGTTAGTAAGTGCTCAGACGAGCTAGGTTTTTGTTTATAGGGATTTGAGTTATATTTAGGTTTTCATTTGCTGCTGTCTCCTGTGTGGACTTACAAATAAAGTGCCTAGATTATATGCAAATAAAAGGACTGTGCCGGTTTACCCTAGAGGACCGTGCTACCTGCAGACGAGGATCACAACAGCTACAGAAAGTCTGGGTGGTGTTAGAAGAGGAGGGCTTGCAAAGGAAGCAGATAAGAGAACTGCAGGTTTTGCAAGCTTTTTTTATATACCCCCAGTGGAAAAACAAATTAAAATACATGCAAGCTTTGATATGGGGTATTTTTTCTAGACCATGATTATTTTGTATTTGGGCATTGGAGTGTAAATTAACTTAATTTAGTGCAAAGCTGAAAGGACAATTTTACCCTAGTAACAAGAGCGCATACCTTTTCTACAGCTCCGGCCATCAATCAATTCCAACCCACTAGGACACACACAGGTATACTTTGCCGATCGATCATTTATCTGTGGGGCAGGTAAACACAGATATTCACAGCCTCCATTTTGTAGTCTCTCATTGCACCAGTTTTTACCTGTTGATAAAATTTTAGAAAAAAATTCCCACATTAAAGTGACAGTCTTGTCAGATTCAATAGGCATAATTAAACATACGAGTGGGCGTTTCATCTACACATTGTAGTAGTACTTTTACAGATGCTTAATTCACTGGGATCCTGGAACCCATTCCCATTTCACTTCGCCACTGGGTCATTAAATATCAAAATGAGTGTCCTGCATCAAACTACACTGAACATATTTATAAAAGCAACACTTGTTTTCGCCCCCATTTTTCATGAGCTGAATGCAAAGATCTAAGACTTTTTCTATGTACACAAAATACCCATTTCTCTCAAATATTGTTCACAAATCTGTCTAAATCTGTGTTAGTGAGCACTTCTCCTTTGCCAAGATAATCCATCCACCTCACAGGTGTGGCAAATCAAGATGCTGATGAGACCGCATGATTATTGCACAGGTGTGCCTTAGGTTGGCCACACTAAATGTCCACTAAAATGTGCAGTTTTATTACACAGCACAATGCCACAGATGTCGCAAGTTTTGAGGGAGCGTGCAATTGGCATGACGACTGCAGGAATATCCACCAGAGCAGTTGCCCTTGAATTGAATGAAATGCTTTTGGAGATTGCTTATGGTAGAGAAATGAACAGAGAATCTGGCAGTACATCCAACCGGCCTCACAACCGCAGACCACATGTAACCACACCAGCCCAAGACCTCTACATCTAGCATCTTCACCTCCAAGATAGTCATACCAGCCACACAGACAGCTGCTGCAACAATCTGTTTATATAACCAAAGAATTTCTACACAAACCATGAAACCATCTCAGGAAAGCTCATCTGCATGCTAGGCGTCCTCATCGGTGTCTCAACCTGACTGCAGTTTGTTGTAACCGTCTTGAGTGGGCAAATGCTACCATTCAATAGCTTCTGGCACTTTGGAGAGGTGTCCTCTTCACAGATGAATCCCGGTTTTCACTGTATAGGATAGATTGCAGACAGCGTGGATAGTGTCGTGTATGAGCAGTTTGCGGATGTCAACATTGTGAATAGAATGGCCCATGTTGTCGGTGGTGCATTTTATTGATGGCATTTTGAATGCCCAGAGATACCGTGATGAGATCCTGAGGCCCATTGTTGTGCCATTCATCCACGACCATCACATCATGTTGCAGCATGATCGCGCACGGCCTATTTTTCACGGATCTGTACACAATTCCTGGAAGATGAAAACATTCCAGTTCTTGCATGGCCAGCATACTCAGACACGTCACCCATTGAGCATGTTTAGGATGCTCTGGATCGGAGTATACGACACCATGTTCCAGGTCCTGCCAATATCCAGCAACTTCGCACAGACATTGAAGAGGAGTGGACCAACATTCCACAGGCCACAATCAACAACCTGATCAACTCTATGCAAAGGAGATGTGTTGCACTGCATGAGGGAAATGGTGGTCACAACTGATACTGACTGGTTTCCAGACCCCCAATACAGTAAAACTGCACATTTTAGAGTGGCCATCCTAAGGCACACCTGTGCAATAATCATGCTGTCTTGATATGCCACACCTGTGCGGTGGATGATTCTCGGCAAAGGAGAAATGCTCACTCATATATTCACAAATCTGTCTAAATCTGTTAGAGAAATAGGCCTTTTGTGTACATAGCAAAAAAAAAAAAGTCTTAGATCTTTGAGTTCAGCTCATGAAAAATGGGTGCAAAAAAAAAAAAAAAATCATTTTGTTTTGTGTAGTTCCAGAACATGGCTTGTAGTAACAAGTAATGTCATGGCTGAAGTAACAGGCATCAATGATTTTCATAGACCTATATAGATTTCCAAAGTTACACATTTGTGACAAATGCCAATTTAGGCATGAGACCATCAACCAGAAGATTATAGGCAATGTATCTTTGTAGTTTACAGCCCCACCTTAGCATTGCAAGATGCTGAAAGTTCTCGTGCAAAATAGGAAGACTTCGGGCATCGTTCACAGAGTCAAACGCTGTGGATCTGTAGGAAGCATCTCTAGTGACTGGTAGACAGGGACTAGAGGCATTAACGGGACAGTGACCGTGCACTCAGACCACTTCAATGAGGGGAAGTGGCCAGGGTGCCTAGTGTCCTATTAAGTGGTCATTTCTCTGCATGGACATGTATTTGACAAAGTGATCAGAAGCAGAGATGTTCAGACTTCTAGGTTTGTGTTTGCAAACGACAAAAATCTCAACCTTTATTTTTGAAGTAGAATCATTTTTAAAGAAGAATCATTTTTAAAGATAGTTTAGCCAGGTACACATACACACACTTTTCTTAATGCCTGCATTTTACACTTTACAACTTTTCAGCTTAGTGTTCCCTCTGTTTCACTATACAGAACCCACCCCCCAAAACGGATATTAACAAGCACTAGTTCATTTGTAAACTGCAGTGTTTAAAGCTATAGATTTAGAGGAGTTGGAGTTTTCCGAACAACGAAATTGTCTTCTTAGAGAGGTTAGCCATAAGAAAACATTTAGATACTAAAAATTATGCAGAATTCACAGCTACAGCAATATTTCACATGAAAATACCTACATTTGTAATTTTGTAGCATCAGAACTTATATTGTGCATTGCTTACCAGAGGGCTGAACCAGTTCATGATATACAATAATATCTTGTGCATCATTTAAGTTGTTCACAAGTGTTGCCAGTTCTTGTCCAGTAAATTTATTTGCACCGTAGATAGCTTCATTTTCTCCATCTATCCAATAAACCCGATCCTAAGTGAGATTTAAGCATAATTCACTGGACTTCCTTTTAAAATTTGAGGTTCAGTTTTAAGTAATCTTTTAAGTAAGAAAGGAATCCTACCTCAAATATAGTAAGTGCCAGTGGATGAGCAAGGAACTCTGGAGACTTTAAAATTATTCTGCGATCTAGGCCGTTCATGTCAACACTACAGAGCATGTGCATCTTGGAATCAAGCCAATACAGTCGACTTTTTATCAAATCTGAAGAATAAAATGTCATGATTAAGATTCAGGAAGAGTTCTGGTAAATTTGTGGTATTTTGAAATAATTCACTATATGAAGTCTTGTGCACACCGGTAGCAACTAAGTTGGACCTCAGTAAGAATTACAAGTGTTCTGTAATCTAAGAGCTTGGACTCAAAGCCAGTCAGACATGGAGTAGTCTGAGGAGCTGATGCCAAGTGCTCGATTAAGATTCAGCCTTAACGTCGCTTATACCAGGTTACATAAAGTGGTCTTTAAAGCCTCTAGGGTGGCAGATATCCCTGCATATTTGGTGTGAGCAGGGATTTAACTCAGCAAACACTACTAATTCCAGGTATCAATCGATACTTAGGTCTCCTGTAAGTACTAGAAGCCAGCGCTACAGAGCCCTTTAACTCAATTCTTAAATAAAAAAATATAAATAAAATTTGTGGGGTGCAGAATAGACCTGGGCAGGGTTTCCCAGATTGTCCCCAGTCAATGTGGACTGGTGCTAGGCTTTGCCAGCTTCCAATCACCAATTTCTATATAAGCAACTGAGAACCAGGCTCAGAGTTACACCAATTGTAATTCTGAATAAAAACCATTAGATGGTGGCAGCATACTACCATATACGGTGTTAAATACAGTAAAATATCAGAACTTATAGTAGGAGTGGATAAACTTAGGGTTAGGGTTGGGTTAGTGGTAAGGTTGGGATACGGTTACGGGTAAGAGGTAGTTGGTGTAATTAGGGGTGATGTTATACTTTGTTTTGGGATAGGGTTGCCTTTAGTGTTGGGTTAAAGATTAATGCCTTTTTAGGGTTAAAGAGTATGGTTGAAGTAAAGTACAAGATTAGGGTAGGCATAGAGTTAGAGTAAACATTGGGTAAGGGGTTAGCATTAACTATCAAACAACATTAGATCCTCAAGATATTTGGTATTTAACAATCAGGACGATTCTATTCGAATCTATTCAGAGTGCTTTTTAATTATTTGCACATGTGAAAATCCTAAGCAAAAATATGAAAACCGTTATACATTTAATTTTTTTCTATATTTATACACTAGTGTGTTTGGCATACCTATAGTATGTTAAATAAAACCCTTTCTGCCTTCATATAAAAAGAAAAAAAAAATTATATGTATGGGGGTACTTTAAGAGAAACCCTTAATTTATGGTAAAACAAACCTATAGCTCAAATTCAATTATTTGTTTTAGTTCGGAACATGGACAATTGCCTCCATCCTTAAAGCATTAAATTAATTTAATCCCTGGGCTAGGAGCCCAAAAAAAAAAATAGGTCCCAATTCAACACAATTGCAACCGTGAGAAATGTATCATTTGATTACTTTCCCCAGCGTGATTGAGATCAAGAGTGGGATCAAACAAAGGTATTTCAGTATACTATAAAATGTAAAATTGGCACCAAGCAGGTTTACATGTACTTAATTTGAGTCACCATCAATGTTATAAACCACTACCCTAGAACCAAATTGTATATTGTCTTAACCAAACTGGACTTTTAATGCATTACATAGAGTCTCACATTGCCAGTTATGATTGTAGTCATCCACATTGCTACTTTACTCTTAATTCCAAGATTATTCTCTGAATCAGCAGCAGGTTACACTGAGAAAATCTCATTTTGGCCAGTGTGTTTTACAGCCAGCTGTGGGATAATTCATTACAGAATACGGAAGATTGTATTGGCACACATCCATACAACCTTTAAAGCAAAATAAAATTCCTATCGCAAACTCCGGGATTAAGTTACAACATATGCAACAATCACTTGGCCCAGAGTACAGTCAAATAAATTAATTCACAGCAAAATCAGATGTGTTAATATTTACTTACTCCAAATTTTAAAATGCAAGTGATGGCATGTTGCATATTTTTCAAAAATATGTATGCACAAGCATATCAGTAGAAGTACAAAAACTGCTTGGTTGCATGTTCCACGGAACATATGGGAAATTTGAAATTCTGTTACCTATGCTGTATCTTTAAACAAATTGAGGTCATTTAGTTGCTCCAATGGCTGCCTGGGGGGGGTCTGCCTTGACGTTAACAGGCGGGCATTCCTTCCAATGGCCATTGGAGTAACTAAATTACCTCCATTTGTTTAAATATACATAGGGATTCAGGAGAGAGCGCAGGTAACTTTCTTTGGTTTTTACTGTATGTATGGTGGCTGATGTGTACTGTGGTCGTTGCTGCCGCCCAGGAGTGATGGGAGTGAGCGCAGGATTTCTCTTTGTAAATGCTGTATCTTCATGTTAACGACTTACAGGAGGGACAGAAAGTGAATCTTACACTTGCCGTATGTGGTGTTCAGCGTGGAGACTAGTACCGAGCGCTCCATATTGGATACAGGCTTACAGAGCATTTCCACAATATGGAGGGCTCAGAACTAAATTGGTACTACAGCTCATGCCATACACCAGAGTCCAGCTGCATCTACTAAGCACGGTTAGGAGGTTACCCATGACACATTCACAATTTACCGGAGGTGTGGGGGTAATCAAGTTAAAAATGAGACAACTGTAGAGTATAGTTTATACTTTTAAAATTAAAAAAAATATATATATACCTAAAGTAATTCCACTGGGTCTCTGAATGTCTGTTATCACCAACTGTTGTCTGTCTATTCCATTCATTCCAGCTTTTTCAATCTTGGCAGGCTCGCCCCAATCAGACCAGTAAATAAACCTATTAAAAAGGGAAACATTACAGTATTTTATCTATGAATGAATCAGATTTCCATTTGTTGTGCAATTGAAGTCTTATCGTCTGATTCAGATGTAAATGTTTTAATATGTTTGAGGGATGCATGCTCTGGAGTACATAAACTAAACATGAGCGCTACTGAAATGTACCATATAAAATATGCGGATATTGGCTTTTTATTCTAGAGAGATTTTTTTACCATTTTAGCGGACTTTAGCATGCCAAATTAAAATTTTAAAGTCATCACGGTGTGACGTGGTTTTATAAAATATTTCACTTATCTATGCGAGGCATTTCTAGTGAGATTAAGATTTTAATCTGATAGAAGGCAACATCCCATTGTGGCCGAATTGTGTAAAGCCAAAACATCTTTGCAGATGCACCCAGACCCAGTTACATTCCCTGCTGCTAGTCGCCGACTGGAGGAGATGGGCACATATGCAAACCACAACTGTGCTGCAAAGCCAATAGTGCTCATTTATAGCCAGCTAAGGTATGGTATCAAATATTAAGGAACAGTTTTGTTACTTCTATTGCTTCTATATGAAAAGGAGTTTGCGTGTGGGTTGCTAGTTTGCATGGCTGCTTTAGTACCACAGTTCTATATTTTCAAGAATACAATGGATTCTACATTTTAGTTTTTACCATTTTCTTTCAACCAAACTATTCTAAAGATTAGAGCTTTACAGGTAAAAATTAGAATTCTTCTTCTTGTAGTTAATCCAGTTTAATGAGAGAATCAGAAAACCTAAACAAACTGTACATACCCAGAGAGTGGATCGACTGCTATGGAAGACGGATCTTTCAGGCCTGCATTAAACAGGACTTTCTGCTTAGAGCCATCAAAACTAGATACAGATATGGTCTTCAATCCTACATCTGTCCAGTATATAGTCTTGTAAATCCAGTCGACAGCAATTGCTGCAGGATTATGCAAATGCTCTATTACTTTGACAGGACTTCCTACTCTTACACGATTGTCCACAGAGGCACTGAAGAACAAATGAGCAAGAATTAAGATTTTAGCAGACATGCAATCAAGTCAAAAAGGTCATATAAAACGCAAATATAAACATTTACACTCATTGTAAAAAATACTGGAGAGAAGGTCAACCTTACAAAGATAAACACAGGATCTTGGCAGAATTTCTGTCCTACAATTGAGTAACCCAAAAGTATGAAATGTGTTCTAAAATGAATTCAAAATAAAATGGCACATGTTACTAGACTTCTGCGTTCTACTTCAAGCTAATTAGTCTGAAATTCAGGTGACCAGCAATTTGTCTGAATTCCATGATTGAAACGCCAGATCACGAAAGAGACAAGCAAAAAAAAAAAAAAAAGGGGGGGGGGGGGATAAAGATAAAAAATAAATAATGAAGACCCAGCCACTAAATATTTTTATTAACAGTTCAAGTGAGAAGTGACCAAAAGACAGGGGCGGGGGGGGGAATTGTACACATTCATACATACATAGCACAATCTGCCCTCCACATCAGTGAAGGACTGTGGAATAATTCATTCAAAAAGTTGGACAAGAAAGATGGATCTAGTCAGTTTACCGGAGTAAAAGGTTACACGCCAGGATTTATGCGCAAGTTTAACAAGGGCTCGATATTTCCATTATCAGTAGGATAACGGAATTGCAACATTGTTTATTATTCAGCCAGCACATCATATGGAAACTATTCTAGAAGGTGTCAAGACAGATCTAAAGACATTTTAACTTTAATATGGCTTTCTAGGAAATGTATATTAATGCACAAGCATTTGCTGTAATTTTTTTATTTATTTTTTTTAAAGTCAATCTTTCTTTTATTGAGATGATAGCGTTGTACAAAGAAGGAATAACAATATGTCAGAGCATTTCGGTTTGGTATCAAGAACAACATACAAGGTTTGTCGGATAATGCTCTGTGCAAGAAAGAAATCAAATTTTTTGTTTTAGTGCATATCACAGGCTACAGTTACAAGTCCAGGTGAGCAGTAGGATATATTCTCACAAAGTTTAACTATCTAGACTGGTGAGAAGGAAAATTAAAATAAAACCGTAACGCGTTAATAAGCTTGGGTATAGAGGTAAACTCAAGATACATCAGTAGTGAAGCATAACTGCAAGGTCGCAAAGATGTACATGTATTATTCAGCCAGTCGTCCTACATTTAGCATTTTTATGTTGAATAAGCAGACTGAATATGTCAGGTTACATTGACCTGTCACAGGTGTCCTATAAAAGGACTGGTAGGTAGATTAGTAGTGAGGGATAGTGTTGCTTAACTTGGTAAATCCACTTTAGTCAGTACTGTAACCTGCACCACGGGTTGTATTTGCGTTAGGTAGCCCTCCATAACATATGGAGTGTGCTGCTAAACGGTAATGCTGTCTCATAGGCTAGATATGTATGGTTACTTTGAATATTGTCGAGACAGCTGCAAATTAGGAATCTACCGTCCAGACTAAGTATGTGGTACGTTACTGGACATATTGCAGTGGATGCTCTTAGGTAGCGAAGCTGCATGGCAGGCAAGGTTTGCAAGGGCAATGCTAGTGCAATATACTGGACTAATGTAACAAAAATGCACAGGAAATTAAACATGTTAAACTAGAAGTACCGGAGTGACTATCAAAGTGTGACTAAGCATGTACAAAAAGGTAATCTGCGTAATGCACATCACGTTTGAGTCCTTCAAGCGGAAGACCACTGGATCCCGAGAACGTGTCGTGGCTATGTACCATCGGTATGGCTGATGGCAGCCTGCCTCAGTCAGCCAGTTCAGTTTTAGCCGATGCCCACATGTGGGATGATCATGAAGGAGGCAGGTGGTGTAACAAGAGGTGCAGCACAATGGAAGCAGTACAGTCCATCCTTTCTGCGCCAGACCAGCGTGAGGGCCAGTGACTTCGAGCCATGGACCTGGAGGCTCGGGGAGACCAATTCCAGCCCACCATGTGGGCAACGGAGGGCCCTGGTGTTTAATCGCCAGCTGTGGCGGGTTACTCTCCGTCTATGTGGTGGACACTTCTGTGTTAATACCTTTGAGGCCCTAGGCAGGCTGATCTTCGGCTGGGTAGTGTGTCTGGTAGAGCCCAAGGCTACTGGGGGCTCATCCGTTCCCGGGCTTATGCCCCTTTGAGTTCCCACCTGAGGTAGCCGTTGTGTGGCTGCCGCACGGCTTTCCAGTTTGGCCCAAAATCGAGCCAACAGCTCATCTAGCCGTTGGATCGACTGTTCCACAAAGTTCTGTGGCAGCTTCCCTGCTTGCTGTTGCATAGTGTGAGATGGGCACGTCCACCATTTTGATTTCACAAGGGGATTGTGGCTGCATTTTGTGTGCATCAGCCAGGTAGGTGTTGGTCGCCTAATTACTACGCGAGTATATGGGGCAAGCCAAGGGGGACCGGGATAACCCCTGCCAGTCCATGGGGGGGCGAGGGGGAAGGACAGCACTAGTCAAATTTTTACTGCCAGTCAAAGCCGTAGGGGAGCGGCCTCCTCTCCGCTGCCCAGTCGCTGGTAGTCCTAGCCTAGAGTCTGAGTTTCCAGTGGCGGAGAAGCCCACGGGAGGTATCCCCGAAACCACCAGTGTATCAGGGTCAAGCTTAATATTGCGCTGCATCCAGGTAAGTATTTGGCTAGGTAAAATAAAGTTTAAGGTGCCAGATGCGGGAGCTCACGCCCCTTGCCATAACATTTTAAAGTTAAACCATTTGTATCCATTTTTCTGCACCATTTCGCATATCCTGGAGAACAAAACATTTTACTGACACTATACAAAAAAAAAGCTGCAATTTAGAATAAAACAATCTTTTTCAGAACTAGATAAGACATACCTGAATATGGCTTTTTGAATTGTATCTGCCCAAAACAAGGTGTGTGCTTGTATGTCAGCATCCAATGACACCGTATTGCGCAACTGTTCCACTAATTGTATATATTCTTTCCTTTCAAGCCCAATCTTTCGGATATCCCTGCGGTTTGTGAATATTAAACTTGGCTCCCGGTCTGCAGGTAGAAATAAAAATACGATTAAGCTATAAGACCCAAGTATCTGTCAGCTTTCTCTCAGTATCCCACAGATTAAGTAGTTAAAACATACTTTAGTTTATCTTTCAGTTTTGCTGCCTGGCAATTTCACAGAAATCAAGCCCAGTGGAATGCACCAAAACAGCTATAGGTTCGTTATTACCAAGACACCAACTGGGTTATTTACTAAAGAATTCAAGGACAAAAATAGCAGAACTGGAAACATTGTTTATCTGTGCTTCTACTTTGGCCTTAAAAAGGATCCTATAGTGCCAGGAAAGCAAAGCAATTTTCCTGGCTCTATAGATTTCTAAGGTGCGCCCCACCCCTCCCCTCCCATTTTTACATTGCAGCACTAAGTGCAAAAGGGACAGCACCCAGACCACTTCAATTAGCTGAAGTGGTCTGGGTGCCTACAGTGTCCCCTTTTAAGTTGAAATTCACTTTGAATTCTAACTTTAGTGAATAACCCTGCTAAAAGCTACACATGCCTTATCTTGTATCCAATTACTCTCAGGAGTACATAATGAACAAATATCTAGTGTCTAATAAATGGGCATTTCCATTACAGAAAATTTGTTGTGTATAGGTTTACAGTTTCACTAGACAAGTCAAAGGTCTTCAACTAAACAAATGGGGCTGAGCAATCCCAATAGATGCTAGAGGGATAGCAATTGCCCCGGTACTTCTTTCCAGTGGTTCTCACAATCAAAGTGTATCCAATACTGTAAACTAGTGTAAAAATATGAGCGACTATAAGACAAGGTCATTTACCTACTGCCTTGCACACTCCTGTAGACAGATCCATTTGATACCCTTTGCTGCATTCACATTTGTAGCCCCCTTTCAGATTGACACATATTTGACTGCAAATACCAGGGTTTTGACATTCATCAATATCTGTTAGAATAAAATGAGGGGTTAAGTTACTGCCGACTTTATAATGTTCAGTATGCCTGCTCATTGCTCCAGCACTGAATATGGAACCTTACCACCACAGGTCTTCTGATCAATTAATTCATAACCAGCTAGACAGTCACATTCATGGCCAATAACCAAGTCCCGGCATATGTGAGAGCAGCCACCATTGTTAATCAAGCACGCTTTTTGACCTGGAAGGAAAAAGTGCCATTATATGGTTCCATCAAAAGGCTTGATTGTTTTTCATACTTTTAAGAAAGCCGTGAAATAATTGCTGGGATATGGGGATTTCAGAAATTATGCTTCAGTATCACTCTGAACAGGGAATTAAAAGGACACATGTGGATCAAATTCATTATGCAGCTATAGCAAACAAATGCAATGCTCTATTTTGCTTGCCTGTAATTCATTGCACATTTTGCAAGTGAAAAAAATTAAAATTTAAAAAGATTCAGTCAAAGATTGACTGAACCAGAAAGAAATTGGTTCAGTCAATCCTAGTCATTTTCAAACAAAGTGTGTGGGGTCGGTCGCTCTTGCAGTTGAGCCGCAAGTTGCTTCCATCCATGTAAGTGGAGTTCTGGCATGTCTGTGCAACGTCTAGTTGATACACTAGAGTAGTACGGAAATGCCATGAGAACTTTTTGAAGCTGTACCGCTGCAAGCTTCATGCTACTGCTCCCAAAAATGTATTTATTTTCAAGAACAAAGACCTGCAGGGTTATGGGATTTTCATGAATTTCAAGAGATTCTTTTGAGGGTCCTATGTAGCCCAAATGAGATTTAGAGCTATAAACATGTGACAAATGGAAGCACACCGCACCCAGATACATTGTTTCTGAAGCTTTGCTTTTTATTTTTACTCTAGTGCGTGTTTACTTTAGCATAGTTGCCTACTGTTCCGTTTTTGCCAGGACAGTCCCAGTAAGCGGTACTCTGTCCCAGGCAATTCTCTCTTTATGGAGCAGGTGGAGATTAATTATGTGGGTTGACATAGTGGGCAGAGTTTTGCAGCAGTGGCTGTGATACATTTTCAAGGTACGGTAGTAATTGATAGCTGTGCTGCAAAGTGTCCAGGGAAATTTTTCTCAAATGTTGGCAACTATTAGTTGTAGGAAATAAGTGCTCATACATCCTATAGCAGAGGGGAAGTTCAGTTATCTGCATTTGCAGAGGAATTCTACACACGTTCTGTAGTACTAAACGTAACAAATCAGCAGTAAAGTCATTTATGTTTTGTCAGTGCAAATATACACTACGGATTAATTCAATGGTGGGTTATACAGTTTCTTACCACATTCATTTTCGGGTTCATCACTCAAGTCTCTGCAGTCTGCTTGCTTATTGCAAACCTTGTTAAGATCAATGCACTCCCCAGATTTGCACTTGAATTTAGCAGTGCCAGAGCACTGGTTAACTGGAATATACAAAGGAAAAAACATACATGAGATTTTATTTTATGGTTAAAAACCTACAGATGCACTATGTTTTACCCACCATTTGTACAGCGAAGTTCGTCAGAACCATCAAGGCAGTCCCGCATGCCATCACACTGCCTAGTCCCGTGAATGCAATTTCCATCTTCACATACAAATTGGTCTGGCTGACATGTACGAGAAGCTGTAAATAAATTTAAAAAAATAAATGCATTCTAGCATTTTAAAGTTGAATTCTGCTTAAAACAAGGTTTTGAATGGGAAAGTCTGCACATGTCCACTATATTTGTATGGAATCAAAATATATTCTATGGACATTTAAGATAAGTGCCTAGGACTGGCACAACCCCAGTATGTATATTTAGCCAAATAATCATCTACCAGATTGGTCTGAGATGGCTATAGATTTTCCCTTATTATAGAGACAAGGAAAATTCCAAACAAAAACAGAGAAACCTACAACTTTTATGATCTTAGTTTATAATGGTAGAAAGAAAATGTAAATCTGGCAATTATTTCTAGTCCAACTTCCTGGGTCAGGTTTGGATTTTAAAATAACTGTCCAAGTCTGACATGCAGTTAGTTACATCATTCAACCTACCACAGAGTCAACACTCCAAACTATGTTGCACGTTAAAGGTGAAATAGTAGAAGTGCTAAGAAGTTTGTGATCCAAGTCTGTCCAGATTAAAACGTCTGGCCCTTATGTATTAAAGGAACACTATAGTCACCTTAACAACGTTAGCCTAACGAAGCAGTTCACAGCCAGCATGATTCACTTTCAGATGTAATTTACCTTAAACCATTATATCTCCTGCTCTGCAAATTGAAATTTAAAATCACATACAGGAGGCTCTTGCAGGGTCTAGCAAGCTATTAACATAACAGGGGATCCAAAAATCTAAATTAAACAATTTGCAATAAAGGGATGAACATTAGATGACTCTTTACAGGAAGTCTTTAGGAAGGCTGTGCAAGTCACATGCAGATAGGTGTTATTAGGGTTCATAAATAAAGTGATTTAACGCCTAAATGGCAGATAAATTAGCAGTGAGGCTGGAGGGGCATGTCCTATACACCAAAATTGCTTCATTAAGCTAAAGTTGTTTTGGTGACTAATGTCCCTTTAACTATTGTTCAATCTGGTGGAGTCTTTCAGCAGGGTTACATATAAAATGTGTATTATCCAATATATGTATTGAGATTTTGCACATTTATTTTTGCACTAAGCACTTTCATTTGGGAAGATTTTAGTGTTAATTTTCTTCATTTTACTTTGTGCCTTAGACATTCTATTTAAATACTGAGCAATTTAAGAAGCAACCTGTTCAAGTGCATCTTTACATATTACACACTTTATGTTAATGATTTACACAATTTATTACCAGATATGAGCAGTCTAGACAACATTATATATATGTATAATGCACCAGTTTCAGCATTTATTCCACTGTAAAATTCTAAATTTAGGCGAAACGGGAAACTCCTGATTAATGTGGATATTCTGATTCGATAATGTATTTTAAACTTGCTACAATGAGAAAGCACCTTTCAAACCAGGTGGAACTTACGGCAATTCATCTCATCACTCTTGTCTTTGCAGTCTGCATCACCATCACAGCGCCACCTCTTATGGATGCATTCCCCAGAGCCACACAGAATTTCACTAGGCGAACATCTTTGGTGAGGATTAGGTTGGCGGCCACATTGCTCCATAGATTCATCTGAGTGGTCAGAGCAATCTGCATCATCATCACATACCCAGCTGAGTGGAATGCAGGAGGAATTCTTGCACTGGAACTCATGGGCTCCACATGTAAGAGGTGCACAGCCCACTTCGTCACTTCCATCACCACAGTCATTGTGACCATTACAGTAAAAGCTGATGGAAATGCAACGCCCACTGGAGCAAGTGAACTCTGATGGACTACAAGTAATATTTCCTATTAGAAACATGAAAAAAAAAAAAAGAAATAGTTATTTTAGATGTACAAGGTTCGCAGGCCACACAAACAAATCAAAACACAAAATGAGCATGTCTCTTTGAGCAATATTACCAGCAAGATTCTTTTCTAGAGTGCCATGCTACGCGTGTTGGCCAGTCTAGAGTGACTTTTAGACATTTTTGCATTGCTCTTTAAGCAACACAGACACAACCTACTTTCACCTTTTGCATTAAAGCATGAACCTCACTCTGCCTCAACCCCCCCAAGTTTTGACGAAAAGATTCCCAGAATTTGTTGAATGCATTAGATGGCCAGAGAGTCAAGGGAATTTGAGTTCAGAAACATCTGTGGGGGCAGAGATGCCTGCTTTAAAAGCTTGTTTTACCTACAAACAAGAACACTTACTCCTATCTTCGCAGTATAATTTTTTTAACAGATCAGTTTAACTATATATCGGGATTGGTGAAGTTACAAAACCTGCATTACATGGTACTTTAAGGGTCAAGAGTTGTTAAGAGACTTTAAATGAATCCAAAAATATGGGGGATGCACAGATTATTCATGCTGTTCTGTCCTCAATTTAACCTCTGCTAGATACAGTCCCTTGAGGTACATGGTTTCATATTGAATATTGCCGCCAAGTCAGCTACAGCTCCTAAGAATATTTTAAAAACATGTCAGCAAAGTGATTTTACACTTCACTGACGAATTGTGACCCACAGGCAATGGAAGCAGAGCAGATAAATAAATGATACACAAGCCAACTAAAAGTGATAGTTGTCACTGGGAAAAAAAAAAAAGGCCCTGTGCAGTCTTCTGCATAACTTCTAAGTAATGATTCATTTAAAAATGGCTGCCTTAGACAAACAAGCTTTAAGCAATTTAACAGAATCTACAGAAGTCATTCGTGAATATTGCTGTAAAAAAAGTGTTTTTTCCTTTAAATTAAAAAACCCTGCATAGAGCATTTTCAAAACCCTTCCTCCTTAAAGTTATTTTCCCAAAATAATGATTTTATCTGAAGAAAAGAGCATGCCATTCGGGACTTTAAAGGACCACTCTAGGCACCCAGACCACTTCAGCTTAATGAAGTGGTCTGGGTGCCAGGTCCAGCTAGGGTTAACCCATTTTTTCATAAACATAGCAGTTTCAGAGAAACTGCTATGTTTATGAATGGGTTAAGCCTTCCCCTATTTCCTCTAGTGGCTGTCTCATTGACAGCCACTAGAGGCGCTTGCGTGCTTCTCACTGATTTTCACAGTGAGAGCACGCCAGCGTCCATAGGAAAGCATTATGAATGCTTTCCTATGTGACCGGCTGAATGCGCGCGCAGCTCTTGCCGAGCGTGCGCATTCAGCTGACGGGGAGGAGAAGAGGAGGATCGGAGGAGGAGAGCTCTCCGCCCAGCGTTGGAAAAAGGTAAGTTTAACCCCTTTTCCCCTTTCCAGAGCCGGGCGGGAGGGGGTCCCTGAGGGTGGGGGCACCCTCAGGGCACTATAGTGGTCCTTTAAGTTTTATTGATTTGGTAGCTGTAACTACCGAACACCGACCACCCCGGCTCATTATCTTCAAATGAAACAGTCAATTAAGTGCTCTCCCTGTGTGGCCATCTTGTTCACACGAAAAGAGGCAGCGGGACCTGTTGAGTGTCTGGAACTAAAATCAGACACTCTACTTCCCGAACACCAGTCAAAGTATACGCCTGCTTCCCTTTTCCCGAACAGCCAGGAGAGTGCTGTTCGGTTTGTGCATTATTTTTTATGACTTTTTGAAACAGACCCGATGGCACAGCCTAAACTCACGGAACAGTTTCTGGGCAGGAGCCCATGTGTGGTCTGTTCAAATGGGACTTCCATAAAATTAGAAGACCCCTGAGCTGATCTGGGTGATTTTTGGGATATGTTGGTCACCCAGATCAGGGGATATAACATTTATGGTGATTTTTTTGTTTTGGGGTACTTTTATGAAATGTGTTTTTTCTTCCTGGAGATAATCGAGTTATTACTTTATCGGACTCCATTATCTCACAGACAGAGAGGAGGGAATTATCTGTTTGCATTGGGAGTGTCAAACTTTGTTACTGTATTGTCATTGATTGTAAACTATGTGTCTCAGTTCCCCACAAGGACCACGTGGCAGTGCCCCTTGCATGGGGACTTGCATAAAAGCCAGCGTGGCACCCATTAAAATCATTCCTGTAGTAGCCTTTATGAAGTCTAGGCTCATGTTTGGGCAACGGTCTACTTGCTGCGGAGAAAACTACTTTGATGCTGCATTCTTGTGAAACCATTCAAATCTACACCTGAACTGCCTGCTATAATCACTCAGGCTCAACAGTTCGGGAGATAGTAGGCAAACAGGGTATCTACTATACCAGCATTCGTAACACCACCTTAAGTAAGCTGTAGCAGCTACACAATCCAAAGATTACATCAGCATTCTTTCTATACAATTCAGAGGTTTAAGGCAATTTATAATTAGTGGGAACTTGCAAAGCAAACAGAGGGTGTAGCAAGTATAAGATATTCCAGGGTTTATAGGTAAAGTCACTTAAAGTACTGGTGGACTGTCTGCCAATCACAGTCCAGTTTCCTTGGCATATTTGTAGACTAACTTCTCCAAGTAACATGTTCATGCACAGAGCTGCAAATGACCCATTTGTATCATGTGACTGGTAATTTGTGTTGACTCATTGTGCCCTTATCCTGCATTCAGAATTTCTCAAAGCACTATGTACATCAAGTGGATGTTCAAGTGGCAAATTTATAAAACTCCTTTCAAATACAAGTTAAATAAGACAGTCTTCATGACTGATACGGTTCACATTTAGTTCTATAAATTTTCATAGATGCACTTTTGCTACCAGATTGAGCTGGAAGGATGCCATTTTTCCTGAAGCAACAAGGTAGTTATACATTGGTCAGCTACACAACCTGATCAAACAGCTTCTTGGGTGAAAGTACCACTTACCACAGTTCTCTTCATCCTCTGCATAGTCACAGTCTCCTTCACCATCACATTGCCATGAAAGAGGGATGCACAGTGTTGAACGAGCACCACAACTTATTTCTGTAGCTCTGCACGTCCTCACATCTGAAAGGAAGTGGTGAGTAAAGCAAACAGTTTTCAGTTAACCTATACCAACAGTTCAGGTCATAGACTTCTCCAAAATAAATAACATATTGCGATGGAAAGCCTCCATCCAAAAGGCGGTTTTCCACACAGCTCACATTACTAGTTTGCAAATATTTGAGAGAGTGCTTATTAGCAGCTTATGCTCCAACTTTAGAAGACCGTAACACTGATCACAAACATGGGTCACTCACAGGTTACAAGGTACTGCTTATTGGCATCAACCATTTTAAATGGTTCATCTTTCCTGACCCACACAGTGTCAGGTAGAGTAATTAACAAACTCATGCTAGTGCATTAAACTCCAGTGTATTGGGTGTAGTAAATAAACCAAGATGTAGATGTTATAGCTCGGGCGAGCCAGGTTCCCATTGCTGTACACACACACACACTTTCTACCAAAAATAAACCACAAACTGTATACTAGGTTGAGGTTTCATCTTCCTTAAAGGAACACTATAGTTACCTAAATTACGTTAGCTAAATAAAGCAGTTTTAGTGTATAGATCATTCCCCTGCAATTTCACTGCTCAATTCACTGTCATTTAGGAGTTAAATCACTTTGTTTCTGTTTATGCAGCCCTAGCCACACCTCCCCTGGCTATGATTGACAGAGCCTGCATGAAAACAAAAACTGGTTTCACTTTCAAACAGATGTAATTTACCTTAAATAATTGTATCTCAATCTCTAAATTGAACTTTAATCACATACAGGAGGCTCTTGCAGGGTCTAGCAAGCTATTAAGATAGCAGGGGATAAGAAAATCTTAATTAAACAGAACTTGCAATAAAGAAAGCCTAAATAGGGCTCTCTTTACAGGAAATGTTTATGGAAGGCTGTGCAAGTCACATGCAGGGAGGTGTGACTAGGGTTCATAAACAAAGGGATTTAATTCCTAAATGGCAGAGGATTGAGCAGTGAGGCTGCAGGAGCATATTCTATACACCAAAACTGCTTCATTAAGCTGAAGTTGTTCAGGTGACTATAGTGTCCCTTTAAGGATTTTCTCCACTGCTTAAGTGCCTGTATCATGATTTATAATTGTGAACAAGTAGGTTACAATCTATCATGACCCAAATAATTTTCCCAATTTCTTCTGTTTTTAAAATGTGAGGTGGGTCTTTTATAAGAAGGTGCACCTTGTGCATATTTTTGAATTTTATGATTAATAAATTCCGATAAATGTGCAGTTATGGAATTTATGTCACTAAGGATATGAATCACCAGTAGTTTAGTAAGATTTTTATGCACATTTAGTTAAGGAAAAAATGGTTGATTGTAAAGTTATTTTTAAATTTTTTCTAAAAATATATTGTTCATAAGCCGTATCTAAAAGATAAAAAGTTAAATTTAATTGTTGGCGTATGGATCAATATTTAATAGGTATTCAGATCTCCGAAAATACTTTAAGACAATATTCTTTAGTCATGCAAACTAACACCAACACACTTATGTACCTTTTATAGTTGTAGCTCTAGTTTGTCTAGATCAGGGGTAGGCAACCTTTTAGCAGCACTGTGCTGATAGGACTGTGATGTCCCGTAGCGTGCCAATCCTATTTTTTTTTTTTTTAAATTGGTGTGTTTGCTGCCGTATTCTGCTTGTGTTATTTATACTCTAATTGCTTTGTATCATTGTATTTGTGTGTATATGAGCTTTTATTTTGTATATGTTCATTAGTAGTTTATGGTATGGTGTATGATACATATAAATGTGGGCTGTGTATGAGGGCTGCTTGTGGAATTGTGTGTGGATGATATGTCACATTGTGTTTGGTAGTGTGTGGGCTGTTTGGGGTATTGCATGTGAGAGGCTGCATGTGGGGTTGTGTGCATGTATGTGGATTGTTAGCGGCTTATGTTTGTGCAGATTGTGTGTATATGTTTGTGTGTGGGCTGTTCGTATTATTTTTATGAGGGGAGGCTTATTCTGCAGGTCTGTGTATATCTAGCAGTGTGGGTGGCTTCCCTGGGTTCCAGTGGGGACCAGGCTGGCCAGGTACAGGTCAAGGACAGGAGCTGCAACAGCAGCTGCAGGTTGCTCTACTACAGTGTGGATTCCCATTCACAAGTGCTGGGAGGAAGTGATCTGAGATCACTTCCTCTATGTGCTGCAATGCATAAATTGAGGATTGTCCTTCACCACCTTTTCGTATTAGCAGATATCTGAAGATTCACTGGGACTTCTGATTGGTCAGAGCCTGTTTAGCTCTAGCAGCCTTGAGTGCCGTACATGGCACTAGTGCCTTAGGTTGCCTACCCCTGGTCTAGCTCATGACATACCATATTAAAAGTGTCTTATAATATTCTGATAGACACCACCCCACCCCCACCATAGGGTAAAAAAAGTGTTTGATTTATCCATTTAAGAATCTAAAAAAAAAAAAAAGTTTTACCCAAAAAAATAAAGTCCTTTTTCGAAAACCACTTTTGTAGATCAATACATGTACTAAAAAGGTCTTCTCATTGTTGCAAACTTAAGACCTTTTTCTAAACCTTTCAAATTAACAGTTAATTCGATATTTGTTAAATGATAAAAGCCCAATTGTTTATCTAATTCCTCCTCATTCTCCTAACTAAGATGTTTCTTCCAACCTTTCTTTTTGAAAAGTGTGTATGATTAACAGAGAGAGTTGAACAAGTGATTGTGTGGTTTGAAGAATTGTGTTATTCTTCCCTTTAGTTTTGGTTCCCTCTATAAAAATGTTCTATCTTCATGATTATCTTGGTTTCAATTAGCTGCCTGTGCATATGCTTTTCTGTGAGGTGACTGGATTGGAATAATTTGAGAATGCAGAGTATCATGACGTTTCTCACCTACTCATTGGAGAGTGGGTAGCATTAATAGAACTGCCACAATAAGATATCTATTTCTTTGGGGTTCTTTTATATAGTTAGAATAGGGTTCACCCCCCCCCCCTTAGGAAAGTTTCTTAATAGTAGAAAAAGTACATTTTAGATCATAAGCTTTTCATTGTTTTTCCCCGGTATTCTATCCTCTAGCTCTATTACAAATCTCCTGATTTTTCCCTATTTATATTCTGTTTTATCTATTTTCTTTGGCATCCAATTTTTGTTTTTAAATATTTTTCATAAGTGCCCATTTTTCTTTTTCAATGAAATATAAGAGGTTGTCAGAAAGCATATGGAACGCAAGACAGAGCATGAAATCACCACACCTGGACAGGGAAGGGTGAGGAACACTAAGTGACAGTGAGGGGAGGGGAGCCTGAGGGGGGAGAAAGACAGAGGGACATGAGCGGGTAGAAAGATACACAGACGGGCATGGAGGTGAAAAACAAGTCAGATGGGCTGGGGAAAAGGGGGGAAAAAAGTCAGAGCTGTGAGAGAAGGAGACACACACATAGGGGCTAGGAAGAGTATCTCTTAAAACCCCCTTTGTGCAAGACAAAAAACGTGGGAGGGAAAATAGGGCATGATACACACTAAAAGTGGTTAAGACATTCAAAAGCGGGGATAAGACACAAAGGGGTGTAAAGAGGCACACAGGTGAAGAGTTTTTTGGGGCGGGTGGCAAAATCTTTGCCCGCGTACCCAAAAATCCTTGCACTGGCCCTGGGTATGGGTGCCTATAATGTCCATTTAAGGCATTGTTTGCAGCAGTTCTCTGTAGAGAGGGGAGTTTGCTACCCTCTCAGGTCACCTACAAGCGCTTGAAGACTAACACAAAGCAGTGGAGATCCACTTTCAGGTGCCCAGGTAAAAGTTCCAGTGGATGTTACTTGGTATCTGCTGGTGAGGTTTTGCACAGATGCAGACCATGCTGCAGTAATTACTGCGGCACTGGCCTCTGACTTGTGCATTTGAGGACTGAGGCAATAGCTCAGACCGATTACTAAACTTGAGACATCACAACCTTTATTACAGTCAGAGCCTCTAAATCAGAGCCTCTGCACTCCACATTAGAACGTGGATACTATCCAGCAATTCTACCCTACAGGACAGCAGCCGGCTATAGTACCTACCTGAGAGGAGTGGAATCTAGGGCCTACTTAAAGACACTAGTCTTAACCATTTTTTAACCTTTTGTTTAACATGCCTTTACTTATATTTTATCATACGGTTTATGTCTATCCATATATGTATATCCGTAGGAAAGGTCCTTCCCCTTCTTACATAGCTTTTACTACCGAAGTAGCAACCCCCACACTCCCTAAGAGAAGGAGTGATGGCAAAACTTATAACCTGTTAGTTACGGACGTTGATACTTCGCTTAGTGTTATAAAGACAGTATTTATGTTGGGGTTTGTTTCAGTCTACATTTTCTATAACTTTATAAGTAGCAACTATGTTAATTGCTCATGTTTTAAATGATTCAAACTGTATGGTTACTGCATATTATGCTTGCACCACAATATAAAGATAGAAAAATGAAAAAAGTGTAATCATTTTTCTAGGATTTGATTCCTCACTGCAGACAAAAGTGGTCTGAACATCAGAAGATCCAAGTTGGATAATATATACTTGGCAGTGTTTTCATATCAGAAGTGTAAGTGGCCAATTGGAATCACCTCTTTTCATAAAGTTATGTCATGTTTTGTATTCAGCTTCCTTAGCAGAATTTCCCTATTTTTTTTATACCTAAAAAAAGGTAAGTCTTTGGGGGCCCTAGAATTTCTATTCAAGGGAACATTTTTTTTTTTTTTTTTATTAAATTGTTTTTTCACTATGTGCACTGAAGTTGTGATGGTCACAATTATAAACAAAGAATAAGTACATACATGTCAACATTTTCAGAAAAGGGTAGTAATGAAATTCAGACAAAAGTTTATATTTATTAAAAAAATAAGCAGAAGTTACAAACCCACAAAACAGAGTAAAGTATGAATGCTTGTCAGAAAAAGTAAACATAACATACCAATGCCAACCATAGATTCAGTATCAATCCAGTGATGATATGATCCAAAGTTTTTAATGCAGATCCTTATGTAGGCTAGCATAATTAGCTAGCGTATTGAAATACATTTTCATTCATAAATTACTAATCAACTTATGCTAACTTAGGCCAAACCAAATATGGTGCTCTATGTAACCATCTAGATATTGTACTGAAGTAACATTTAAATGTAACCTTCGTATGCAAGTAGGAGTTCAAAATCCCAAACTAATAAGAAAACAAAATCTGAATGTCTTCGCTAAACTAATTGCAAATGTTTATACAAGTCATTACAACAAGTATGTGTAAGAGCACAGCTTACGTGCCAAGTAAAATTACAGAAGATACAATTCTAGCTCAAATTAACCTGGGTATACCCAAATAACACATTTTATATCCAAATGCTCATAACATTCATAAATGTAACTATGCAGAAAATGTTTATTATCCCATTCTTAACAAGCACCAAGGCTTACACATCAAACTGATCAGTGTATTACTTACGACATAGCTCTGGTGTTTCATCTGATCCATCTTCACAGTCTGGGTCTCCATCACACTCCCACCGGTTCGGGATACATTGGCCATTATTGCATACAAAGTCAGACTCCGAACAAGTTTTCTTTACTGTGAGGAACACATTTCATGAACCAAAGTTTAGTATTTTATTCAAGACTTCTGAGATTCTTTCTATACACTCCACTCCACTACACTGACTAAATTTAAAAAAAAGTTTGTAAACAACTCAGAATAACTACACTGCAGGCATTCCTTGCCCATTTATTGCAAAAAAAAAAAAAAAAACACAACCACACACTGAAAATATTTTTTTGAACTAAAGTTTTATGATGTTCCATAAAGGTAACAATTCAAAAAAAGGTTTTCTCAACAACTTTACAGACTCTAAATTAAACTTCATCTGTAGAAGCATGTAATAAAAATAAATAAATAAAAAAGTACAACTGGAGGCAAATATAAAAATATCAGAACTTTGAAGTTTTAAGAGCTGCGAAAACTTGGCATATATTTAGCTAATGTCAAGTAGCATGTGAAACATTAGGAAATAATTCAGCTAACATTTAGGACACATGTACAGATTCACAAGGTTTTTCAGGCTATTTGGCAAAGTACATCAGTCAAGTAAACAGTCACAACTCCAAAAACTATCTAAATGAGATAGTGTGCCAATACCCAAATCCTGTAAACGAGAAGCAGTTTAACCCCTTAAGGACCAAACTTCTGGAATAAAAAGGGAATCATGACATGTTACACATGTCATGTGTCCTTAAGGGGTTAAGCATATTAAAGTTCGTGTAGAACCTACAGATATCTGGGTACTGTGACGTAGTGGTGGGCTTAACACTATATTGCCATACGGTGGAACTGAATCCCCTTATTTGTTTGCCTTGCAAGATTGAAAATCATTTTATTGTGTGCTGTTCTTTAACTTGTGTGCGCGCGCATATGTATCCAAGCAAACACCAGCACAACATACAAGCACACTCCTGTAATCCAACTCAATTACATACACACCCCTGCATTCAAACTAAAAACAAAAATCAAACACACCCCTTTACTAAAACAAACACTTCACACAAATGTACATCCTCATTTAAGAGTGATTACATTCAGATACACCACTGCAAACCATACAAGCACCCCCTGTATAAAAAAAAAACAAAAAAAAACACACAATTACTATATACAAGCACCCCTCCAACACTGTACATTACACTATGGCGCCAGTAAATGCCGCAGTGCTGTTCAGATACACAACCTAGAAATTTTGACTTTTGGAGTCTTGGAAAAATACTGAAATCTTAAGGGCGCCTTGAACCTAAAAAGTTTGGGAACCACTGGTATATTGTGTAACATTTTATTAACTCCCATGATTAAAAAAAAATAAAAAATAAAAATAAAAAAATAATAAAATTTAAAACCATCACCAGTTCACAAAGACTTACTCCTCACTATACTCCTTCCCAATGCATTGCAATAAATTACTTCAATAGATGGGGATAACTAAATTGTTTAGACATTGCTATAGAGTGATTGGGTTCAACAATGCAATTGTTACAGATTCCACAGTCCCTAGGTGGCAGCCCAACATGCCAGCATTACAAGTGTTTAATGTTTGGATATTACTTTAAGTCTACTTTAGTATGGAATGGAATGCCGGAAATATTTAAGCCTTCCAAGCTCGCCAATGGATGGTGTGTTTCAAAATACATAAACAAGACTGTTTCCACTTGTCTCCTCAAAAGGAAAGTGGAAAGTGAACCAGAAAGCAACTGTGCTTTATATGCACCTGGGGCTGCATACTGCCTGCAATGGCGGTGTGAGGAAGCTGGCAAGAGCTCTGGAAACTGACACCAGAGGTCCAGTCCATGCCATTTACAGAGTACTGCAGTGAAAAGCTATACTTCAGCTGGGTCTAAAAATGTTCTGGCAGCTCACATTGTAATAGAGCAGAAGGTCACTACAGAGCAAGCTGTAAGGATGCAGCGTTTAAAGCCAGCCCAGATACAGCAACTTTCTCCGATAACCTAAGGCTTCAACCAGGGAGGTTAGGATCAAGCTCTGCGGATGTTCTTTGCCCATCACTAGCTCCCCAGTCTTAATACTGAGAAAATATATAGGAGGTGAGAAAAAAAAAAAATAATAAAAAAAAAAAAAAAAAATCAAAAACCTTTTTCTTATGAGTGGAGTAATGAGGAATCCAGCAGTGTCCAGTCTTGATGCAGTGGACCTCTGAAGGAAGAAGCGTGGCAGCGCAAACAGGTGCCCTCCTCGAACATTTGGAGTCAAGCCACTTCTAAATAGTTAAACCCCTTAAAATAACATGGTGCCCCAAGTGTCCCTTTAAGCTCATACTATAATGGTTCCTTATGAATACTGAATTAGCATTTTAAAGCACCAACCTGGTTGTGGTTATAGTGTCAGGAATGCCTGGGTGCTGTTCTAGTATAATCATCAGAGCATTTTAGAACCATTTGACAACTTACCAAAGTCTCCTAGACACCTGCAACAGTTTTCTTCTGCAGAGGGAGGCTATTCATCAAGCAAGGTCAATCCAGAACTGCACTCAATTGGCTAACAAGCATGAGCTCTGCTGCTCTCAGTAGAGCCAGCAGATTCTCATGCAGTAGAATCCTAGAAGCAAAGTATGCCATGTCTGCATCTGGCATAAGTTACACAGGCATGATTTTACTGCAGTCCTGGCACCACTACAGCAGTGGTGATGCCTGCATGGAATATTCCTTTAAATGAGTACTATTGACCACATGTTTAGAATTATAGTTTACTATTGTTAAATTATAACTGTATAGCTACTTTCTTCTTTTGCAGTTGCAGAGGCTTTTGCATACATTCCAAAGCTTTAAACAGTTACTGGATGTTGCTAACAAGATCTCACTGTGGTGTTTTCAAATTTATCTCGCACGTGCCTCCTACCATGTATATATTTTTATTGCTAGATAGGCCGGCACACTGTGTGAGCAGATCTGAAATTCCTGAACTACTCAGCCCACGTTAGGAGTTATTTAAAATCTAGTTAGACCTCGCCTCAGCAAAATTTAGCATTCAGGTTTTTGTGCATTTCATCTATAATCGAGCTAGACAAGAGATGTATCCACAATCATTTAAGTTATTCTGCCTCTGCAATGTTCCCTCACTCTAGAGCACCATTGTAAGTGTGTTAAAAGGGACACTAAGCACCCAGACCACTTCAGCTAATTGAAGTGGTCTAGGTGCTGTGTCCCTTTTGCATTTAGTGCTGCAATGCAAGACATTGCAGTTCCAGGGAACTCAATGCTTTCCTATATGGAAAATCTGACACTGGAGGCCCAGACCACCAAGTTTGCAATGTACCAGACAGCCATTGGGGGGCGCTTCTGGAATCTTAACACTTTTGTCCGTTGACGGTGGACGTCCTCCAGCATCAGATTTTCTCCATAGGAAAGCACTGAATAAGGCTTTCCTATGGGGAGCTTTAATGCGCACACGGCCCCTGCCGGCTGATGTCACTCGGCACTGGATTCAGGCAAGTGGTTTTAACCACTTTAGCCCTGCGGAAGGAGGGACCCATTAACCTTATATTGCCAGGAAAACCGCGTTTTCCTAGCACTATATGATCCCTATAATTAAGGGCCTGGGTACTCAAGACCAACCTTTGGTTGTTGTACTGAATACTGCAAGCCCGGTGGTTGGTGGTTGGTGGGTGTGGGTGTGGGTGTGGGTGTATTTTTTTTTTTAAACCAACAAAAGTCACCAAGACCACTTCCTATGAGTAGCATTTTGACATGCACAGAGCTTACTGCTCATACTCCATCCCCAATGCTCCCCTATGAGCAGCATTGGATTGGACGATCACAGAAATCTGGATGACTGTGAGAAGAGTAACGAGGAAGAAAGGCGAGTCAAAGGATTTAGCAAGTACTCTCAGGTTCAGGCAAACCTGTTCGTAAAATGTAGCAAGTTTGCCGAACCGGTGATTAAAATAGCCGACTGATGTGTCAAAAAGGGCTGACACCAGGAGGGGGCTCGGCCACTTGTCCTGTATGCCACCAGGTGCGCGGCCCCTCCGTAGTCTGCAGCTCTGCCAGATGCAGAGCTGCAGACTATGGTGTAGAGATCTCATGATCTCTGGGCAGTCAGAGCATTACCCCCGCCCCCACCATCACCATCTGCCCTACTGTCACCCCCACCCCCTGTTAACACTTGCTATACCGTCACACACACTGTCACCATGGCTGGGGGCAGGGAGATGGCAGAGTGGCTGTGGGGATGACAGTGAGGCCAAGGGCAGAGAGATGGCACTGGCAGGTTGTTTGCACATTCACTAGCAGATGTTTTGGAGCCACACTTGGCTCATTGGCATTATATACAAAGTTTAAGACTGTATTGCTCTTTGGCATGATATACAGGATTTATGCATTTACTGCTCATTGGCATGATATATACGGTTAAGGCATTTATTGCATTACCCTGCCACCCATGTGTTTTTGCCAACCAGGGCACATGTGTGACTGCGTTGATGTGCTTGTGTGTGCACGCATGACTTGGTGGTGGAGGGGGTAGAGTTTGAGTCTTGGTCCTAGGCAGCACAGTGTCTTGGGCCAACCCTGTGGTGTTGGAAACATGAAGTTGGAACTAGTTACTAGAATTTTATAAATCCCACTACTGACTAAAACTAATCAGCCACTACAACACTAAGGTATTAGGAATACAAACCTGCAGCCATAACACTATAGTAAACCGGGTCGCTAGGAAAGGCCACAAAACAATAACTTCTAGACTGTACTTGTTTAAGGCTGCATTGAAATTTGGCTGAATTTGTCAAGTTGGACTATTATTGATCCTACTGTGAGACTGGTTATGTTTAGGTTACTGCTGTACCAAACTAGCTACAGCCAGTGGCAATTACACCAACTTGAGTGGGAAATAGCCTGTCTAATTGATCCAAGAGCAAGACTGGTGGTTAGGCTACTGTTTTACCTTGGCACTGCCAGTGGCAGGGTGCAACTTACACCAAATCTGATCCACTGATTTGAAGCTTGATACGTCTGTTAACTGTAGAAACTTTTTTGGGTGAGTGTTCAGTATTAAAAAAAAAAAAAAAAAAAAAACAGTTTATTGCCTATTACACCAACTTGAATGGCCAATAGCGTGGGCCATTTATCCTAGTGTAAGACTGTTAAGGTTACGACTGTGCCTTACACCAAGTTTGATTCAATGATTTAGATGGAGTCTTATTGTGTGATTTCCACTTTTGCCAATGTGCTTCAGTGCCACTACCTGTGCTTTGCATATTGTAATGCAGTTCACTGAACATGTGAATGAGTGGGAGGGCATTCTGTTCGGAGTTTATACATTCAATTTTGTATTGTCTAAAGACCGCTTCCACAAGAAAAATAAACTAAAATATTTTGCAGAATTTAGGCTGAAGTATTAGAAGTTGGAAAACAAAAATTGGTTTAACTAAATATTTAAATTCCCCGAAATCCTTATGTGAGTTGATGTACAACTGTAATAGTTGTGTATTCAGGGCAACTAGCTGTTCATTTCACTTGCTTAGCAAGGAATTTGAAGTGTTTATGTATGAATTAGGTTTGAAAGAGGCTAGGCATTAAAGAGCCTCAAAACCTCAAATACTAATTGTAAGCAAAGAAGCTTTGATGTCTATTGCCAGAAAACACTTTAAAACAGGAAGTGCTAACATAAACCAGATCTTTGTCCGAACGAATAAGCCAGTATTGTGAGCAGCCCAGCACTTACCACAGGAGCTCTCATCCGAACCATCAGCGCAGTCCTCATCACCATCACACTTCCACAGTAATGTAATGCAGCGCCCATTTCCACACTGAAATTGTGACTCTTCACACAATGTCCTTGTTCCTAGAAGACAATTAAAAAGCTTTAAAATAAATAAAATAAAAATAGCTAAGCTCAGTGTGGTAAGTCAACGTTCTGAAATGAAAGGTTTTCAACAGAGGAGCCCTTCATTAGTTCTCACATGGGTGTTAAAAATGTTTATGCTCACTTGTGCAATTACAGAGAGAACCTATACCCTTTTTATATCAGTCTGATCCAGGCCTGGACTGGCCTTTGGGCACACCGTGCAAATGCCCGGTGGGCCACGATGTCCATGGGCCAAAGCCAGCAGGGGAGGTCACAGGATCTCCCCTGCTGGTCTTTGCATGGCCAGAGCTATCTGAACGCCGGCCCTGCTGCATTCCAGTACGGGCCAGTGGGAGATCAAAGATCTCCCTCACCGGCCCACTTGCACAGACATATGGCTGAGGGGGAGGGAGGGAGAGGAGGGCCCAGCAGAGCTGTATCTTGCAGCTCCGCCAAGTTCCTTTTGCGAGACCCATAGCGTTGCCATGGCAATGCCACCGGTCTCGTGAGAGAACTCTAGCCCCACAGGCTAGAGTTCACCCACCAGGGATGGCGACACTGTTTCCTCTCCCCCGCCCCCCAGCTAAAGGTAAGAAGGGAAGAGGGATACACACCCACACACTACAGCCCCTAACCACACATGCATTACATTACACCACAAACAACACTACTAAAACCCGAACTTGTTACACAATACCACACCACAATCAGCTCAATCTACACACGCAATCCTACAAGCAGGCTCCAAACACATACACAATACTCCTTCCTGGCCCTTTTGTCTCCTGGTATCCCATTTATAGAGGCACCATAGACAAGTCAGCGGAAACATGTTATTAAATTGCACTGTGCAGAACAAATACAGTGCTTTCTTCTCATGTTCGAGCTCTGCGCATGATCTGCCCTGGAAGAGCATTGAACCAACATGCTCACTTTGAGATGGGGCATGCTTGTCATTGGTAATGACAAAACACCCTCTCTGCCCCACCCACTTCTTATTGGGCCGCTGTTATTAAAAAATGTCCAGGCCAAATTTTTTTCCCCAGTCCATCTGGCCCTGGTCTGATAGCACTCAAGGGCAATCTAGAACAGGAATGCAGTACAAGTTAAACAGTGAAGTTTGAAGGACCTCCTCACACCATACAAACTCTGGGAAACTGCATCTGACCACACTGCCCCTTCACTACCTCTGATGGAGAGGATTACCAATTCAGAAATCGGAGGTTAAAATAAATAAATAAATTTAAAAAAAGCTAATGGCAGCTAGTGGTAAGCACAGAGTCAGCTGCTGCTTTAAGTGGCTCCCGGTTCAAGGTTTACCGATTTAAGACTATCAGAGGGATTGGAAGGGCAGAGTGATAGGGAGCCATCTTTCAGAGTTTGGCATTAAACAGTTATGGTTAACCCCTTAAGGTAAGGGAGCACCTGGAACCTCCTCACACCATAATTTAATTTCCATAAACTGTGCCCAGTGTGGTTCTTTATGGAACAGGATCCATGCCTTCATAATTTATTCAAAAGCCCTCTAAACAACTTTAACTCCGTTTTTAGTGAATAGATCATGCCACTGCCATCTCACTGCTCCATTCTCTGCCATTTAGGAGTTAAATCACGTTTATGCAGTCTCTACACATTAAATTTAAAGTTTCTTTACTGCAAAGTGTGCAATGTATAAATTATATCAGCATCTATAAATAAAAATACAAAGATGCACTATACCTTTAAAATACTATTCAATATGTATATACATAAGTGGTGCAACAATACATGCAAAGTACAATCCAAAGTGCTAAATACCTAGGAGGTGCTAATTAAAGGACCGCTATAGGCACCCAGACTACTTCAGCTTAATGAAGTGGTCTGGTTGCCAGGTCCAGCTAGGGTTAAAGAGAAAAATTCTGGTGTACCTAATGTAACAGGGGAGAGGGAGACAGACTAGCACAGAGCTGCTCAAAAACCTGGAACAAATAGGGGTTCACTAAAAACATATATAGAAGATAAGTAAAAAACAAAAAACAAAAACACTGTAGAGGGAGAGTATAGATTCCAGGAGCTAGCTTAGTGACTAATGGCTAAAGCACTATGACTAGATATGTGTGAAGTAAAATAGCTGATGCTGTACCTTTAAATACTCAATATGTATAGTGTCCCTTTAAATGAGGGATCAGAGATAAAAAAAAAAAAACAGATAAATAAAGAGAAGTAAATGTAAAGAGAAAGAATGTATACGTATAAAACTAAAACATGAAATAGTAAAAAAAACAAAAAAAAACAATTATATATAAAAGGAGTAAAATACGATTAAAAAAAATAAAAATAAAAAAAATAAAAATAGGATGAGATAAAAGTAAAAATAAACTAAGCTCCTAAATGGATGTGCAGCAAATGATTCTTGTTCTAAAGAATATACTTTGTATTGGCAAAGATGAAAGTATCTAAATATTAAGCAACACAGTACCTGGAACTGTTAGCTTAAGCGATATATACAATGTATCGCTTGTAGACTGAAGCAATAAAAACTGGATCTATTGATCAAAAATGCCAGTTTATTTCACAGTTAAAAATAGAAATTAAAATTGCAAACATACAGGTAAGAAAAAAAAAATACTAGACTTATGAGTCAAATAACAGCAAGGACCTTCAGATTGTTTGAGGATGGATATGGATTGTGTTGACAGCTGGTCTGTATTCCGGCTGCCGGTGAGGACGGCGTTGGTCTGAGAGCACGTCCCCAGCAGGAGCCTCACTTTCGGAGACGTGCAGAGCAGACAATTTCCAGTTACAGTTGCTACCAAAAGGTCCTGTGTTGAGCAACTGTAACAGGAATTAAAGGAACACTATTGTCACCTAAATTACTTTAGTTTTAGTGTATAGATCATTCCCCTGCAATTTCACTGCTCAATTCACTGTCATTTAAGAGTTAAATCATTTTGTTTCTGTTTATGCAGCCATAGCCAAACCTCCCCTGGCTATGACTGACAGAGCCTGCATGAAAAAAATAAATAAAAAAAAATAAAACTGGTTTCACTTTCCAACAGATGTAATTTACCTTAAATAATTGTATCTCAGTCTCTAAATTGAACTTTAATCACATACAGGAGGCTCTTGCAGGGTCTAGCCAGTGGCGGATCCAGGGGGGGCAATTGCCCCCCCCCAGAGAAATCTTATCCCCTGCTGTGTTAATAGCTTGCTATTGCTTCAGTCTACAAGCGATACATTGTATATAATCGCTTAAGCTAACAGTTCCAGGTACTGTGTTGCTTAATATTTAGATACTTTCATCTTTGACAATATAAAGTATATTATTTAGAACAAGCATCATCTACCTCACACCTCATTGGGGATTAAGATACCTGTTCTATACATATTCGCTGCACATCCATTTAGGCACTTAGTTTATTTTTACTTTTATTTTTCATCCTATTTTATTATTTATCGTATTTTACACATACACACTATGTATATATCTATCATTTTTTATTACTATTCTGTTTCATGTTTTAATTTTATACATATACATTGTCTATCTGTTTTTTTATCTCTGATCCCTCATTTAAAGGGACACTATACATATTGAGTATTTAAAGGTACAGCATCAGCTATTTTACTTCACACATTTTATCAATATTATCTATACATTGTGCTTTAGGCATTAGTCACCAAGCTAGCTCCTGTAATCTATATACTCTCCATCTAGAGTTTTTTTTACTTACCAGCTAGGATTAACCTTAGCTGGGTTAATCCAGCATCTAGTCGCTGTCTCATTGACAGCCGCTAGAGGCGCTTCCGCACTTTCCACTGTGATTTTCACAGTGAGAAGACGCCAGCATCAATAGGAAAGCATTGCGAATGCTTTCCTATGAGACTGGCTGAATGCGCGTGCGGCGCATGCAGCCGAGTAGGAGAGTCCCCCACCCGGCGCTGGAGAAAGTGGCAAGTTTAACCCCCTTCCTCCCCTTTGAGCTCAGCGGGAGTGGGACCCTGATGGTGGGGGCACCCTCAGGGCATTATAACACCAGGAAAACAAGTGTTTTCCTGGCACTATAGTGGTCCTTTAATGTCTAAAAAGGACAGCAAAATGTTTGTGGAAACAAAGTGCACCAAGTGAAAAAAAAAAAAAAAAAAATCTAAAGAGCACTTACTCTGTAGTAACCTAAATAATGCAACTTTCTTCAACTTCACCAGGAATATGTAACTTAGCATAATACCTAGAAACTCAAAGGAAAAACTACATTGTAACTGTGGCATACAATAGAATATTGAATAAGTGAATCTAAAAACTCCCAAGAGCAGAGTAGTGTAAATCTGGGTCCTGTCCCAAGGATTTTAAGCTTTAGATAACCAGGATGGCAACTGGATACAAGATAATTCTTTATTTCCATGAAAATTAAAATTCACGTAAGTGATCTATAAATAACTTGCTAAAGCCTAGTGTGTGACTATCGTTCAATTAGAGCATGAGACAAGTACTTCTAAATAAAAAATAAATAAAAAAAACACAAAAAAAAACTACTAAACATAAAGCTAGGGTTTGGGTGCTTTGAGTATCTCTTTAAAGGCAGTCATCCCAAATGTACCTTTATCATGGCTTCTCTTCCTCCTTCAGAAACAGTTCTTTACTTAATTTCTGATCAGTTTCTCTTTAAATTTAATGTCCTCCTCTTGACAGAGCAGAGCTCAAGGCAAGCTCCACATTGTCAAGTAAAATCTTCCCAGCATACTCTCCTTTATATCCAGTTATTCCTTGTAGTCTCATGAGATCGCCTTGCATCACACCATGTTAAAATCTAAATACTGGCCTCCATCAAGCATGTGCTGGAATTGGATCCAATCACATATTCTGAGCAGAGGGCAGCAACGTTATGTCACTACCAGTAGTTAGAAGATTCAAAATCACAAAGAACTTAAAGTAAGGTGATCGTGATTCTTATCGAGAAATAAGAATTTCCACCAAAAGAAGTTTCCACATATGGAGTTTCTATGCAATGGGAGAGACCAGCAAACAATTAGCCATTGAAAAGGTACTAAGCGTAGAAACACTGCATACACATACACTGCTTTGAATAGGTCACTATTCCAGTGTATTTCATCACCTTCTATGCAATAATAGAAAATGTAAACTGAAACTTTCTTGATGAAATAATTTATGGAGGTGACAAACCATAATAAGTCTGACCATCTTCTTAATGGTACTCTGTGACCACACATTTAGGACACATGACATGTCGTGAATAAGATTAGCCGGACAGCAATCCTTAAAAGGTTAAGGTTTTATTCCAGGGGAAGTGGAGACCTCAAATTTAGATTCTGAAGGATGAAAGCTAAATTTCAATTTCATGGAAAGGACAAACAGAACAAGTTGTGCTAGAGAGTTTAACTCTCTTGGTTTAATGTTGCAGGTTATAAGTTCTCTGTCAAAACAAACTCCATTTAGAACAGTGGTTCCCAACCCTGTCCTCAACAGTGGTTCTCCCCCCTCCCCAACAGTCCAGGATTTAGAAAATATCAAGTTGTGTCTAAGGTGTTTTTAGGAGAAAAAAAAATTAAATAAAAATAAAAAACACTTTAGACACAACAGAGTAATCCCTATATCCTGGACTGGTAGGGGTACAGAAGGACTGGGCTTGAACCACTGATTTATAACATGCCTAGCACAGTTACAAGATCAACCCTGCATTTAAGATGTGGCCTGCCAAGAAAAACTACAATACAAATGGAAGCAGCACTGCACTCCCACAGAAAAAGGTCCAGGGTCGCTCAATCTTTGAGCAACTCATCCATGCAAACAAACTAAAAAAAATATTAAAATAAAAATAGAGTGTTATCAGAAAGGGATGTTCTTCTGTGATACTTGTGTGTATGCCAATGATTTATATCATCGCAAAAACTAAAGGTGAGCATCTCTAATTTAGTGTGTCATGTTTAGTTTCTGCAACTAGATCAAGCATGTCAAACTCAAAGTCTAGCATGGGCCACATAAACTAGGTTTAACCCCTTAAGGACCAAACTTCTGGAATAAAAGGGAATCATGACATGTCCTTAAGGGGTTAAGTTGGCCACAAAAAAAAAAAAAAAAGAAAACCCTTACTTACACTTACAGTATTAATCCCCCCCCCAATCCCCTTCTACTAAACCACAGCACCCCCTCTACTAAATCCCAGCCCACCCCATATACTAATTTCCTGCACCCCTCTGCAGCTGCCAGTGTGCGACTCTGGCCTCTGGTATACCCCAAATGGCGCCGTCTGCGCCCTGTGCCAAATCTGATCCTCCTGCTACATCTTGAAACCCTGTGAAGGTGGAGCAAGTTGATGTCACAGAATGTGACATGACGTTGCGTGCCTCCATACACCGCCAGGTACTCCACTGTCCAGAGAGCAGTGAGATGCTGGAACACAGAGCTCCCTCGCCCCTGTCCCTCCTCACCGGCTGGTTAAGTTTTAGCAGAGTAGGCACCTGCAATGTGGGGGAAAGCAGGTGCCTACTCTGCTATAACACCAGCATGTACTCGCCATTGAGCCATTTGTACGTTGGCGAAGGACCCAAGGATATGGAATCACAATGGCCCAAACAAAATATTTGCCTCCATTAAATTGGGTAATCGTAATATCCCCACGACGTACTTCAAAACCAGAGTAAGCAATGTACCTTTCCTGGTTAAATAATTATTGTAAAGCATGATTTGAATTTCCCACTAATGATTAGCGATAGCTAGCAGGGCCATGATGAGTCTTACAATGGTATTGGAATAGCATTACAGGGCATGCACTCTTAATGCAATTCAATTAAATGTTCCCATCAGCATTGCTATTCATTCATTTTAGTGGCTTGGCAGGTCTCTCCCTTTCATTGTTAAACTTCTGTCAAGGATGAATAGTTTGTTTCTGTGGCTCTGTTACATTTAACATACTCCTTGTAAGAGGTTTTAGATAGGAGTGTCCACAGGTCACCACAATAGCTATTAAAAACAAACTTTGCTGCATGCATCTAGCCCTGTTTTGCTGTATATGCAAAGTGTTTAGCCAATTAATTGCTAATCAGGTTTGAAAATTAGGTTTAATATTTAAAGCAGTCATGTCATCTTAACTTTAGCATTAACATTTGATCATTGCTTTCTTAGCAACATAGCCTTCAGTTTACAGTCCACATTACTTTTTTTGGTTGTACCTAGTGCCAGAGTGGGCTCATCCATATGGGCATTTTTGGCAGCATCCCAGCTATTATGTGGGAGTAGGGGCAGGGGAGGGGGTATTTGCACGAGTAGCACACTCAATGATCTTTATCGAAGTTTAATTAAACTTTATTATGCTTTGTTAGAACACGTTTCCGTCCATAAACCTAGACTTTCACCAGGACTAAACTCCGTGTATGCCACTTCTAAATATCCAAGTCAAACAAGCAGCATAAGAGACTATCCTATGAGAAAGCCACTCCACCTCCCACCACCAGTTACAATGGATTATAAACAAAACATCCTGGTAATTTAGGAGCAGAAACTAGAACCCACCCATATTAAATGATCGAGCGGACAAGCTTAGTAAAAATAGAAACCATAAACAACCAGAGAGACAAATTAACAATATCCATATGTTACAACAGTATCAATGTTGAACCATTATAATATGATCACATCTGTTCACAGGAGAGTCAGTCAAAAGGATTCTATATGTAGAGTGTGAGTATGTCCAGAGTAATTTAAGGCACGTCAGCTAAAATCCAGGAAGTGCCTCTACTTGCTGTCTGATCGTCACTAGAGGCAATCTTAGTTCTACATTTACATAGAATACAAGTGGTAGATCTGAGGAGAGATCCCACCCTATATAGTGGTTTACAGTTTAATCAGAAGTTTTATTCTGAAACCGATTAAGACTGCCCAGTATCAGATTGGAGGGCTCTGTTTCTATGAGTGGGGTGTGTGATGGCCAAGTATTGTGTCAGTGTTATTAGGAGGATGAGAGCTGCATGTGGGAGGCTAAGTGAGTGTGCGTGTGTCTCTCTCAATTGGCACACACTCACTTGGCCTCCCACATGTTCTCCACTCCTGCTTCTTTTTTACGGTGGTCTACTAGAGGGTGAGCTGGGTCTTTGATGCTCCAGTAGGGGAGCTTCATGATCTGCACCAATATTGGGTACAGACCACTTTAACAGTGCCCCTGTGATTCTGGCACTGAGACATCAATAAGTGTTCTGTACCTGAGGTTGGAACAAACACTTAAGTGAGGGATCTTTTAATCTCCCTGCTGGAGGGTGAAGGACTGGCACAGCATCAGAAGGATGGAGGCAAAACAAATTAAATGCCAATAAGCAAAAGACATAAAAAAAACAAAAAAAAAACACATAAAATAAACAAAACCCACAAGTGGTTTTCTACCAAGGTATACTACCAGTAACCATAGAATAAAACAATGTTTTGACACCCCCTTGCAGGATTAATCCAGCCTCTAGTGGCAGTCTTCCTGACAGCCGCTAGAGGTGCTTCTGAGACACTGGCTGTGAAAAGGATTCAGCGTGCAGATCATCCATAGGAAAGCATTGAGAAATGCTTTCCTATGAACCGTTTGAATGCGTGAGGCTCTTGCCGCACATGCGCATTCCACTCACTCTGCAGCCGACGGAGTGGGAGGAGAGGTCACCAGCGCTGAAGGAGCCTGGTGCTGGAATTTAAGCAACAAACTGAAGGGGTTTTAACCCCTTCAGCGCCAATGGAGGGGGGAACTTAAGGGTTGTATAGAGTCAATAAAATGAATTTGTTTTCTTGACACTATAGTGAGCCTTTAAATCACTGCTCAATTTTAGAACTTGTTCCTGCAGAGGCATGATCTCTGCTCCAAACCAGCTTCCTTCCTTAAGCTAAAGTTGTTTTGTGGACTAGTTTCCCTTTAACGCATTGATTTTATCTACTGGAATAGAACAAGTGCCAGAGAAGAGAGTCCCAAATTCATTAAACTTTAGAAAATATCCTGATCAGATTTTTGCCTTTTCTACCCCACTCCAGTGCATAAAGTAATAAGCAGTCACAGCTACTTCCAGGCACAGTTTGTTATGGTTGGGGAGGTGGGGGAGGGGGTGGTGTGGTGTGGTGTGTGTGTACCTTTATAGACAGGACATGCAGTGTCCTGTGGTGAAAAAAGTAAAGATTCTAAAAAAAAACAAAAAAAAAAAAAACAACCTGTATGCCGCTTATATAAAGTAAAGCACATTTGTTCTGTGCACTGATTGCATGTGAAAATGCTCTATACATTAAAAATAAAATAAAAAAAGTTACTTGAATCTCATTTTAGAGAGTTTGGTTTTAAAAATCCAATCTGATCAAGATAGATTAAAAGTAACATGAAGCATTCGGCAGAACTGATTCAGTTTTTTTTTAGTACAAAAACGAGTTCTAGATTTGGAAGCAGAATTACATGCTAGTTAGTCTACTTTTCCTGTATATGGGTTGTACAAGACATCTGAGAAGTGGGTATTAGGTTGCTAGCAAGTGTTTTATTTAACCCCTCGAGTACACATGACATGTGTGACATGTCATGATTCCCTTTTATTCCAGAAGTTTTGTCCTTAAGGGGTTAAAGGGACACTATTCACCAGAACAACTACAGCTTATTGAATTTGTTCTGGTGAGTAGAATCATTACATTCAGGCTTTTTGCTGTAAACACTGTCTTTTCAGAGAAAATGCAGTGTTTACATTACAGCCTAGTGATAACTTCACTGGCCTCCCCTCAGACGGCTGTTAGAGATCCTTCCTGGGTCATGGCTGCCTAAAATGCATCCAAACATTCAGTATCTCCACCCTCTTCATGCAGACACTGAACTTTCCTCAGACATTCATTGATTCAATTCACCTCTATAAGGAGATGCTGATTGGCCAAGGCTGTGTTTGAATTGTGCTTGCTCTGCCCTTGATCTGCCTCCTTGTCAGTCTTAACCAATCCTATGGGAAAGCACTGTGATTGGATCAGGCCACCACCTCTGATGTCAGCAGACAGCTTGTTTTTCTGAGGCAAACAGCATGCAGAGCTACAGCTTCAGGCTTGAATACAAGTAAGATTTTGCTATATTTATTTAGAGAGACATGAAGGGCCCAGGGTGGTTAAATGGTGGTTTTAACACTATAGGGTCATGAATACAAGTTTCCTGACCCTATAGTGTTCCTTTAAACACTAGAAGCAGATATACCTACAAACCTATGAACAATTATATGCCACAAGTTCACATAGGGAAACCTTAAAAAGTGAAACTAAACACCAAAACAGCGAAAACAAACAGTTTAGTTTTAACCCCTTAAGGACACGACTGAAATATTCCGTCATGATTCCCTTTTATTCCAAAAGTTGTGTCCTTAAGTGGTTAAGGACTATATGCTATGAATTTATTAAGTCCCAAAAAACAAACAAAAAAAAAAAAGATACACATGGCATATATAATTTCCATTATATGAGTGTCTAAAGAAAAGGACACAGAAATCCGCAAATTACCGAGTATGGGTATATGCAATATACACTTCGTAAGAAACCAAAAGAAAAAAACCATCAACTATTGCTTACACATTGCTGTAAGGAATATTGACAAAAGTGACCAGGTATAACCCTATTGGCAATTTGAAGAGAAGATGGCACACGTATGTGCGCCCAAGTGTGCCTTGAAGGAAACTAGAGTCCTAGCCCTCTGGGTCTGTATCATTACCAAATGGTAGTGCCTCCTGTGGAAGTAGTTGGTACCAGTGCCCATGTTCTTTGGAGTTGCCATGTTTCTGTGGAAAGGATATAGCCACTGTTACAGGCGTGATTGGCAGGCCCAATCTCAAGAAAATCTCTGGGTCATCGTATGAAGTCAGTGTGAGGGACTTTGCCAAGTGAGCCCTCCATACCCCAGTATTTAAACAGAGGCTTCTTTCAGCTTTCTGGCTACCAGTGTCAGTCTCCTCTGAGGTCACTATGAGGGGGGGAGACGGGGGAAGTTTGTCTAGCTACAAATGGACAGTCAAAGTGTGCAGAAATCACATTTTCATATACAGCAACAGTAGTGTTATCGATTAAGTATGTTGAGAATTTTAGGAGGTAACAGATGACATATGTCTATACAAAAGCATCTCACCTTAAGAGGATTGAAAGTGCTTTACACATGCTCTGATTAATCCAAGTTAGCAGCTTATAAATGTTGCTCCTTTCACAAACCTTAGAATCCGAGCTGACCTTGCTTAACTTACAAACCTAGATCTCAGAATGTAAGGTGGCCGATTGGAGTTCAAAAATTTATTAATAATTACAGGATCACAATTCCCAAAAGATCTGTACAGATCTTAGAAATACATCTGAAAGCTACAGTGCACATTCCTATGGGAGCAACCCCTTGAAAGGCACAGCAGTCACAGCAGTCAGGCATTACACATGGCAAGGTGTGCACCCTGCACAGTTATACAATGGCATCAGAGTACCCAAAATATTCATGGTTCAGATAAAGATACTGGCAAGACCATGCTATTAATTCACTATTATCCATCATGCAGGGGAAAACAAAAAACACAAAAACGAATTATATATACATTCGATAGTATATTAAAATCACAACATTGCTCTCCCAAGCTATAAACTGACATCCTGTGCAGAATAAAGTCTTTCATAGCCTATCCTATCACAGAACATCAACCCCATAGCACTGGGTGACAGACTATTGTGTAAGTGAGCACCTATAATACAAGAGATGGCTTTCATTAAATAGTTATTCCCAAGTATCAGTGGCAGCAAGCTAAAGACTTATACAAGGTCTGTCCAGAAAGTTCAAAGCATGTAATAAAATAAACATTTATTAAAGATACAAGGAGCATTGTACAAAAGGACAATGATGCCTCAGTCCCCTTCAAAAGTAGGCAACCTGGGACCTCACAGATCTTCAGGCATCTTTTCCACAATTCAAACACTCAAAACACAATCCATTCTTGAATGGCAGTCAGCTTCGTAGTTACCCGAGTTTCATGAACTATCTGAAATCTTTAAAAAGGGTCACTCCAAGCACCCAGACCACTTCTGCCCATTGGAGTGGTCTGGGTGCCAACTCCTATCACCCTTAACCCTGCAAGTGTAATTATAGCAGTTTTTATAAACTGCAATAACTACCTTGCAGGGTTAACTCCACCCCTAGTGGTTGTCTACTAGACAGCCACTAGAGGGCACTTCCTGCTCTATAGCACAGAAAACCTGTGCTAGAGCGTTGCTGGACGTCCTCACGCTGTGTGATGACCTCCAGCGTCACTCAATTCCCCATAGGAAAGCATTTTTCAATGCTTTCCTATGGGGAGCTCTAATGCGCATGTGTGGCATTGCCGCGCATGCGCATTAGGTCTGGGACCTGCAGGGCCAGGAAAATTGTTTTCCTGGCACTGGAGTTTCCCTTTAATGGTGGTTTTAGTTTTGAGAAAAGTCAAAAGCTATATGGCACCAAATATTTCAAGAGACCCTACCATCTTTGAAACATGTGCGCCACTTATTTGCGCTGCACTCATTTCAACATCCACAAAAGCCTTCTGAATCATCCAAAAATTGCTCTGCATGGAGATGCTGAATTTCTCATAGAGATTCATTAAAATCAATGCATTTCTATGAGGACATGCGGAATGGCCAAGCTGGTGTTTGACCCCGCTCTGTTACAGGGAAGCATTGGTTTGACTGAAATCTGCGACAGCAAGGTGGTGGATCAGAGCAGGCCAGTGCCAGCAGACCCGCAAGGCGCTGGAATTAAGGCAAATTCTTACCTTTTAAAGGGGCTAAGAGGGGAGCAAGCCACCTAAATGGTGGTTTTACCACTAGGGTCAGAAAGCTTACATTTCTACTTACTGTAAATTTATTTTTTCCTTAAAGGACCACTCCAGCTTAATGAAGTGGTCTGGGTGCCAGGTCCAGCTAGGGTTAACCCATTTTTTTAATAAACATAGCAGTTTCAGAGAAACTGCTATGTTTATTAATGGGTTAAGCCTTCCCCCAAAGCCTCTAGTGGCTGTCTCCTTGACAGCCACTAGAGGCACTTGCGTGCTTCTCACTGTGATTTTCACAGTGAGAGCACGCCAGCGTCCATAGGAAAGCATTATGAATGCTTTCCTATGCGACCGTCTGAATGCGCGCGCAGCTCTTGCCACGCGTGCGCATTCAGCCGACGTGGAGGAACTGAGGAGGAGAGAAGGAGGAGAGCTCTCCGCCCAGCGCTGGAAAAAGGTAAGTTTTACCCCTTTTCTCCCTTCCAGAGCCGGGCGGGAGGGGGTCCCTGAGGGTGGGGGCACCCTCAGGGCACTATAGTGCCAGGAAAACGAGTATGTTTTCCTGGCACTATAGTGGTCCTTTAAGATTAGAGGCAGTGCTTTACAACAGGTATTTCTAATCTGGAGGGGAAAAAAAGGCAGGCAATCCCCAAATTTTCAAATACCTCACCCAATTAACTTTTGCACTATACAGTGCCTCTTACCCCAAATAACCCCAAATACAAAAGCTGGGTAACTGCAAAAATTTAGTTTATTAGAACATCGGGGGGGGGAGTGAGCACAGCCTCTAATCTGCAGGAAAAATAAATTTACGGTAAGTAAAAAATGTAAGCTTTTCCCTTCAGATTAGAGGCAGTGCTTCAGAACAGGGATAACCAAAGCAATCCCCTAAGGGCGGGACTCATTGCACAACGGCTTGTAACATCTTGCGCCCAAAAGTTGCGTCTTCCGAGGCCAGTATGTCGAATTTGTAATTTTAAGTAAACGTGTGAAGAGATGACCACGTGGCTGCAGAACAAATTTGAGATGGCATAACTGAAGTCTGCAGGGCCCAAGATGTGGACATATCTCTGGTAGAATGATCTTTAATGGAGATGGGTGCAGAAACGTTGGATGTGTAATAAGCAAAATTAATGAAGTCTTAACCATCTGGCCAGAGAGCCTTTTGAAGCCATCAAACAAGACAGTGTTAGATTTCCTAAAGGACTTTGTACTTTCCAGGTACTGCAGCAGAGATCTCAACATCCAGGCAGTAGAATTTGACTTCCAATGCATTAGAAGGCTGTTGGCAAAGTAGGTAAAATTATTTCTTGATTGATGGTAGAGGAAGAACAAACCTTGGGAATAAAAGAAGGATCCAGCTTTACCACCACTTTGTCCTGATGAAAAAAAAAAGAAAAAAAAAAGAAAAAATTTGAATTAAGTTCTACCAATCTTTTGCCGAGGTAATAGCCACCAAAAACAAAGTCTTGAACGATAAAACCTTCAGAGAAAACTTTTCTAGAGGTTCAAACAGAGGTTCGCAGTGAGCTGATAAAACCAAATTAAGATCCCATGGAGGAAAGTTTCCCTGATGGTAGGAACCAATCGAGACAGCACCTTGAAAAATCTGGTGATTAGAATATTCGAAGCCGAACATCTGAACGAAAAACTAATAGCCGAAATTTTGACCTTGAGCATGGCTGGTTTCAGTCCTTTTGCAAAGCCCATCTGAAGGAAACCAAGGCTGTTTGGAATGGAAGTAGTTACGGGATTTTCTTTGACTTTAATACACCAACAACAAAACTTCCATATTCTGGAATAAATCTTGGAAATAGATTCTTTTAGCAGCCATCAAAATCTTAACTTCAGGAGACAAACCTCTTCTCTTTAATATCTGGTATTCAGAAACCAGGCAGTCAATTTGAATTTCTTCATAGTCAGAAGTGGTACCATGGAGTATTTCTGTATGTCTGACAGGGGAAGTTTCCAAAAAGGTTGAACCGGGTATATTTCGGAGAACTCCGAACCAACTTCTCGGCCACCAAGGGAGAATTATGATCATGCTTACCTTTTCCATCCTGATCTTCTGTAGAATCCTGGATATAAGCAAAATAGGAAGAAACACAGGCTAGGCTAAGCTGAATTTCCATGGAATTGAAAGTCTATGATCTCTGGTCTGTCTGCGGGGTTCAAAGATGCAAATCTTGTTTTCTTGTTTGATCTTGAAGCCATAAAAGGTCTATTCTTGATAACCAAATTTCTTTGCTATTTGACTGAAGATCTGGGAAGAAAGGGACCAATCTGCTCGTTTTAAATGTTGACTACAGAGATTCTGCCAGAACGTTGAATTATCCTTTTATGTGAACCGCTGAAATCGACAGAAGGTGAAACTGACCACAGCACGATTCTCAAACAAAGATTTTCCAAACCAGTCGACCTTGTTCCTCCTTGTTTGTTTATATACGCTATCGTAGAACTGTCTGACCTGATCTGGACCTTGTTCTGAAAGGCAACGAGAGCCAGCCAGAACGCCTTCAGTTCGAACTTCTTAAATCTTTCACTCGCCAAATTCCTTGTTTCTTCTTTTCTCCCAAATGAGCTTCCCAGCAGAGACCTCAGGCATCTTAAAATTTTGAATGACTTCATTTGGAAAGAAAGGCCTGATTGCAGGAAACGCAACAAGGTCCACCAGAGAAAACTCTTCAGCGCCTGAGTTTTATAGGCATGTCCAAGCTGTACATTTACTTGTTCCAGAAGTTTTAAATGTTTCTTTGAAGAGGTCTCATTCTGGCCTTTGCCCAATTGACTGCTGGGATAGAGGCTGTGAAAAGACCCAGCAAACTCATTGATTCTCTGATGGAGCACAAACATATTGCTCTGAGGTTCTTAATAGCCAGAGCAATCTTTGTTTTTTCTTCTGGAAGATCGATCTTCATACAGACTGTCTATAATCAGACCCAGGAACTGAATTCTTTGGACTGGGACTAATTCTGACTTTCGAAAATTTATCAATCAACCATGATTTTTTAGAGCCTCTAAATAAGGGATGACATTGATGCCTCTTCCCCTTAAATCTGCTGAAAGGACTACCAGAATCTTGGGGCTGAAAAAAAAAAAAAAAAAAAAAGAGCAAAAGGGAAGAGCTCTAAACTGCTAATGTAGCGTCTGACTCTGGAAGTGGATAGCGAACCTTAAGAATCTTTTGCTGGGTTCCGCGATGGCAATGTGTAAATAGGCGTCTTTTAGATCTAGAGATATCAGCCAATTGCCTGGTTGAATAATTTGAGTTGCAGACTTTGTTTCCATATGAAACAGATCTAGAATGGGTCTGTAAGAACCTTGAATAAGTGTCCAGGAATCTTTTAGTTGCACCCTTTCTATTACATTCTTTTGAAGAAGCTTTGACACTTCTCCCATCAGAGCCTTTTCTGTCGCAGTCAAGTGGACTTAAGAGCATAAAAGTTATCTTTGTGATCTGATCGATCCAGATAGTAACCATTCCTTATCACTGAAAGATTCCAGCGATCCGAGATAGTTTTCTGCCAGCAATCCAGAAAGTGCGTGAGTCTTCCTCCAACAGGAATGGAGTCATAAGTTTCTATTCTTTTGTCAGAGAACTTTTCTTCTGTAATCAAACCCCTTCCTTTGTTGACCCCTGTATGAGTTTCTCCGAAAAGCCTTTTGCCCATCCTTCATTTATTTCAAAAGATCTAGTTTAGAACCAAAAAGTCTGCCTGGTTGAAATGTAATTTCACATAGAGAATTTTTGGATGCTGAATCAGCTGACCAGCTTCTCAACCATACTGCTCTTCTTGCCACCGTAGCTAAACCCATAGTCTTAGTCGAGATATTCAGACTTTCAAGAGGAATCAACTAGGAAGTCAGATGCCAGCTTGATTTTTTTGTAACAAGATGATTGGATCTTCTTTGGATTCACCTACATAAATCTTTTCTTATTCTTCCAGCCAATGTTTGTGCCTTTGCCACTGAAGTACCTGCAATCAGTGCTTTGGATTGAGATGCTGAGGAGACAGTTTCTTTAAGGAAGAATGGATAGGTTTTCCATGGCATCTTTCAAGCCACTCTAATCCCCTATAGGTAAAGTGGTAGTCTTTCCCAGCTGAGCTATGGGGACATCCACTGATGGTAAAGGGTTCAAGAGGCACTCTGGATCCTCACTGATGGAAAAGAGCTTTTAAAAAAAGTGTTTATAAATAAAAGGCTTCCTTCCTGGGAATTTCCATTCCCTTAGAATCAAATCCTTTAACTGTGGAGGAAAAGGAAAACCTTGGATTGCTTTCCTTTGCTCCTGAACTGTTCCTTAGCACCCATCAGACACTGGACTTCCTTTACCAGTTTTCCAATAGATTCCTTTTGAAAAGAAAATTCTTCATCAGAAGAATCACTAGAATCCCCATCTCTTGATTTTGACAGCGAAGATACAGAGCTTACGTCAGACAATTCCCATGATCTAGGCCTTTTTATTGGCCAGATTTTTACTGGAGAATCCTGGGAAGCAGAGGCCTGAGCAGACTGAATGGCTGCAATCTCCATTTCAACAAATGTTTGTTGCAGACTTTACTGGAACCAACTTAGGAAAGTAGTAATTTCCTATTTCTTTGCTTGCTCAGAAGCCTCTTTAAATACAATTGGAACAGATCTTTCCCTTATAGCTGTCTGGCATGGATTGGGAACATGCAGCGCAACTTAAATGTTTAGATTTCGCAGAACATTTCCCCCTCTCTGAAGCGCTCTGCAGTCTCAGGATTAGACATACTGAAGAAAAAAAAAAAAGAAAAGCTGAACAATATAAAACTTTACAATTCAGGCTAGACTCACATAAGATAAAAGCAAAAATGCTTCCCTTAAATGGTCTCAAAGTGTGTTGGAGGGCAGGTGAGAACACACTTGCAACAGATTCGGAGTGCACCTGGCAAACAGTTGCTGCTGGTTAGTCTCTAAGTCTTGGAAACCAAAATTTGTGTTTCATCGCCAGAACCTACCAGCTAGCGTACGCATGTGCACCATAGTCTGCCCAGCATGGTATAGATAGAACCAAAATAAAAGCAGGGGAGATGCAGTCGTCCGGTGTGCTTACCCCTGGCAGGATATCCGAAAAGAAGCAGAGCCTCAGCCCTCATCATACTTCCGGAAAAAAAACCAAAAAAAAAAACCTGACACCCTCCTCTGCCGAAGGCAGGCAGAGAGCTGGGGCTGTTTGGGGTAAGAGGCACATTATAGTGAAAAAGGTAATTGGGGGAGGTATTTGAAAATTTAGGGGATTGCCTGCCTGTTTTTCCCTCCAGATTAGAAGCAGTGCTTTACAACATGGATTTCTAAAGGGAAAATACACATTTGTGCTCATGACCCTATAGTGTTCCTTTAATATTGGCCAATATTTACAACTAATATCACTCACCCGATTACATGCCATGTTCTATTAACTCATTTGTCAACATCTCTGCCAACTATTGGTGTTACATCATGCCACCTGTGTGTTGAAAATACTCTGGGTTTTGAGATTTTTGCAGTTTAATTTTTAATGGTTTTTTAAATTTCATCTGGTATGGGATTTGGTTGAATATGAACAGACAGCAGAATTCTGAAGGCTTAATATTGCACCTCTATATAGATCTCTCTTTAAAAACAAGCTTATAAAAAAAAAAAATAAATAAATAAAAAAAATAAATAATAAGATCCTTGAGAGTTGCGTCTCTGCTTGAACTCTTCAGTTTGGATTCCACAATAGTCACTCTATTGAAACAGCTGTGACCAAAGTATCCAATGATTTAAAGTCTCGCGGCCATTACTCTATCCTAATTCTCCTTGATCTTTCTGCTGCCTTTGACACTTGATTATCAACCGCTTCTCATGCTCCATAAGCTCTGTCTACAAGATACTGCTCTCTCCTGGTGCTCCTCCCTCTTGTGCTAGGAGCACAGATATTCTAAACTCCCTACTGGGATTGACTCTAAAACAAGTTGAGTAGCCAACTCGTAAAGAGGCCATACTAGATTTAGTGTTAACAAATGGAGATTTGGTATCAGATATTACTGTAGGTGAAAGTTTAGGATCCAGTGATCAGTCAGTGTGGTTTAATATAAAAACAGTGACTGAGTCACACCACACAAAAACAAAAGTTTTAGACTTTAGAAAAACAGACTTTTCTAAAATTAGAATATGGGTAGAGGAGTCATTATCAGACTGGAGCAATTTAAATGGAGTCCAAGAGAAATGGGATTAATTAAAAGTTGCACTATTGAAGGCAACAGAAAATTGCATTAGGCTTGTCAGTAAAAGCAAAAAAATTCAAGAAACCACTGGTACTCTGCAGATGTGGCTAAAATAGTTAAAAACAAAAAGTTAGCATTTAGGAATTATAAAAAAACCCAGAGTGAGGAAGACAAAATTATCTATAAGATTAGGCAGAACGAGGCTAAGCAAGTTATAAGAGCTTCCAAATCACACACAGAAGAGAAAATAGCACAGTCGGTAAAAAAAATGGGGATAAAACGTTTTTTAGATACATAAATGAGAAAAGAAAAGTAAAACAAGGATTAGTTAGATTAAAAACAAAAGAAGGAAGGTATGTAGAAGAGGATAAAGGTCTAGCTGACTGCCTCAATGAATATTTTTGTTCTGTATTTACAGATGAAAATGAAGGAAAGGGACCTCAGTTGAGAAGGATAAATTAGTCATTTATTACACGTGAGTTTACAGAGGAAGAGGTTCTATTTCAACTGTCAAAAGTAAAGACAAATAAGTCAATGGGACCTGATGGAATACCCCCAAAGCTATTAAAAGAGCTTAGTGGTGTACTAGCAAAACCATTAACAGATTTATTTAACCAATCATTGTTAACAGGAGTAGTCCCAGAAGATTGGAAGTTAGCGAATGTTGTGCCCATTTACAAGAAAGGTAATAGGGAGGAGTCGGGCAACTATAGGCCAGTAAGCCTTACTTCAGTAGTGGGGAAAGTGATGGAAACCATGTTAAAGGATAGGATTGTTGAACATCTAAAAACACATGGATTTCAAGATCAGAGACAACATGGGTTTACTTCAGGAAGATCATGCCAAACTAACCTTATTGATTTTTTGATTGAGTAACTAAAATTAGAGCTCAGGGTGGTGCAGTAGACATTGCTTACCTCGATTTCAGTAAGGCTTTTGACAGTGTTGCACATAGAAGACTTATCACTAAACTGCAATCTTTAAGTTTGGATTCCAATATTGTTGAATGGGTAAGGCAGTGCTGAGTGACAGGCAACAGAGTGTTGTAGCTAATGGAATATATTCGAAGTTTGGACTTGTCACCAGTGGGGTACCTCAGGGATCTGTACTTTGTCCCATTCTCTTTAATATTTTTATTAGTGATATTGCAGAAGGTCTTGATGGTAAGGTATGTCTTTTTGCTGATGATACTAAGATATGTAACAGGGTTGATGTTCCAGGAGGGATAAGCCAAATGATTTAGGTAAACTAGAAAAATGGTCAGAATTGTGGCAACTGACATTTAATGTGGATAAGTGCAAGATAATGCATCTTGGATGTAAAAACCCAAGGGCAGAGTACAGAATATTTGATAGAGTCCTAACCTCAACATATGAGGAAAGGGATTTAGGGATGATTATTTCTGATGACTTAAAGGTAGGCAGACAATGTAATGGAGCAGCAGGAAATGCTAGCAGAATGCTTTGCTGTATAGGGAGAGGTATTAGCAGTAGAAAAAGGGAAGTGCTCATGCCATTGCAAAGAACACTGGTGAGAACTCACTTGGAGTATTGTACACAGTACTGGAGACCGTATCTTCAGAAGGATATTGATACCTTAGAGAGGGTTCAGAGAAGGGCTACTAAACTGGTTCATGGATTGCGGGATAAAACTTACCAGGAAAGGTTAAAGGATCTTAACATGAATAGCTTGGAGGAAAGACGAGACAGGGGGGATATGATAGAAACATTTAAATACATAAAGGGAATCAACACAGTAAAGGAGGAGACTATATTTAAAAGAAGAAAAACTACCACAACAAGAGGACATAGTCTTAAATTAGAGGGACAAAGGTTTAAAAATAATATCAGGAAGTATTACTTTACTGAGAGGGTAGTGGATGCATGGAATAGCCTTCCAGCTGAAGTGGTAGAGGATAACACAGTAAATGAGTTTAAGCATGCGTGGGATAGGCATAAGGCTATCCTAACTATAAAATAAGACTAGGGACTAATGAAAGTATTTAGAAAATTGGGCAGACTAGATGGGCCGAATGGTTCTTGTCTGCCGTCACATTCTATGTTTCTACCTCTCCCAGCAATTTTATTGTTTTTTTCTGTCTGCCTCTTCTCCCCAACCCCTCTGTCCCCCCCAAAATTAACAGTCCTTGGTCTGTTCTTAACTATACTGCCTCCCTTTGTTCTCATCAGCTCATTTGGCTTCCATCATTACTTATATGCAGATGAGACAAATCTACCTGTCCTCTCCACCCATCTTGACCTTGTATCTTACTGCCTCTCCATGATTTCCAACTGGATGGCTGCTCACTGCCTTAAACTCAACCTGTCCAAAACAGAACTTCTGGCCTTTCCTCCCTCAAGTGTTGCTATTTTCATGTCTCCCTCCCTGTCAACAGCACCACCATCACCTCTAACTCACAGGTTCGCTGCCTAGGTGTTTTCTTGGACGCCAACCTCTCCTTCACCCCTCATGTCCAGTCGATCGCCAAACCCTGCCGCTTCCATCTCAAACATTGCTTGCAACCGCCCCAATTTAACACCAGACGTGGTTAAGGTGCTGGTCTATGCCATTCTCTCACCGTGACTACTGCAATCCCCTTCTTAGTGGAATTAAATTGCACCAATGCAGTTATGAATGCAGCGGAAAGGCTTATTTTCGTTTACGCCCGCACCTCCCACGACTCCCCCTCTGTCAGTCCCTTCATTGGCTTCCAGGTAGATATAATGCTACATAATGCTGCTTAAACTGTTAGCGGATTTTCATTCCTCTCTCTCCCCCACCCCCTCGTCCATTTGTCTGGTTACATTTACATGTCTGTTAATTCACCCATTGTACAGCACTATGGAATTTGCTGGCACTATATAAATAAAATGCATTCAATATTCCTTATCTAAGAAGAGAGCAATAAAAATTAGGGTTTCCCTCTCAAAAATCACTAATGCACAATTGTACAACTAGTTCATAGGGAATATTGATCCACTGTGGATTGTAGACCTTATCAAAATAAAGAAAGCCATCAGCAGGAACCCAATTGGTGTTAAAAAGATCTTCCTTTTCAGCTCTTAAAAATATATGAACAAAATAGGGATAAATCTACAATACAATGATAACAGAAAAAAACATAGCATAATACTGTTGATGGTAAAGAAAGAGTGGAAATATAGATGATAATTCACACTCACAAACCAAAATTGATTGTAGGCATATCTTATAGAACGATGAATATCTCAGGATAAGTGGAACGTCAGGATGTACATAGAAGGAAATAAAACAGCATAATAGTGCAGAGTATCTTGATAAGAAAATACACTTTAATAATAAGGCACACTTACAATATTGTAGTGGCAAACAGGCATATATAAAACCACCGGTCTTGGGATCATAAGATGAATCACAGGATCAACAGGATCAAATATAACCAGCAGGTCCAAATAAAATAAAGTAAAACAACCTGATAAGATAATAAAAAACTCTAAACACTATAAATGCTATGACAAAGCCCTACGCGTTTCGTTCAAACGTCCTTGAACTTCCTCAGGGGCAAAAAAGTCCTTCTGTATGCAGGTATAGTTGTCCACATAATGTACCTGGCTTTTAAATCCGTCCGGTTTGGCGCGCCGAAAAAAATCCTCCAATTGTTCACTTACTTCCGGGTTCGTCTATCTGTAGTGCTTCCGGGTGCGACCTGTTGACGCAACCGGAAATGCGGCTCACGTCTCTCTTCCGGATCTCTATCTATGCGTTCCACCTGATATGCGTATATACTATACCTGCATACAGAAGGACTTTTTTGCCCCTGAGGAAGTTCAAGGACGTTTGAACGAAACGCGTAGGGCTTTGTCATAGCATTTATAGTGTTTAGAGTTTTTTATTATCTTATCAGGTTGTTTTACTTTATTTTATTTGGACCTGCTGGTTATATTTGATCCTGTTGATCCTGTGATTCATCTTATGATCCCAAGACCGGTGGTTTTATATATGCCTGTTTGCCACTACAATATTGTAAGTGTGCCTTATTATTAAAGTGTATTTTCTTATCAAGATACTCTGCACTATTATGCTGTTTTATTTCCTTCTATGTACATCCTGACGTTCCACTTATCCTGAGATATTCATCGTTCTATAAGATATGCCTACAATCAATTTTGGTTTGTGAGTGTGAATTATCATCTATATTTCCACTCTTTCTTTACCATCAACAGTATTATGCTATGTTTTTTTCTGTTATCATTGTATTGTAGATTTATCCCTATTTTGTTCATATTTATTGAGGACCTGGAGGAGTCCTAATCTGCAATACATTTAGTTCAAGGGTAATTATTTAGTTTTCTAATTATTACCCACTATAAGTGTGTTCTATCCACAAGTGGGTGAATCTGTACTTCTTCTATTTGGTTATTCTTAAAAATATATGAAGAAACTCAATATTTGTAGTACATTTGTGTGTAAAGGAAATACAAAAATGATGATTGGTATTGATTCACAAAATTAACAGTTCAATTAAAATAAGCATCCACCACCAAGACTATAGGCTTTGCTCCACAATAGTATTGCTTTCTTAAAGGATTGATCTTCTGAGTCAAAATAAGAAATGTCAACCTATACATTTCCTTAACTCAGAGTTGCACAAGTAAGCATGTCAGATCTCTGTTAAAATAGGTTACAAAAAAGTTATTTCAACACCAGTGGTGAACAGTTTGCCATTCCAATTTGATGGACACTTTAGCATTTAAAAATTGACACTGCAGACCAGGGCCATCTTTAATGTTGATTGGACCTTGGGCAAGCATTTACTTGGGCCCCCGGACTACATATAGATACACACAAATACACTACCTGACACACATGCAGATACACACAAGAACATACAAATACACACAGACTATATATAGATACACTGACACACACAGATACACAACCTGACACACATGCAGATACAGATACAAACACTGACATACATGCAGATACAAAGGTACACAGACTGACTACATATAGATACACCGATACAAAGGTACACAGACTGACTACATATAGATACACCGACACACAGATACACAACCTGACACACACGCAGATACACAACCTGACACACATGCAGATACACACTGACACACATGCAGATACACACTGACACACATGCAGATACACACTGACACACATGCAGATACACACAAACACAAATGGACAACATACAGATACAGAGACACATTCTGACAGACATACTGACACAGAGACACACACAGACATACAGAACAACACGGACACTGACAGACTCACACATAGACATACCGACACACTGACAGACATACAGACATTCTGGCACACACACAGACAGGCATTCTGAAACACACACACAGATGTACACACATACATACAGACATTGACACTCACAGACAGCCATACTGAAACACACATACATACTGAGCCACACAGACACTGACAGACTCAATCACACACAGACATACAAATACACTGACAGACATACTGGCACATACACACAGGCAGATGGACATACTGAAACACACAGACACTGACAGACATATTGACAAACACAGACATACAGAACCACACTGACACTGACAGACACACAGACATACTGACAGACATTCTGTCACACATACACACAGAGACACACACACTCAGACACTCATGCAAAATTTGAGTGGGCTGGCTTAGCTGGCTGGGAGTTAAGCTCTCCCGGCCTGGCCCCCTCCGGAACAGCTGGTCCTCCTTCCTCCCGCGCAGCTCCTGTTTGTGGGAGGAAGAGACACGTGGCTGTCACTTCCTCCCAGTGCTTCCGAAAAGCAAGGGCCCGGTCGCGCTGTTAAAGTGCCACAGCACCTGACCGGGCCCCTGCTGACACAGGCCCACCGGGTGGCCCTAAGTGCATGGGCCACCCGATGGGCCCCCATAGTTTGCGGGCAGAGGGCAAACGGAGCAGCTGTCTTGGGCCCCCCAGCAGGGACAGGGCCCGGGACAGCTGCCCCGTGTTAAAGACGGCCCTGCTGCAGACACCAGCACAATTTATTGCAGTGAGGTTTAGTTTCAAGTTTTATAGCATCTGCCCTAATCTGCAGCATATGCTTTTTGCTACCACTAGCTCAATGTGAAATCTTACCAAATACACAGAAATTCTGATTTCTAGAAAGTATGCCAATTGAAGCCACAGCACAGTGCCTTTCATGCATTTGTCAATTAAGCTTATCTGCTGTAGGTTGTACAGTTATCAGGAAGCAAATGGGTAAAGCTAATCTAATTAGTAGAACAGTCTAGTTGATTGTCTAAGATGAAAAGGGCACTCCATATTGCTCTTTAGAAACCTCAGTTTTTTTCTGCACTATAAAAAAACAAAAAAAAAAAAACACGATTTCTGTCTAAACCCAGCTATATGGTTTTGCTTAAATTATAAAGTGCTATGTATATTGCATTATAATTAAGAAGGCCTACATAAAAACTTGCTGTTTTGGGCTATGCTGAGGCCCCAGTTCCCACCTATGCCTGCCATTAGCCTTATTGTCCCCTTTGACAGTCATATAGATACTGTCAGTGGCATAACTATGAAGGATGGTGGCTTCCATTTAAATATGTATATAAGTAGGAACAGGATTCAAAACTGGTGTTTCCAAGTTGCCACTTGTGCCATCATGTGTATGTGGTAGCGGACAATTTGATTTTATACCAGATATGCTGCCACTGCTAGTCACACAGTGTATAGTTCCTGCAACAAACAGATTCAATAAATTCTCTTAAGGGGAACCAAGCCACATACAGAGTAATATTAAGAATATTAACTTTTCTAAAGATTTTTGGAGGTCCTGTGTGAGTGGACTGTTACCATTTCCATTTAGTTTTACTGCAAAATTTAGGCTAGAATAGCCAAGCCATGAATATAGCAGAAATGGAACATGTCCACATACACATTCTCCACTTAACTTTTGCAGTTTGGGTTTCTATTCACTATTACTTTGTTTAATGAATGGGTCATAGTCAAACATGCCAGTCCTACTTACAGTCCAATACAGAGTTGGTAGCCAACATACATCATATTCAAATAATGTTATACCATTAAGCGGTTTGTATAAGCAGATTTGAAAAACGTATGTGTGACACAAGTAGAAAGTAGCTTTCACTAGCAACACCATGGGAAGAGGCATCTTCCCATGTGAATACTGCAGAACATTCCATAGTCTGCAACTGTACTCAAGCACAGGCATACAACAGGAGTGGGCAGATTAAGCACTGAGTGCTGAAGGCCCTTGGGAGGTAAATGGCTGTGCCCTCAGTGAGAAAGCATTAAGTATGTACAGCCTGAAATATGGAAGGACCCATAAGCAACACCTGCTTTATGATAAAGGTTTATAGAAGGGTTTTACTGATCTGCACTGCCCAACTTCCCCCCCCCCCTGACCACCACAAGATAAGTGCAAGCACAATAACCAACCTCTGTTCCAGCACTGATGCAAAGTTCTCAGCAGCCTGACTCTCCCCTGCTGACATTACCCTTATAAAAAGTTATTCACAAATGTTAGCTCTATGACAATCACATTTGTCCCCACTACTCTGACATCTTTTATAACCCTCTGAAAACATATATGTGAAAACTTGCATGGCTTAGAACAGGTTTTCAAGAAGAGCAAGTATAAGGAAACTAAACTTCAGCAGTAGCAGAGACACATTAGGCACCTAGACCTCTATCTCATTGAAGGGTCTGGTTGCAGTGTCCCTGTCCAACTTTGTCCTGCAATGTAATTGTTCCAGTTTGTGAAACTGCAATGTTTGACATTACAGGACTAAGACTGCCTCTAGCGGCTGTCTACTGGGTTCGCTGACACTGGACATCCAGCATCAGTGAAATTGACAACCCATGCCGAAAGTAAAGGGAATTTAATTTGCTAGCACTATATTTAACCCTATAACTTTCCAAGACACCATAAAACCTGTACATGGGGGGTACTGTTCTACTCGGGAGACTTCGCTGAAAACAAATATTAGTGTTTCAAAACAGTAAGATGTATTACAACGATGATATCGCCAGTAAAAGTGACTTTTTTTGCATTTTTCACGCACAAACAGCATTACACGGACAATATTATTGCTGTGATACTTTTTACTGTTTTGAAACACAAATATTTGTGTTCAGCGAAGTCTCCCGAGTACAACAGTACCCCTCATGTACAGGTTTTATGGTGTTTTCAAAAGTTACAGCGTCAAATATAAGGCTTGCGTTTTATTTTTTTCACATTAAAATTCGCCAGATTGGTTACGTTGCCTTTGAGACCCTATGGTAACCCAAGAATGAAAATTACCCCTATGATGGCATACCATTTGCAATAGTAGACAACCCAAGGTATTGCAAACAGGATATGTCCAGTCTTTTTTAGTAGCCACTTAGTCACAAACACTGGCCAAAATTGGCGTTTTTTGCATTTTTCACACACAAACAAATACTAACGCTAACTTTGGCCAGTGTTTGTGACCAAATGGCTACTAAAAAAGACTGGACATACCCCATTTGCAATACCTTGGGTTGTTTACTATTGCAAATGGTATGCCATTATGGGTGTAAATTTCATTCCTGGGCTACTATACAGTCTCAAAGGCAACGTAACCAATCTGGCAAATTTCAATTTCAAATGTAACGTGCTATATTTGACCCTGTAACTTCCCAAAACGCCATAAAACCTGTAGATAGGGGGTACTGTCTTACACGTGAGACTTTACTGAATATAAATGTGTATTTTATTGCAGTAAAAGCAAACAGTATTATGACATTGACCGTTAAAATGTCATGTAGAACTAAAAAAATTTAAAAAAAAAAACGTATTTTCTCCCATTTGTTTCATATTAAATTATGTTTCATAGCTAAATATTTGATATTAAATGAAAGCCCTGTTTCTCCTGAATAAAATGATATATAATAAGGGTGGGTGCATATACTATTAAAGAGGTGTATTACGGTTGGACAGACATGTAGCGCAAATGCCAGGTTTTGTTTACATTTTGTTTTGTTCACAATGTGTACATTTGGCTCCGTCCTTAAGGGGTTAAAACATACATTTATAAAAACCATTAGCAGGTGTACAAAAGGCCCTGTCTGACATCACTTGCTGCTCCAGCCTGGCACAGGTCAGAGTATTTTCGCAGTTGCCATCTTCAAATGGTCGTATTGTAAAAACTATACAGCCTACAGTGAAGAGCTTTATATTGTGAGAATCACAAGACCCAGACCTACATTTTGATGCATAGTAGGTCTCTGAAATATTAAAAATATAGGCACAGTCGCAGTTTAGAAATTGCCCTTTAAATTTTAGCTGGCTAGAGTGGAGTTTCAATGAATGTCAATGAACAGCATGAGTTGCAGACAAATGGTCATGTTGCAAAAACGATCAGGACTATGGCTTAGCCATGGACATGTTTAGTGGCAGCAGGGATAGCTGAACGTTTTGATATAACGTGGGCTTGAAAATGAGGGACTGGTGGCAGTTTAGAAATCATGTCCTGATTTTTCAGCTTTTGCCAGCTCTCACTCTAGTTTTGAACATTTTGCCATTCATTCCTATAGGACCAATTTCGCCACAAGAACGACGATATTCCGTGAACCATTCGGCGAAACGTTCCACGAAGTAATAGCAATCCAATCTGGAACAATCCGCACGTTACGGTATATTACGGTCTATGTAGTGTAAAAACTGTGGGAGGAGTTAGGGTGGTAAATTTGGCTATAATAAGAATAATATATATGCGAGATAACATTAAGTGGTCTTGCTATGCAAGAACACTTAATAAGCTATAGTTGTTCACACTAACACATTTAGGCACAAAACCAGTAGGGGAGCTCAGAGCTGCAATTTAACAATTACAAATTCTAAAAGTCGCTGTGGACTAACCCTGAAAGACGTGAATGTTTTTGATTAAGCCAACTTTTATGGATTAAATGCACAAGAGTATTTTTGGTGCTTTTTTACAATCGTGATTTCATAAAGAATGTAAAATAAAGCTTTTCCTTTGACGACCAAGAATGTTATCTCTACTCCTTCTGGCAATGAGGTTTGTTCTACAGATTTGTAATTTTACACAAGCATGTCAAATTGCATCAGAGCACCTGTAACACATAGCTGTGAATAAGGGCTCTGTCTACTTGCATCATGATGCTCCTAGAAACTAAAACGGTTTCTAATTTTTGGAGAGGACCTTCAATATGATCGTTAGAGATTTCAGAAAATAGGTAGCAGATCTCAAGTGGTTATGCAGTCTAGTTGTCACTATCCGTTAAAGAAAAGAATCAATTTGTAGATTAAATGCTCAATCATAGACCCAAAAAGAATCAGTGGGAGGCGCTGCTCATTTGTTGAGCCAGAAAGCATGTGACCGATGCATGGCTGTTATACTGCCCCAAAGGTTTGCTCAAATGGAGAAATCAATTTTGAAATATGAACCTGCAAAACCGTTGTCATTTTAAAGTCACATTTTAAATATACGCTGTATTTGAGAGCTTGCCGCCACTTTTAGAATGCGGTAGTGTTCCATACCGGCCAACAATTGTAGCAGGCAGAGTGGGGCCCTGAGAAGGGCTTGCAAGTGACATGACCCACATCATGACCCATAAAAAATTGACAACCTGTGTGGGTGGCTCCCACCCTTTAGGACCATGCAGGGTGTGCTGCTGAAGTGCTCCTTGCATGGTCCTAGTGACCACTACAAAGCACAAGCGCATATAAAGTGGGACACCAGGGAACTAAGGTGGTACAGGACACACACAAAAAAAAAAAAAAAAAAATCAGGAATGTCTCCAAAAGCATGACTGTTGGGAGGCCAGGTGTACTTTTAAGCATTGACAAGTTTACGTGGATATTTAGAAATGCTTTATACTGCAGAGTCCTTGAATCAAGGGGATTCATGTGGAAACAATGGCAGACAAGTGTTCAGAAATGTGATACAAATACAGGCATGTCTACACCTCTGCCATAAATATAGCATGGCTTAAATTTTACAGACACAAAAGTCTTAAAACTTCTGAGGGAGAGCTGCTGACAGGATAAGGTGTCCAACAGCCTGGCCTTGATACAATTTATCCATGCAACCAGAAGCACTGATTAACACGGAGTATTCGAAAACCACTGTAATGGTCCACATCTAGCACAAGCCACTTTAATACTACAGCTGAGCATCTTAGAGTATTTTGAGAGCCTATTGTGCCTACCCATTTTTAGTGCTTTGAGCTCTTTTTAAAGGAACACTAGTGTTAGGAATACAAAACTATTTCAAGCCTACAGTTTCTCTGCCTCCACATCACGCATGGCCATGAGAGGGTTGCAAACCTTTCTACTTACCAGATTCCAGCACTGAGGTCCCTTGGCATTGGATTGGGCTTCTTTACCAGCACGTTCTAGGAACCTAAAGCACATGCACATTGAGCATGCTTTCCAATGGTGATTTTCAAGAAGCTGGACGCATGCCAAGTGTGAGGATGTCCAGTGTCATTTTAAGAAGTTAAACTCCATGAAACAATAGGAAGTGCATGTGTATTAGACAGCCACTATAGGCAGTCCTAAATGGACACTGTAGGCACTATAAATCATAATCTCTTTGAAGGGAGGGACAGTACCAGTGGACTCCATTGTAGTCATACCCATTTATACCATCAGAGTTCTGAGGCAAAAAGCAGTGCGCCACACTCCGCCAGTCACAGCTGCCAACTGCTGCTCAGGCTAAATACTTAATTTGCCAAAGCAACACAGATGGGATGCTGGGGAACATCATTTGGTATTAAAACATTAAAAACTATTTAATGCTGAATGAAATGGCAACATGGAACTCTACTATAATTATATTAATCAGATACAGTGCCTACAGAGTTCCTTTAACTCTGCAACTTTACTGCACCCAGATCACTTCAGTGAGATTAAGTAGTCCGGATGTCTCTAATGCCCCTTTAAACTAACTCATTCACAGCAGCAAGAGGACCAGTGAATGCATATTGACCTAAATGGGTATTTAATACTTCTAATTTTAAGCAGGGGGTCCTACCTCAAAATGAGCAGACAAGCAGTTTAAAGGACCACTATAGTGCCAGGAAAAACAAAATTTTTAAAATAGTTTTCCTGGCACTATAGTGCCCTGAGTGTGCCCCCACCCTCAGGGTCCCCCTCCCGCTGAGCTCTGGGGGGAGCTCTCCTTCTCTCCTCCTTCAGCTGAATGCACATGTGCGGCAGGAGCTGCACGCGCATTCAGCCAGTCCATAGGAAAGCATTTACAATTCTTTCCTATGGATGCTGGTGTCTTCTCACTGAAAAATCTCAGTGAGAAGCGCAGAAGCCCTCTAGCTGCTGTCAATGAGACATCCACTAGAGGCTGGATTAACCAATTTATAAACATAAATGGCAGCACTGCTCACACACCCCTAAAGCCGGCCCGGTGTTTAAGTTGATTGGTTATTTTGACCACGAGGCAAACAAGGCATCTGCCTTGGGCGGCACTTTGCAGGGGCAGCAAATAAAGCCGCTCCCAAATGCCCAGGCAGATCCCTGGTTTGCCTCGTGTCCTGGGGGGCTCAAGAGCTGGACACTTTTGAGCCCCCTCCCGAGGCGGGCAGCGGGAGAGCATACTCACCTGAGCTCTTCCTGCTCAGCTTCCTCCGTACCGCTTAATGAAGCCGGAATGTGACATCAGACTGGCTCCCGGCATCACTAAGCAGCGCGCGAGGGAGCTGAGCAATCCACTCCAGCTCTCCCAGGGAGGCTGGGTGGATTTAAAATAAAATTAAACAATATTAAATAATTACTATAATTTGTAAATGTGTGTCCCCGGGTAATAGTAATATTCGTATTCTGCACTTCAAAGTGTAGAAACTATAGAACTGGAGAAATCAAGAGGGGGACACAAAGAAAAACCTTCAATGACAAATTCCCAAATTATATTCAGCAATACAGATTACATCATACAGGATATTGCTTAATGCATACTTCACCGAATCACCACAAGAATAGTCACCATCCAGGACCAACATACCATGCTACATGATAACTTCCCCTCCCAAATATAAACCTATACATGCAATGTAAACCCAAAAACCCAGATAACCATTTTCCTTTACCAACTACAGGTTATTTTTATAAAACAGCAGCAGATTCTGCAACATTGGACAATGAAACAGGTCTACAGACATTATGTGGGAGTTCACCGTAACATGTACACACTTTAATTTATGGGAGTTTACAAAGGGGAGATGCAATAGAATTCACTAATTCCGTGAGTTTTTATCCAGAGGTCAAAGCAGCAGAACATGGGAGATCTCAAAGTGGGAAGTAATAGTAGATTGTAGGAGCAGCACACAAGTCTTGGAGACTGAATGTGTACCAGCAGAAGAAAGGTACAAATCCTGAGTAGAATGAAGGTAGACTAGTATTTGGATATAGGAGTCGAGATATAGAAGGTGCAGTGTTGGAAAGCTGTCCACTTTCAAGCAGAATTCATCAAGTCAACTGTATTGGACACCAAGGTCAGGTGTTTGGACAAATTATTAGATTGTGCCATTAACCAATAAGATATTTTAGATTTATTTAAAGGTGAAGGGATTGCCAACAGCTGCAAGATTTTAATATAAGCAGTAGAATGCCATGTATATGCCATACATTGTATACAGTGACTGATCCAAGACAGTGTTCATGACCAGAAGTGTTGTCGGCATATGGGTAAGGTTGAAAAATCAAAGGAAGCAGTTTGACTGCCAACATGACGTAAGGCCAAGGAAGGAAACCTGAGGTACCCCAGAGGATGGGACAAGAGCAGGTTCCAGAGAAGGAGAACCTGAAACAGATCAGACTAACCAGGAAAGGACACCACCACAAATACCAAAAAGGTTGAAAAAGGAGGGGTTCCTTTGTCAGAGACTAGATCTATCCAGGATGAAACCGGGACAAATTGAGCTTTGTCTTTTTGTAACAAATTAATGTGTTACTTTCATTTGAACAGATTCAATAAAATGTTTTTTCAGCAGCCAGAAAGCATGGTGATATGATCTCTTTAATGCAGGAGTGTTTCATTTTATCCATTTTTAATTTACACCCAGATAATACAAAGGGTATATAAAAAAAAAAAAAAAAAAAAATTTTATTTGGTTGTAAATAATTTTCAAGTTGCCAGCCAATTTAGTCAGATCTTCAAATACTGACATTTTTAAAACTAAGTGGACCCATGACACAAACCAAATTGTGCTCAATGTACGTTTTCCCATTAAGCTGAAAGCCTGTTTTGAAAGTGCAAAATCATTTTCCTTTATCAGTGGACTGTAGCAAAATCTATGTGGATCATGCCAGACCATCCACTGGTATTTTTACTCACCTCTTCATAGCAGTTTAGTTTAATATGATCTGTCTCAATCCCCAGGGACTTCTGATCCTTCAGAGCACTTGTGACTATACTAGAATAATTTTCTCGATTTCCTTTGTGAATATCAAGCCTGCAATCAAATTTGATTCTTTATAGAGGACTACTAAAGTGCTCATGGCCACGTTATCTCAAAGTGGCCTGGGTGCAGTGTTCATTTATATCATTTAGCAAGGATTACCTTGTATGGTTTAACACCCCCAGTGGCTTCTACACTGATAGGCAGTGTAGGCGCCTTGCTGCAATGAACGAGTAAAACAGTCACGCAACATGACTGTTCACCAGTAAAGCATTTATTCAATACTTTCCTATAGGTAAGCTTAAATGCACATGGCACTCATCGTGCATGCACATCAGGTTCACAATGCTCGCCAGAGTAAACAATTCATCACAAAGCAAAACAATAATGACAGACTCATGTGTTGAAGTATACAGGTGAATGCATTTTATAAATAATGTACTTTTTCCAAGATCACTCAAATTCCATTGCGACAAGATTTTCTAGTTGCACATGGATCAATCACCGGGCTAAATAAAGCCTCACAGCCATATCTCTCTGCCAAAAAGTACTGAATAATCCCCACTATACACATTGTATCATTCCATATAGGAAGGAAACTTGATAAGTAAAAACATATGCATTATAAAAGTTATGGGTGAAATGGATGCACCAAATTCTTATAAGAGGAGAGGAATCTTCCTGCCCCTACTACTGTGTGGTGACAGTCAGGAGCCACCAATCCATAGCTACAGACAATATGTAACTCCCATTTACAGATGTGCCGGTAGCAATTTTCAATTTTTTCTTATCTACAGGTTACATATTGCTATTTGACTATAACCCTCCTGCCTTGAAAGACAACGGTTGGTTAAGTCACTTGGCATTGGACAGTATCTGATCAGGTTTGTTTGCTTTAAAATGTAAAAGGAAACGTCAACAGTCACCTGTAAGTTACAAATTACACGCTTTATTTCAGGTTTCCAGAACATTTTGTACCAATGTAGACTTTTACATATTCTCTAAAAACACAAGCTGATGGCTTCTTATAACAAATCTAGACTTTGGGTCAGATAAGGGAAGAATTTAAAATTTTAGTGACCTCAGCAAGGGCATTCTGCATTCAATATTATACAGCAGAACAGCAGGCGTTGGAGGAAGAATTAGTCACAAGTGACAATACAAAAATTTAAAGTTTCTCTTGCAACCATGTGCTGCTACTGCTGTGTACTGTGATATTCCTCCGGCAAGAATCTTTCTTCCCCTTCACTTCATACAGAGAGTCAGAAGTTCCTAAGCAGGGTTAGTTCATTGGCTGAGAGAATCCACTATTTATTCACAGCCAGTGAGGTACAGTGGCAGATCCAGAGCCTGATCTCAGGAGGGGCAATTGTAGATTTAAAGAAATAATTCATGCACAATAACCACTACAGCTCTGTGTAGTGATTATGGTGCCGGGACCTCCTCCCAGGGTAAGTAGTCAAACCGTTTAAGAACAGTTTGACAAGTTACCTGGGGTCTGCTAGGATATAGGGCTGTAGTAGGGCATAGGAGCAGTGGTGTGTGTGTGAGTGGTACAATGTGTGAATGTATGGTGTGTGGGGGCAAGGTATGTGTATGGGCAGTGTGTGAATGTGGTGAGGAGGGTAGGGGGGGTGCTTTGTTTATAATTTTTTTTTTTATAAGTGCCTTCTTACCTTTACTGAGGGAGGGGGGACATTTCTCGATCCCGATGGTCCCAGTGGTGAGAGTGAACTCTAGCCCGTAGCTACAGTTCACTCGTGAGAGATCCGGAGCGTTGCCGTGGTAACTGTGGCAACACTCCATGCTTGCAAGAGAAGGACCCAGAAGAGCTGCAGGCTGAGCTACCGGGTCCTCTCTCCCTCCCCTGCCGGCTGCTAGCACTGTGCCTGCAGACCAGGGAGGGAGATCTGATTGCCCCGTTGCCTCTCCCCCCGGATCTGGTGAGGTAATAGGTTCAATCTGAGTAATTTCTGGCTTGCCGGAGATTGTAGTAGAGGCAGGGAACAGCCCCTGGCAGACCATTGGTAAGAAGTAATCAAAAAGTGATCTGACTTCTCACAAAAGGGTGTCACAAGGGTACTCCTGGCACCATAACCACTAAAACCATGCTGTAGTGCGATGAGAGGACAATATTAATAAAAAAAAATAAAAAAGTAAAGCCATGCAATATACTGCCAATGCCAATTCTTAGTTGTTCTGGAGAGGCCCAGAGGGATGAGGGACTTTTAAAGGAGGTCCATGTGAAGGTGTGGTGGTATACACTGCTGGACCATAATGTTTCTGATCACCACTATACTGGTTGTGTAACAGGGAGGACTGATCTAATGCAGGCTTGGTAGGGGTCCTAGTTTTTTCACCTTCCTTTTAATTCTACTTTTAAGTTTTGGCAGCAGGTCTGTTTTTTTCAATCTTTTTGCAGGGTTATTATTAATGACCCCAGTGGCCCCCCGTGACACAGGGTTAAATTTACCATAGTATACTTGCATTCTGAGTTTCTTCGTCTGTAAAATTGCATCAACGTGTCTACTATTGTAACATGGGTACGTCCAGTATATTACTATTCTTATACAGTTAACACTTACAATTCATAATGTTGTGCTACAGTAAGTTAGTGTGCGCAGTTGCCAAAGGCCTAACAAATACCGGGTGCAGGTCTTTTTGAAGTGGCACTGCCACCATCTGAGAACTTTACATAATTTGCAAAGACCACTGATTGTGTAATCTGAAGGTCCGTTGGCCAAGAGAGCAGGCAAATGCAAGTTCTACCTACCCGAGTCTGTGCCTCAAGTGTACTGCCATCCTTTTCCAGCATGCACAAGATTACAACAGAGCTATATGGAGGATCCTGTGAGTGCATATAGCTGATTTCCCTGCAGCCATCACTTGTGATTGATAAGTGTCAGGCTTATGAATCCCTACTTTGTCTCAGTATCTTTTGACTGGCTTGGCATTTCAGTGAAATTCCAACATAGTCAATACGAGTACTTCATCACTTATTGTTCTGAAATACTCTTTTTGCAGGGGGGTGACAAAGCAGCTTTAAAGGGAACCCATAGTGTGTGTGTATACACACATACCCCTTTTAAAGCATTATTTTGGGACTATAGGTTCCCTTCTGTCCACCCATCTGCTGTGCAAGATTAAAAATGATTCACCTCATTTAGAGTGCCAAGACTCATCTGCAGTAGCCTCCAGAGACTGATGTCTGCATCCAAGCAGACCTCACCCATAGTCTCCAATCCATTACATCTCGTTCGAGACAATGGGTTGGAACTAGGCAAGATCAGCCAAATGTAGTGCTCCAAGTTTTCCTCTGTCTGGAAGAGGAAGCACCTGTAGCGGCTATCAGGAAGACAGCCACTAGAGGTAGTTTTAACCCTGAAATGTAAACAGTTTCAATAAAAAGCCTACTATGTTTTACTTTGAAGGGTTAAGTGACAGAACTACTGCTCCAGAACACTTCAAGATGAAGTGGTCTGGGTGACTATATAGTGTTTCTTTAAATCACAGTTAACCCACTGAAAGTCATTACAAAACTATAGGACCACTATAATACAAAATGTTATGCCTAACTGAAAACCACACCTGTAGGTAATGAACATTATTTTAGATAAAATATAGAATATAAAAGCTTATCTATTTTTCAAACTTTGTTGTTTAAAGGTGACATCTGTTGATGTGCTGAGAGCAGGAGAACTACCTGTACAAGGGTTCTCCTGCACGCTACTTTCAGTAAGTTCTTTGACATTGAGGTCTACACCAGCACTATGTCACACAGTTGGCTGATAAGTGGGAAGTTTGTTTTCCCCCCCACCAAATCGATAAGTCACAACACTATATAAATGAAACTAAACCAAGTCAAATACATTTCTATGTACCATGTTGGGTACACAGAAATATGCAATGGCCAGGGGTATTAAAAACAGATTAAAAAAGGGACACACCATGACAGTAAATGTAAAATATTTAATATTCATATCTGACATTTATGCATTTGCAATTCCACTGGCTGCGCAGCTTCAGAGAATTCAAGCAGTTTCAGAGAGTTCTAGTTTTTCCTCAGTCTGGGCAGACAGTTCTTCATGTACGGTGCTTTTCATAACTGCCCTAATTCTAGGTTTATATTCAAGAATTTGATAATTTAGGTAGTTTGAGTAAAAATGGGTTAGCAAGCTAGTGTTGCTCTGGCAACGATGGCCAAATACCAGTTCCTTGTCAGATCACTACATGACAAGAGAAGCGCTAAACAATTATAAGATACTCCAAGGTGACTGCAGAAAAATAAACTACCAATTAACACTTGTTACAATGCATTAGGAAATTTATCCCAAACCACGTGGAAAGAAAGAAGGAAGGAAAGAAGGAAAGAAGGAAAGAAGGAAGGAAGGAAGGAAGGAAGGAAGGAAGGAAAGAAGGAAAGAAGGAAAGAAGGAAAGAAGGAAAGAAGGAAAGAAGGAAAGAAGGAAAGAAGGAAAGAAGGAAAGAAGGAAAGAAGGAAAGAAGGAAAGAAGGAAAGAAGGAAAGAAGGAAAGAAGGAAAGAAGGAAAGAAGGAAAGAAGGAAGGAAAGAAGGAAAGAAGGAAAGAAGGAAGGAAGGAAGGAAGGAAGGGAAGGAAGGAAAGAAGGAAAGAAGGAAAGAAGGAAAGAAGGAAAGAAGGAAAGAAGGAAAGAAGGAAAGAAGGAAAGAAGGAAAGAAGGAAAGAAGGAAGGAAAGAAAGAAGGAAGGAAGGAAAGAAGGAAAGAAGGAAGGAAAGAAAGAAGGAAGGAAGGAAAGAAAGAAAGAAAGAAAGAAAGAAAGAAAGAAAGAAAGAAAGAAAGAAAGAAAGAAAGAAGACACTGTTGCAGCCAGTTTACTAGACGCACAATTAAGCAAAACTTTGTTTCTAAGAGGTACCATGCACTATTACACAAGTCTAATAGTAGCTAGTGAAAAAAAATATTTTGCCAGTTTTGGACTAGGTTTGCAAGAAGACACATGATTGGAGACTAGTATGCAGATAGAGAGATTGTATTGGAAGCTAGACTATTTTTAAACTATTCTATAAACCGCCAGCCTTAACCCAACCCTAAAAATGTATCAATAGCCTCTCAATTATTTGCCCGTAGCATAAATTGAAGTATGTAATGCCAAAAATAAACTGGTCAAATATACATCCACATTTAAATACTTTGAATTATGTTGAAACTGCGTGCCTGGCGGGTCATGTTCTGCACCTGTCATTTGATCTATAACTTGCAAAAAAGAGTGTATTCGGGTCATGATGTTTACCTATGCAAATTAAGATTTAGGATGAGGTCTATATACACAGTATGTTTGGCATTTGTGGGAAATGCAGCTCAGCCACCACTCCCCTTGGGTATTATGGGAAAGCGGTCATTGTATTAATCAGTTCTACCCATGGTTGCTGGGCTGCAGTCAATGTAAACACAATAGTGTGTTTATTCACTAAACAATTAACCCCTTAAGGACCAAGCTTCATTTGCTTGTTATTTACTTAAGGACCACATCAATTTTTCCATTTTTACTATGTGTGTTTGATTTAATTGAGCATTCTAGTATTTGCTGTTCAAACTACCTCACAAAATGTTTACCATTGTGGGGCAATTTTTATTTTTTCCAAATGCGTACCCAGTGTAGCAGGATTATGTGTTTTTAGAGCAACACATAATTGCAAGTTACTCCAGAAAAACCTAAAGTTAACCTAACCAACCAGTCTAAAAACACACAGTGTACCCAAATGCCAACTTTAACACCACTAAACTAAATCCTAAACAGCCCATATACCACAATTTTAACCCCTATTGAGCAGTTAATCAAACACTAATCACGCTATGTAATTTCACTATGATGTTAACCTTAACCCCCTTTACCACAACTACTTCTACTTGTAACAAATATATGTAGTGTTAAAGATAATGTTAGAAGTATGCACATGCTTGCATATATATGCCATTGTCATATATGAATGTTTAGGTCTAATGTCCTGTTAATAAAACACTTTTTTTTTTTTTATTAGTTTGGGGAGCAGGGGGCACCTTAGAATTTTATAAGCGCACAATATGCAGATCTGGCCCCGGAGCCAATTCGTTAGCAGTGTCAGCTGATCACTCAGCCAGTGAGCTAAACCATGGAGTCCCAGGCTAGCTCAGTGAAAGGAGCTTCCGGCTCTCTTTGATGAGGCAACATTTGCAAACTGTTTCACTAAATCTGGGAGGGTGCCAGACTGCCAGTGTATTCTTGGCATTATAGCCACTACAGCAGGCTGCAGTGGTTATAATTGTCATTTTCATTTAAACACTACATACGGTGTTCCTTTGTAATGCACAGAGCATGTCAGGGCTGTTTACATCAAAGCAAACTCAAAAATTATACAAATTTTTTTTTTTTTTAAATTGCCTTCAACATTTCCCCTAGATGCACTGCTTAGTAGAAAAAAAAAAATTATTATATCTATCTCAGTTTACGTGTAGACCAAGTCATGGCCGCCATCAGAAATTTTGGTGCCCCTGACAAAGGGCAAGGTCTGGAATCCCCCCACCTAGTCCGCTGACAATGATGCAGGACTGAATGTGGTATGTATAGTGAAAGTGAATTAGAATGTGTGTAATGGATGTAGGGCAGGCCCGGACTGGCCATCGGGCACACCGGGCAAATGCCCGGTGGGCCGCGGTGTCCGTGGGGCCGAGGCCGGCAGGGGAGGTCTCAGGATCTCCCCTGCCGGTCTATGCAGGGCCGGCACTCTCCTAGCGCCGGCCCCGCTGTTTGCCACGACGGGCCGGTGGGGAGATCAAGGATCTCCCTGACCGGCTCACAAGCGGCCGCCGGCGGGGAGGGAGGGAGGGAGCCAGCCAGGCTGGAGAGAGGACCCGGCGGAGCTCTAACTTGCAGCTCCGCCGGGATCCTCTCGCGAGATCCGGCGCGTTGCCATGGCACAGGCTAGAGTTCACTCACCCACGAGGACCACCAGGGAACACTGTCTCCCCGCGTGCCGGTCCCCCCCCTCCCAGGCTAAAGGTAAGAAGGGAGGGGGGGGAAATAATGACTGATTTTTTATTTTTTTTATTTACCCCCCCCTACACACACACACAATAACATTTATACAGCACACTCTCACAATATATACATATACATATATACATACACACACATACACACACACACACACACACACATACACACTCTTAAAGGACCACTCTAGCCACCCAGACCACTTCAGCTTAATGAAGTGGTCTTGGTGCCAGGTCCTTCTAGGGTTAACCCATTGTTTTATAAACATACAGTTTCAGAGAAACTGCTATGTTTATCAATGGGTTAAGCCTTCCCCCAAAGCCTCTAGCAGCTGTCTCATTGACAGCCGCTAGAGGCGCTTGCGTGCTTTTCACTGTGAAAATCACAGTGAGAGCACGCAAGCGTCCATAGGAAAGCATTATAAATGCTTTCCTATGCGACCGGCTGAATGCGCGCGCAGCTCTTGCCGCGCGTGCGCATACAGCCGACGGGGCGGATCGGAGGAGGATAGCTCCCCACCCGGCGCAGGAAAAAGGTAAGTTTTAACCCCTTTCCAGAGCCGGGTGGGAGGGGGTCCCTGAGCCACATATGCATCACATTACACCACAAACAACACGACTAAAACCGACCTTATTACACAATACCACACCACGACCAGCTCACTCTACACACACGCAATACCACAAGCAGGCTCTAAACACATGCACAATACTCTTTCCTGGCCTTTTGTCTCCTGGTATCCATTTATAAAGACACCAGAGACAAGTTGCAAGGAAACACAGTGCAAGCATGTTATTAAATTTGCTTGCACTGTGCAGAACAAATACAGGACTTTTTTCTCATGCTAGAGCTCTTCAGCAGAGCTCTGCGCATGGTCTGCCCTGGAAGAGCATTGAACCAACATGCTCACTTTGAGAGGAGGCATGTTTGTCATTGGTGATGACAAAACACACCTCCTCTGCCCCGCCCCCTTTCTAGTGGGCCGCTGTGTTAAAAAAATGCCCGGGACGAATTTTTCTCCCAGTCCGGCCCTGATGTAGGGTCTGTGTGTACTAGATACGGTTTGTGCAGTGAATGCAGAGTGTGTGTTTGTGTAGCAGATGCAGTGTGTTTAGTGAACGCAGAGTGTGTTTGAGTAGTGGATGTAGTGTTTGTGTGTACTAGATGCAATGTGTTTAGTGGATGCAGTGTCTAGTGGATGTAGGGTGTGTATTAGACAGTGTCTGTATAGTGAATGCAGAGTGTTTCAATGTGTGGTGGATGCAGTGTGTGTGTACTGTGAATACAGGATGTTTGTGTAGTGGATGCGGTGTGTCAGTATAATAAATGCAGAGTGTGTGCCAGTGGAGTGGATGCAGAGTGTCTGTGTGCCAGTGGAGTGGATGCAGAGTGTGTGTGTGTGTGTGCGCCAGTGGAGTGGATGCAGTGTGTGTGTGCACCAGTGGAGTGGATGCAGTGTGTGTGTGCACCAGTGGAGTGGATGCAGTGTGTGTGTGCACCAGTGGAGTGGATGCAGTGTGTGTGTGTGTGTGTGTGTGTGTGTGTGTGTGTGAGTAAATGTGCAATCTGCAGAGGGGGAAAGGGGCATTTTCAAATTAATTTTATATTAAATTAAATGTTATTCCCCCCGCCCTGCTTACCTGTGTCCAGGGAGGGGGGAGATTGTATCCCTGGTGGTCCGGTGGCATGGGGGGCCCCCCGGTCCCTGTTACAATCATTGACATGAAGCCAAGATTGAAACACTTGCGAAAAGCAGTAAACGGCAAGGTTACATGGGAAATTTTAGTCCCATTTTATCAAATTGCATTACATTGAATCAGTGCCAGTAAGGTCATGTGTTAATCCTACCACAAGTGTTATTGACGAGAAGAACAAAGTACTATATTGTTTTTGTAGTACAACCACCTGACTATGTAACACTGAATGTTTAGTAGTAAATAGTCAGTTTGATTCATGTAACACCCTTTACAACACCTTCCCAGGGATCTAGCTTTGTAACCCTTTACATTAAAGAAAGCACCTTTATAAACCAGTGTGTGTTTAACCTAGAGCAGCAGTTACAAGGTTAGGCCAAGAAGCTAGAGATCTTTGGAGGAAAAAAAAATAAAATAAAAATAAAAAAATAAATAAAAACCACACACAAAACCCTTTGAGATCTAGACAGGTTGTAAGCAAACCCAGATGGCAGACACTCCAAGCCAATTTCACCAAGTGACCTTTCCCAAGCAAATTTACTACAAACTTAAATGTTTGTCTTAACTTACGTAAAACACTGAGCTTTCATGCGAAAAGCTGTTCTGCTACTTGAAGAAGCGGTTCCATTTAATTGAACAAACACCACTTCAGGTTCATTTAAAATGCATTCATTTTCTTTGGTTAACTGTAGCAAAGTGTGGGGTGGGACCACCATACCCAATGCTCAAACTCATGAGTGATAAGAACTTGTACTTTTGTATATAATCTGTAACAACCACAAAAGAAAGCTAAACACCTAGTGGCACTCCCAAAATTGTGACCAAAATGTAATTTGTTTAACTTTTCTTTACAGACAAAATTAAAGTTTTCATAATTAAGCAATGCACAGGTGCACAAAAAAGGGGAGGGGAAGAGTGCGCAGAGTGCTATTTTCAAGTACAAAAACCTTTTTCACAAAGTGGTGAATGAACAAATTACAGTCACAAATAAATGAACTTGTAATAACTAGGCCAATTTCTCCATTCCGTTCAGGTCAGCTGAGTATAATTATTTTAAACGGACAATTCAGTTAGTGACCTCTTAGCAGCCAACTGTGGATTTTGTTATTTGCCCAAACTACTACATCAACAAGTTTTACTGCCATAGTGTTTAAACCTTACTAAATTAAATTGCTCTTCTAACAGAAGGTTCTCTTTAAAATTCAACAATGTATAAATGGGGGAAGGACAAATCTATTAAAGTGGCTTAAACCTCACCTTGTTTATCAATATAAAAACACATTGTACACTTTTTAGCTTTTGGTTGAATAAATTATATAAAAATTATAAAATCTGTCTACAAGCAAAAACAAACCGTTTGCCCTTGGATTTCATGTGAATGACTTTGTCATTAAATTAACTTAGCACTGGGAAACAATAGCATTCCATGTTTGGAGGGTTATTCACAAAAGGGGCATTTCAAAGTTGACTTCAAAGAAAGTCGAATTGGAACAATTCTCGAACCCAGTTGAGTTAAGTTTTCAGTTTGGCCGCTTGTAATCCTCCCTTTAATAACCATGTTACGTGTGACTAGTTCCTCCTTGCTCATGGAATTGACCTAGGAAACTGGTTTGTTGAGAATGCCCTTGCATTGGCTACCTAATTACTTGTTATCAGGGCTTCCCACACAGGCACGCTTAGCACCTGTTTCAGGGTAAACAAGGTCAATATACATTGTTAGAACAGGGTTAGACAGACCTAGTCTGAAATGGGATTAAAAAAAATAAAAAATTGCATCTAGAATATGAAGTTTTGTTTGCATTAAACAAATTAAGTGTACTCGCACAGATGTTACCCAACAGACAGTTTTTTTTCCCCAGGATGCAGAAAATTAGACTAGAGTTCAGTAACACCAAGGACAGTAGTTTCTATAAGTGGAAGAGGTGTGATTACAGATCACTTTACAGGGGTCAAGGGAAGTGACTTTGACTCAAAAAAAAAAAAAAAGAAAAAGAAAAGAAGGAGGAGTGTAACAAGTCTGCGGTTACTCCAGTTCACAATCTCTCTCCTCCACATGGAACGTTCCTATAGCACGAGCAAGATGAATGAGACAGAAATAGAAGCAAACCATGTTCCTATCTCAGCCAGCACTGCACAAATACATGAAAGTGCCGGCTGCTAATCAAAGCGTTCTATTGTACAAGTCAGTGACAAAGGAGATCTTCCAACGGTGAGCAAAGACTCAGTCAGAAAGATAAGCAAGGACAGATAGTGTCTGGGAAGCCAGGTTCCCCTTTACACTGTGCTCTCACATTCACAGCGTTACTGGCCATTGACAGGGTTGACAGGTCAGGTGGGATTAATTGAATTAGAAGTTACATTTATACCAATAGTAGGGAAATTAGACTATTGCCATAGATACCCATTAACTATAGAAACAGAACCCTAGTAAGTGGGGCCAATGTGTGTCACTAGCGAGGTGATAGAATTAGAAGCTATAAATCTACAAGCTGTCTGGGGCATAAAAAGGAAAGCCCGGCCATTTACATTTAACCCACATCCAGTGACAGTGATTTAGAAAAGAAGATGTGACTACACCTCCAGACCTTTACAATTGGCCATGTTCTTGTCATTAGACCAGTGTCATTCTATAGAACAGACATGCAGAGTGTTAGTTTGTATCCCCATAAAGTGACCGGGTTCCATTATTAATCCCCCCTCCGCAGTGCTCGTTAAATTAGAATGAAGAAAAGACAGGCAGGATTATGATACAAGTGGGCAGAGGACATGATCCATAGTATGGTCTGTGCATACTCACCATGAGCCCGGCCAAACAGACAGCAAGCACTGGCTAGCAGTAGCAGCAGCACAGCCCCCCTGGAATAGGAGCTGCTCATCGCGCTGCACCCCGCAGCACCCAACCCCCCAGAGAGCCAGCTGGAGGAGGAGGATACACACATGAATCGAGGGTGTCACACAAACACCACCCTCTCTCCCTTTGTAAATCCGGATTGCAGGCAGCTGATTATGGTTTCTTCCTTTTAGTATTTTTTTATTTTTATTTTTTAATATCTCCCTTTTTTGTTCCAGAGCAGCTTTGTAAATCCTTGGGAATAAGTAATCAGCCCCGGTGTGCTCGGCTACTTGATAGCAGGATGGATGGGAAGGTGCTGGTGTTGAGATGTCATACACAGCTCCCTACCGGGGGGGTGGAGAGGGAGAGACGTGCAGTTACGGGCGATTCCCCACACACGCTCCCTTCTTATAGCAGCGGTGGCAACTGGATATGCAGCAATCGGCTTGAAGATGCGGAGCTGGAGCGGCAGGCGGCGCCCCTGAGCACATTTTACACACACAAACACACACTCACATATACAGGATGTGCACGCAGGGCTATGGGATCTGGATCAGGCACATATTGCAGATCCAGGAATACCGACAGTCGGCTCTGGCTAATCAGTTATGTGAGTGTGATTATAACCTGAGTGTGATTATAACGTGTGTGCCTTTAATGTACATATAATGTGTGTGTGCCTTTAATGTACATATAATGTGTGTTGATAATGTGTGTGTGCCTTTAATTCACATGGGCATGGTGACTGATTGTAATTACTTATACAATGTAGCAGAAGGGTAAATGAGTGAATGAGTAAATTGCAAAAGGAGGTCGGCCTCTTGTGTGTCCCGTGTGTTATGATCACATGGTGTATGTAATACCTGTTATATTATTGGGGCTACGTTTGGGTTCAATCACTGAACAGGGAGTTCAAACCCAAACTGCAAAATATAGTTAAAAAGTGTTAACCTTAAAAAAAAAAAAAAATAATAATAATTTAAAAAAAAAATGTAACCTAGCTACAGTGACAGCTTGGCTAATTTAGACTGAGTTTTGCAATTTAGGCTTCAGATGAAAACAATGTGCTGTTTAGTTAATGGACCATTGTGGCCCGGGAATTGCATGAGATGTGCTGTCTTGCATGTCTTTAAATGGGGTAGATGTAAACCATGTAGCAGGTTGCTGGGGTCATGCAATCAGGCAGGATGGGCTTTGTGAATATTATTAATATAAATAATCTGTAGCAATAGACTGTCCTGCCAGCTTACCCCAGTGAATAGCTTTGCATAAGTTAAAGAGCCTTTCTTTGCCTGCATGATAATGAGGATCTCTTTTTACTTCACTGGGATGCATAGCTGATATGTACATGTATGCTCGGACACATGGCTACCTGTATTTATTACTATTAACACCTTAAGAACTAATTATAGTTTGTGATCGCTATTTGTCCTATCCTAGAGACTCTATGCTAGTATCCTGCTTATTTAGTGCTTGCAGCCCTGTAGAGTCCTGTAAGTGTTAAGTGGACTTTCCTCTGCTCAAATAACAGTAAAATAAATAAATCACAATTTAGTAGATATACCCCCAATGAAAACATGCATGTATTAAGTGTTGTCCTTTTTTTCATTGGGGTATTCCTAAAAAAGCTTATAAAATTAGCAGATTTCTTGTCTGCAGTCTTTGCAAGCCCTCCCATTCTATCCAATCCCAAACTTTGTGTGGCTGTCCAATTGCTGCCTCTTGAGTTTAGCTCCACTGAAGTAACAGGACCAGTTGCCTAATAGACAACCAGGGAGGTGTAACAAGATTAATTTATAAAAGTGCCAACTTCTACTGAAATCTGTTATTTTTTTTTTTTGCTAATTAAAGAGGACACACTCTTTACACACAGCAAGCTAAAGTGTTTAGGTATAGAAGAAATAGAGAGAAAGGATCAGCGCTGATAAGCCAACAGAGAAAGCAAAAAGTATAACAACAAGGCAGCACACCAATGGAAAGGGCGTCCCCTCTAATCCCCTAAGGATACAAATAGAAAGAAAGGGAAGGACAACGGTGCGCCTTAAAACAGGTAAAATAAATACTTATAGAAATGTTGAGAAGTCCAAGTAGTACTTTAAAATAGTCCAATATATAAAAGGTCCACATTCCCAGGAAGCGATCCTAATAGTACAATGGACGGAATATGAAGTCACAGATGTAGGTTCGTTCCTGCAGTTGATATGTGGAACAGGCAGAAAACAGAGAAAGACTCCAATGGTACAGTATGTCATAAAAAAGGAATATTTTGTGTATAGTAATAGAACTACTCACAAGAAGGGAAAGAAAAGGGAAAAGAAAATTTTTTTTAAATTATTTTTATATTCTGTCAGTACCTTCCAGCCCTGACATTATAAATGTCTTAGTATTATGATTATTGGTGATTTATTTTCATATATTATTAACTTTTTATGGCATTATTTTATTTTATATGTAATATTTTTAATCCTTATATCTCTAATATTATTATTAGTAATATGCTTCTCATTGAATTTAATTTTATTTGTCATATGGATGTTCCTTTTTATACTCACCTGCATTGTTTATTATTACCATATACACTTATGTATTACCTGTGACTTATGTGAATGTAACTATTTCAATTTATTAATATCTATGTAACCAGATCCCTGTGTTTACCCAATAATAATGGTCTGCTCTGTCCTTGTGAGGCAGCCCATTTGGGGTTACGATCCCACACCAAGTGGGAGGTTGTGTAACAATGTGCTGTCAATTTTTACACATTTAGAAGTTTTGTTTTAAAGTAATGAGATGTGTACACCCTCCCACACTTAAACCTAATAGTTACACGTTGATTTATTATGTTTTCTAAATTTCAGTGTATTACACCCCCACCTATGACGCTGATGACGTCTTTTAGGCTGGAATTGCAAATTACCACTGTAACTATGTGTTCTTTATAAAAGCAGTATATGTCAGGTCTGTTTTTTCCTATAAGTTTCTACTTGATGAAGCCATGGTGGTGAAACGCATCTAGAAACTTTTTATATTTATTTTTTAAGTGTTTAATCAAGGAATTTTGGCTATTTTCTAAACTGTTGCCATTTTCCTTTTTTCACTATAGTATTATATTACCTTATTTTTGGTATTCTTTATGTTCCTGACATTATCATTCTTCTGCCAAAAGGAAGTATCAAGAATCCCTAGGTGGGGATTGTACCACCCACACGTTACTCATCGAGCAGTGTGTCTGCTCATTATACTGTGAGTATATTTTATCTATTTTTTATCATCCTAAATTATACAGGGAACACTATATATTTTATTTTCTTTTATCCTGAGCCGGACCACCCTATTGAACTACCTCATTGAAGAATCCTAGAAGAGCAAATATTCTTAAGTGGGGATTGTTCCACTTCGTGTCATTCAAACCAGAGCTGGATTTAAGCTCTGGATATTGTGAGTAGTTCTATTACTATACACAAAATATTCATTTTTTATGACATACTGTACTATTTGGAGTCTTTCTCTGTTTTCTGCCTCTTCCACATATCAACTCCAGGAACAAACCTACATCTGTGACTTCATATTCCATCCATTGTACTATTAGGATCGCTTCCTGGGAACGTGGACCTTTTATATATTGGACTATTTTAAAGTACTACTTGGACTTCTAAACATTTCTATAAGTATTTATTTTACCTGTTTTAAGGCGCACCGTTGTCCTTCCCTTTCTTTCTAAAGTGTTTAGGTATTTGTTCCTTTAACCCTTTAAGGACCAAACTTCTGGAATAAAAGGAAATCATGACATGTCACACATGTCATGTGTCCTTAAGGGGTTAAATGAGTGGGGCATAACATTTTGACACAGGATTTTTAAAGAAAAGCTCCACAAAAATGTATATTTTTAAAAACAAATTTAGTATTTATACTCCCCAAAAAATGTAATTCTTATAGCATGTTTCCTTGGAATTATATACAATTTTGGCTTGCAATAGTTGCAGATCTGATATCTGCAGCTTCTACAAGCCCTCCCCTTCTGCCCTGGCACAGATGAGAAAGTCTCATAGATAAACCTTGCGGAACATGCTCTGCTTATTGAGACGTTAATACAATAACGTTAATGAAGGAAATATGTAAAACTCTCCTGGTACCAGATCTATTCAAATAAGAAACATTCTAAACATTTCCTTTTTTTAGTATTTTACAGACAAGTCATTTGTCACATGCCATTCCACTGATTCTCTTGGTATGAAGGCCAATGTTAGGGTGAGGTTTCCATTGAAGGAACTGTTTTGTCATTCAGGGCTCATCATATTAAAATGGTATTATTAGTAGAATTGTAGGACTATGCAACAAAGAACTGATATGCTTATTCACTAAAGTTGAAATTCAAGATTAAAATAGTCAAACTCAAAGTTAACTATGCTTTCAATTCAACTATTCTGACCTTCAATTTGAAATTCACTTTGAATTCACACTTTAGTAAATAACCCCGTCTGTCTTGTTAAATTCCCTAAGTTTTTAAGAGACATTAACAAGCTCAGTTTTGAATACAGGAAATGATCCAGCAACCCACTACATGTTGATATATGCTGTTTTTATCTGCTGTTCTACACAATTTTCCTAATTCTACAGATCCCTATGCATTGGTCTATCACAAGAATAATTACTAAACAGAGACTTGTCAGGAATTGAAAGTGAGTTTCACATTTGGACCAAATTAGTTAAACTGGAAGTATAGATGACTTGGTGAATTTTTCCATCTCATCCATTTTTGGCTTACATTTAAATTTTACTTTGAATTCCTGACAGTTCTTCTCTTGTTAAATAAGCTTGGATGTCTCCAGCCCATTCTTCTCCAAGTTTCTTGCCTGGTTTGCACCACTGTATCTTCATTGCTCTCTACTCCTCTCTTCCAGCTGCTTTCTCCTGCAGTTTCCCCTATTGTTTTCCACTGTGAACTACCTTCTGCTGCTTTGTCCCTGTTCTTCTCCCACTGCTCTCTCCCTAATTTCAATACTTTACTGATGGGGCATTTAAATGGATACGCAAAGCACCATAACCTTATTAATTTCTGCATATCTTGAAACAATGCTCCTAGGTTTGTCTTTCTTGTTTCTAGTTTCTAGTTGGAGAGCATTTTGCTAAAATCACCTGAACTATATTTTCCTCCCAACTACCATTTCAGCATCATAGGGGAAGCATAGCATTCTATCCAATTCCTAACTAATGTATAGGGGCTCTTTCAAAGCTTTCTCTGTGAGAGGCTCTATTTAGTATCATATCGAGCAGGGGTAAGCAACTTTTGGCACTCTAGATATTGTGGACTACATCTCCCACAATGCTCTTACAGCCATAATGCTGGCAAAGTATCATGGGAGGTGTAGTCCAAAACATCTGCAGTGCCATCTCTGATATAGAGGCTCTTTCACATATAGCTTTTTGTGAGTTTAATTAAAGCTGCCTGACCGCTGACCGCTGCCATTAAATTGTTCGAAATGTTTCATAATTTTCATGAATAAAACTACTATGTATATTTTAGCCCTGGCGCTATAGAAAGTCAGAAAGAATAATTACAACGAGCAGCAAAAAAAAAAACATTGCTGAAGAGGCTGCCCACCGCCTATCTAATTTACAAATATTATATTATAATTTGAGAAATTTAAGTCCCACTTGCATACAGACCTAACACTATATAGTCCCTGTCCCTAGTCAGAAATATATCTCCCCTTTTGCAGTAAAGATTTGAAAAACGTACAGTTTTACTTATGTTTTTCCAGCGTCGAGGCTCCCTCAGCACTGCATACCTCTCCGCTTCCCATGACAGAATGCCTCATCTGCCGATGTCTAGTCCAATGCTCATAATAGAGGACAGCACATTCAAATGTCCCCATAGAAAAACCATTGAATCAACTTAACCCTCAAATTTAAAAAAAAAAAAAAAAAACTGCAGTGTTTTACATTACAAGGTTAATAGGACAAGGTTCCTCCACTCAGACCACTTAATTGAGATTAAGTGGTCTGGGTGACTCTAGTGTCCCTTTAAAAATGGATTATATTCTATAAAACTGTTACTTTAACCCGGAAACTGTGTTTCCTATTTGCGTATACACATAACTGTGACAGACATTAAGAAGTGTGAAACATCCAGCTATATTCAACTCTCCGCAGTATGCATCTCCTTACGTAATGTGCTAAGTAGATATATATTGTGAAGTGTTTACTATTGCTGAATGTTTCACATTTTTTACCTTGTGGACATTTTCTATCAGTTTCCATTTCTGGAGAGATTGTGAATTTTACAAAGGGTCCCTATTGAGGAACTTCTTACTTTCACAGGGATTACTTTTAATGATTGCTTTGTTTCTGATTCTGAATTTTATTATGTATGTATTGCTGATATTTAAACAATAAGATTTAATAATATTGATTTTAAAGCAGTTTATTTACATATATACATTTTATCTGTCATAGTTATCTTTCCGGGTGAAAGTAGCACTTGTCACAGTTTTTTTAGTATCCAGTGTCTAATCCATTTTTAAAGGAACACTATAGCGTTAGGAATACAAACATTTGGTTTGTATTAATAGTTTCCTGTAACCTATCTAGATGTCCCCACCCCATGTCATAATGTGAAAGGCAATATTTACTGTAGAAGCAGCATCTGATCAATAACTGAGTATGACTCCCTTATAGCAGAGGAAAGTGCCTCTAGTGGCTGCAATAGAGGCTTGTTAACTCTTCAATAAAAATATTGCTGTTCCTATGAAATTGCAATGTTTTACATTGCAGGCTTCAAAAGACAGGGGCATGGAACCTAGACAACTTCATTGAGATGAAGAGGTCTGAGTACCTTTAGTGTCCCCTTAAAGGGATTCTAAGCTATTGCTCTTAGGAGCAAATAAAGTATGATCTTAGTGTATTTTGATTATATGAAAGTTATTACAGGTGGTGTGAAAAGTAGTAAGGCATTGGGGCCACAGATGGATAGAAAGGAGAACTCTTCTTAAGGGGGTCTGAGGAATATTGCCACCAGACAGATAAGTTAGTGAGGATACACAATGTCACCAGACAGGTATATCTGTCTCGGTCATCTCTTGCTCTAATGGTTCCTTATTGTGGTTGCATGATTAAATGGTGCACAAATGAAACAGACACATTGTAAGTTTATGCACATTTACGATGGTGATAACCTATCTATTTTTTTTCATGACATTTCCTAGATCCCTTACGTACAGTACATCTTAAGTGCTATGGTGGATAGCTACTTCTCAATTATATCCAGCTGTAAATAACACCTGGGTTGATTTGATTAAAATCACAATTTAACTTGCCAGTCAGTAAGACTCAATTGAAATCTTGACTTTTAAATGTAAAGACTCATTCTTGCTGGTTGTTATCTTCAATATTTGCAACCAGATGAGTATTTCATATTTAGAATTCTAACCTTTCTGATTTGTTAAACATTTATATCAGAACTGATTTTTTTTGTTCGATACAATTTGACATACATAGTTCACATTGCAATAATTTCATCATCTGTCTTAATTTTAATAGATGAATCACTAATGTTTGGAGATCAACTTAAAGGGATCCTATAGTGCCAGGAAAACAAACCCGTTTCCCTGGCACTATAGGCTCTTGGAGTGCCCCCCTCCCTCGGCGCTGAAGGGGGTTAAAAACCCTTTAGCCACTAACCTTAATCCAGTGCCGGGCTCCCTCGGTGCTGGTGACCTCTCCTCCCCCGCCGATGTCAGCTCCCGAGTCGGGCCGAATGCACATGCGCGGCCAGAGGCGCGCACATTCAAACGCGCCAATAGGAAAGCATTACTCAATGCTTTCTTTTGGGGATCTTATTTGACGCTGGACTCCGTGAGGAGAGCCATTAGAGGTAGCCACTAGGGGGACCTGGCACCCAGACCACTACATTAAACTGATGTGGTCTGGGTGCCTAGAGTGGTCCTTTAACCCCTTAACGCCGTTACGGCGTTCTATGCTGTCCCCATTTAAATGGGCTTTAAAGCGGCATAGAACACCGTAACGGCTTAAGCCCCCAAGAGCCTCCAGCTACTTACCTCTGCCGTGATCCTCTTGGAAGGACTGCCTGACAGCCCAGGCAGCCCTCCCACGGATCTCAAAGAATGATCACATGGCCCCCTATAGCTGGCTGTGGATCTGCCAGCAGGGAGACTGTCTGGGCAGTCAGACAGTCCCCCTGCTGGTGGGAAGAATTAAAAAAAAAATAAACATGTTAAAATAAATTAAAAGTGTGTGTGTGTGTGTGTGTATATCTTATATATATGTAACGTCATACGTAGTGTATTTTAATGTTAATATAAGTACATATATTAATATTAAAATACATTTAGAATGAAGTTATATATATTATATAATACATATATATATATATATGTATGTATAATTACAAGAATAAATAAATACAATAAAATAAAATATTTTTTAAATAAATTATATATGCATATGTAATTTCATTCTAACTGTATTTTGTTATATATATATATATATATGTGTGTGTATATATATATATATATATATATATATATATATATATATATGTAACAAAATACACTTAGAATGACATTCTATATATATCTATCTATGTATAAAATACAAATAACCGCAAATATATATATGTAGATAAATATATATATTTACATAAATGATTACATAAGTATACACGTAGGATTTAAATACATATAAAAGTGTATATTTATTAAAATTCTACGTGTATATTTAAGTAATCTTTTAACATAATTATGTGATTTAATTTTTAAAATTTGATTGACATGCCTGACAACCCAGGCAGAAAGTGCAGACACTTTAATTCGCAAGCACTATATTTAACCCTCTAACTTTCCAAGACACCATAAAACCCATACATGTTTTACTCGGGAGACTTCGCTGAACACAAATATTAGTGTTTCAAAATGATAAATTGTATTACAACAATGATATTTTCAGTAAAAGTAAAGTTTTTTGCATTTTTCACACACAAACGGCACTTTTACGACGATATTATTGTTGTAATATGTTTTAATGTTTTGAAACACATATGTTTGTGTTTAGTGAAGTCTCCCAAGTATAACAGTACCCCCCCATGTACAGGTTTTATGGTGTTTTGGAAAGTTAGAGAGTCAAATATAAGGCTTGCATTTAATTTTTTTCACATTGAAATTTGCCAGTTTGGTAATGTTGCCTTTGAGACTGGTAGCCCAGGAATGAGAATTACCCCATGATTGCATTCCATTTGCAAAAGTACAAAACCCAAGGTATTGCAAATGGGGTATGTCCAGTCATTTTTAGTAGCCACTTAATCACAAAAACTGGCCAAATATTTGTTTTTTGCTTTTTTCACACAAAAACAAATATGAACGCTAACTCTGGCCAGTGTTTGTGACTAAGTGGCTACTAAAAAAGATTGGACATACCCCACTTGCAATACCTTGGGTTGTGTACTTTTGCAAATGGTATGCCATCATGGGGGTACTTCTCATTCCTGGGCTACCACATGGTCTCAAAGTTAACATTACTAATCTGGCAAATATTAATGTGAAAAAATGGAATATGCTATATTTAACCCTGTAACTTTCCAAAACACTGTAAAATCTGTTAATGGGGGGTACTGTTTTACTCGTGAGACATTGCTGAATACAAATATGTGCATTTTATTGCAGTAAAAGCGAACAGTATCATGACATTTACAGCTAAAATGTCAGGCGGAACTACAATTTTTTTTTTTTAAATCTTAATTTCTCACAGTTTTTTTTATTTTATTCATAATAAGTTATGTTTCATATATGAATAGTTCATGAGAAATTAAAGCCCTGTTTCTCCTGAATAAAGTGATATACAATAAGTGTGGGTGCATTTAATATGAAAGAGGTGAATAACGGTTGAACAGACATATATCGCAAATTCCAGGTTTTGTTTACATTTTGTATTCTTCAGAACGTGTACTATTGACTCCGTCCTGAAGGGGTTAAATGAAATGTGTTCATAGTGTGTACAAAGAGTTCCAGAATAACAACGGATTAAATTCCTTTTCTGTACTTTGTATGTGTTATAACATTTCTGAAAAACTGCGTGTTATCCCTGCCGACAAAAGGTCAAATAATTTGAATGAATGGAATTAATTTACAATCACAATTATAAATACAGTGCCAACATATAGTGCTGTACAATAGGTAAGCAAAACAAACAATTATTTGGAACAAAACAAGTATGACATACAGGAACAGTAGGTGAAGTGAACCCTGCCCAAACCAGCTTATATTCTTTACCAAAAATGTAAATATTGCAATACTAAAAAGCCTCATGCCACATAACTAATCCATTTTTTTCATGCTGAGTAACCTTTGTAACTATAATGTATCTAAAATAGACATCTTCTATCCAAAAATCTTTAGATATTTTTTTCCTCCAAAATATTTTTTTTTAAAAAATCCAATTAAAATAAAATAAATCTGATTTTTTTTTTTAAATCATCTGTTTTTTTTTGTTTTTTTTATCCACTGTGATAAAAAGCCATATCTTGCTGCGAAAAACAGAACTAGAAATTGATAAATATATTTTCTTAAACACCCTTAAAGGGAAACTGTCACTTCTCAATAACAATATTAAGTAAAACATTAAAATCACCTGCTCCTTGTGTTGACTTTTTTCACTTGATGTTCCATTCTTTTAAGCGTTATTTTACAGATTTAACAAAAGACATTGCAATGCAGTTCAGTCTAGATGCAGCTAGGGGTCACATTGCGAATTGAGAGGGGAAATTGAAAGGTTGTCCAATTCTTCTTCTCCTCTGTCTGCTTTCTGTTCCTCTACTGCCAGGACACAGCTTTTAACAGTGATGGACAGGGAGCTAAAACGAAGGTGTCCAATTGCAGAATATAGAGGTGTTAATTTCTAGATCTCATATTACTGTTACACCAAATAAATGCATATTTGTTATATATAGGGGATCAGTAAATATTACAGTAGAAATGTTGGGAGGTGACTGATCCCTAAGTGACATGTTTATTAAGTCAAGCCCTTTTTGGATCATATTAAGAAAATGTATCCATTAATCTGTAGATGTAGTCTATACTGTGCTCTACCTAAGCAGAGAAGGCATTTAGTCAATAATCAATTAGCAAAGTGTCAGTGTATTATGTCATGCTATAGCAAAACGAGAAGGAGAGTAATTATTCTTTGTGTTAAATGATATACAGGCTAATTTTGTTGTTTTAATTGTACACAGTGCAGTATGGGCAGTTGAGTGGTGCTTTCTCTGAAGTGGGTTGAGGTGCTTCTAAATAAAACAACTTTGAACAGATCATTTAGGAACATAGGAAATAAAACAATGTATACAATGCTGTTTGGGTAATTCTTCACCTTCTGTAGGTCAAATAAGTTAATACATAACAAAATATTATTATCCGTGGAGAAAATGTATAACAATTTTCGCTATGCTTTATAACTGTTAACATATTTATAGCATTATATATGAATTGATTATTTTTTTACACTGTATGTTTACATTGTTAATTGTAATAAAACATATATTCTCTAGCCACCAATGTCTTGCAACATTATAAAGCTCTTTTATCATTTTCTGGTCACACACTAGCTTGCTTTAATGCGTGATTCATAGAGGTGAGTTTTGTTTGGTATGCAGTATGCTAAATAATAATATATGAGGCATAAAAAACAACACTACTGATATAGGTTTGAAGTAGACACTGCACTTGTTTCTGCATTGTCTTGTTTATATTTCAACAAGCTGGTAATTGCTAAAACGGCTGTCTGCATGTTTAATGATTAGTCATTTGTGACCGGCGTGAGTTTTAATAGAAATGTTACGTAACACCAGATTTACATGGTAAACCATAAATATTACCATCAAGTTAGACAACAACTACTGCATCATCCCAATACATCCTATAGGGGAAAAATTACATTTATTTCATATTTAAGTATAATTAATCACAAAAGTATATCTATATGCATTAAATAAATAAATATGGAAGAAAGAGCATTTATCTACAAAATAACCAAACCTAAGGCAGCAGAAACAAAAACCTGGATGCCTAAATACCTTGCAAAGACCAATAGGGCAAAAATAAATTGAGTGTGAAACCATGCCTAATACCAATTAATATCATGAAAGTGCAAACATAAAATTGTCTGGAAGACTTATGCTTAAATGAACACCATAGTCACCAAAACAACTTTAACTTAATAAAGCCATTTTTGTGTATAGGTCATGCCTCTGATATTTCACTGCTCAATTCACTGCCATGTGACTGACACAGCTTGCATGAAAAAAAAAATTGTTTCCTTTCCATTCAGATGTACTTTCCTTTGAAGGTTTTTATCTCCTGCTCTGTATATTCAACTTGAATTACACACAGGAGGCTCCTGCAAGGTCTAGCAAGCAATTAACAGATCAAGAGATCAGAGATTCAAAATCAAGCAGACTTTGCAATAAAACAAATGACTCTTTACAGGAAGTGATTAGAAAGGCTGTGTAAGTCACATGCAGGGAGGTGTAACCCGGCTTTATAAACAAAGTCATTTAAAATGGCAGAGAATTGAGCAGTGCTACTGCAGGGGCATGATCTATACAAAAAGTAAATAAAGTATGATGTATAATAAGGCGGCACTCAACAAAAGAGGAGCATCGTTTTCAGTGGGGCAGTGTGAGTTTGAGTAGTACCAGTTTACCCAGGGCATGAACAAAAATAGCAAATAGAATAAAATATACTGGAAAATGTTCTCTCCAAAGACAGAGCCCCTAGCTGGTATGTAGGAAATTACAGAGGACATTCCTAGAAATAGCTACAATGTAATATACAGACTTTATTAAATGCGGTCAACTGTACAAGGTAACAATGGCGAAATAAAGTTGCATAGCAGTAAAGACCTGTATTAAAATAAGTAAGTAGTACACAGGGACTTAAGAATAAAATTAGATGGGAACTAATTTTCTCAGATAATCCTGTAAATAGAGGAGGGGGTAAGTATCTGTAGAGCCGTGAACCCTCCTCAATTAAGTTATGTTTCCCACTCACTGGTGATAAACCAGTATCTAGAGGTGTTCCAAAAAGGAACCATGAATCTCAAGGCACTACCGTCGTAGGTAAAAACTGTGAGGAGATATATATATATAAAAGTAAATAAATAAGTAAAAGTCAGATAATACCTCGTTTTCTGAAGTGACAGCAACCTACTACCATCTATAGCTAAACTGAGCTGAGAGAATCATACTACCACTAAACTGGAGGACTAAATAAGTGCCATAATAAGAGTGATCAAAAAAGTGCTCAGTGAAAAATAAACAATCAATAAATCAAAATTGCAGACGCACATTTTAGTGCATAGCTGCACCTTCATCATATTAAAAGGTGATAATCTATACACCATAACTGCATCACTGAACTAAAGTTGTTTTGGTGACTATTGTGTCCCTTTAAAGATATATTAAAGATATATAATATTTTTTTTTTTTGCAAGCGCTATAACAAGCTCAGATTAAAGCAGCGCAGGTGGTATACTCCCCGCCTCAGATTGTATTATGTATGTCTCCCTCCCCTTGTCTGTATGGACGTATATCCTGTAAGCAGTTGGTAAGACTGTGAACACAACAAAAACAATAAAAATATATATTCATACGAACGCCATACAGAGCAATGCACTTGCCCTGTGTAAGACACCAAGTGGTTCTGTCCCCACCAACGGACACCATAACAGATAAACGTTGTTCTAGGTATATAATGCAGATTCCGCTACTTGCGTATTTGTGTAGCTTAACATATACTTTTTGTCGGCGAGCATAGAAACAAGTTCATTGATAGGTACTGTATCATCTTACCTATAACCATGTATATGAATATATTGGTAAGATAGCAGCAGTATTTGCTAAGTTTCATTTATCGCTTTTACTTTCCTTCCTGGTTTAATTTTGCATTTAAGATGAATATTTTGTGAATGCTTAAACTACCCTTCCTAATGAACTAACTTCATTAACGTTTTCTGAGACTGTCTGTTATAGATGCTGAGTTTATAAAATCACACTTTTTTAAGTTTACTTCTTTTTATTTATTATTAACATGTTATAGAGCAGAAATCCTCAGTTATTTAGGAGTGGTACAATTTCTAATGCACCTATGTTACTCAAAAAATAAAAGAGAGAAATAAAACAATGTTCATATGATTTTGGTATTAAACCAATGACTATGTTCATGTTGTACAAATAAACAAACTCATATTTGTTTTTGCGAATTCATAGTACATACATATTTTCTTCTATTTCTGGTGGTACTTTTGTGACATTTGAGCAGCATTTATTATCTGTACTGAGATAGATTTCTGAATTTTTAACAATTATGTGGAACGACCTTGGAATGGGTATTTTTAGCCCTATGTCTGTTTATGTGCATTTCTCAAAATGAGTTAGTTACGGTTGCTATGTGCTATAGTGAGAGTGTGTTTCCACTGAATCTACTTTGTGTTCACTTTTACTTTATGTTAACTTCTTGTCTTTTCAATCTGCCTACTGTTTAACAACTTTACTAATTGCTCATGCTTTTCGATTGTCGAAAGAGATTTTGGGATGGAATGGATGAAGATACTGGTCAGAGTTTTCCAATATCATTCCTTTTATTTTTAAACCATTCTCCTTCAATCCCAGTTCTTTGATTTTAGTGGGCTGTAGAGCAAACCCCTTAAAGCAGCATGTCATTGAATGTGCTCGTGATGACCAGTGATGGCTACTTTAGCTGTGCTCCACCAGAACCTTCACCAGAAAATTGTTTAGAATAATTTAAAGGACCACTATAGTGCCAGGAAAACATGCTTGTTTTCCTGGCATTATAGTGCCCTGAGGGTGCCCCCATCCTCAGGGACCCCCTCCCGCCTGGCTCTGGAAAGGAGAAAAAGGGTAAAACTTACCTTTTACTAGCCCCGGGCGGGGAGCTCTCTGACTCCGATCCTCCTCCGTTCCGCCGCGTCGGCTAAATGCGCACGTGCGGCAAGAGCTGCGCGCGCATTCAGCTGATCGCATAGGAAAGCATTATCAATGCTTTCCTATGGATGCTTGCGTGCTCTCACTGTGATTTTCACAGTGAGAATCACGCAAGCGCCTCTAGCGGCTGTCAATGAGACAGCCGCTAGAGGCTTTGGGGGAAGGCTTAACCCATTCATAAACATAGCAGTTTCTCTGAAACTGCTATGTTTATAAAACAATGGGTTAATCCTAGCTGGACCTGGCACCCAGACCACTTCATTAAGCTGAAGTGGTCTGGGTGCCTAGAGTGGTCCTTTAAATAAAAATAAATAAATACTGTTTCCATAATAGCAGTATTATTGTGCATATTTCCCGTAGAAATGGTAAACAAACATAATACAGGATTACTTTTACCTCATCTGGAAAAAAAGATATATCCAGGCACACCTGAGGTTTCTTCTAAAAGGCAATCCTCTCTCAACCTTTATTAAGTTTCAGTCTCTCAATGTATGTGAAGCAGCGTGTGTCTGTGTGTGTATAACAGTGCATCTGTATGTCTGTGCAAGTCAGTGAGAGTGTTCGTAAATGTGTGCCAGTTTTCACTTTACTTTTAAAGAACAAAAGCAGTTAGCAGCAACAATATATAATATAATAAAATTATAATAATGTTATACAAATTTAAAATTTAAAATGTTTCTGTCCGATTATCAAGCATCAAAGTAATAGGGCTAAAACGTACTGCATACTGCTGCATATATGCAAATAGTGCATACTATAAAGCAGTAGCTTGGTTTATTTGAAGTATGCAGAGTAGCAAAAAATTTTTTAATTAAAATTGAAAGTGATAACATGAAGCAGCACGCTTCATGTTATCATTTTCAAATTATTATTACTATTTTTTTTTTTTTACATGTATTAATTTCACATTAATGAGAGAATAGTTCCATACATAACGACTGTGACATCTGGTAGTGAGGTTTGTCAAAGAAATGTCCTTAGTGTCTTAAAAATGGTGCACATTTAAAAATTACTGTTAGGACACTAAAGAAGCAAAAGATGAAAAACAATGGACATAATTAATACATTTTGACAAATATTTGAGTTATCCCTGGAATCTTTTTATAAATGTTGGCAACTTTGAATACTAAGTATATTTTTTTCATGACCCATAATATACAATCCTATCTCCTCACTATGAACCATTTAATCATTTGAGATTTGAATAAGGTAAAGTTAAATAAAATTTAGTTTGGGACCTCCAACATGTGTTAATTTGATGGCTCAGCTCTTCCAAATCATGTCCATGAAAAATATTTGGAAAAATAATTCAGACAAATAAAAAAAGAGGAAGAAAATGTACAAATTAGCGCACCACAAAATATCTACATAATATAAATATTAAAGCAATACAAAGATTCCATAACACTGTGTTCCTC